AATACCATTTTCAAAAATAGCTGCTATCGTAGCCTGTGGTAAGTAAAAATAGTCTAATGTCGATATCTTTTATCCTACCTACATTTTTTCTTCGAATGCCACTGAATCCTCTGTGAGATTATTAAAGAGTTGCAATGAATATTGCTACAAGCAAGCTAACACCGCTGCACGTAGAACTGACATCATAAGAGTGGCATCCTCACCAGAACACCCCATACAAACCAGCAAGCTTTTTTCTGCTTTTTTGGAACGATTTTCAAAAATGTCATTCATTTTCAATAAAAATTAAGTTAAATGCCTTAAATGCTGCTGGCCTCAAAATGATGCATGACTTTAGAGGTACATGACTGTAATGACTAAACACACAAATAGGAACATTAATCATTAACTAAAACGTGTTTAAGTGCAAGATTCATAATGCCATTATACATTAAGTGGACATCAGACCAACATGCTGCCATGAGTGATCGTGTGCAGGTATGTGTCCTACCCTCGTTGATCTTCTTAGCAAAGCTACGTATAGACTTCATTGAAGCCAGATCGATGTGTCGTGCATAAACGTGAGGGTTCAGTGTGGACCCTCTGATCTCACGTGCAGCAGCCTCGCACTTTTCCATGTCCCGACAGCCCATAATAATCCTGCCACCTGCCCAGACATAAGACAGAACAAAGTCACAAGCCATATAAGACAATATATGTCAAAAAACAAACAATTAAAACTGATCAAGTACAAAGAAGATAGACTACTACAAGAATTATGGCTTAGGATGATCTGATCTGAGCTGACAAATGGTTCTGAAACTTGGGAGGCCTTGTTAGGTGTTGTGGATTTGTAAGTCAGTGGAGCAGAAATGGACCCTAAGTTCGGCTTCAGATGCACATGTAGATGTATCTTTTGCACGTTAAACTGGCGTCAACTTTTGAGATTTTGTCAGCTGGACTCCATTTAATGCCATTTAATACAGTGGGTTTTATTTGTCCAGCTCTGTGAGCCATGAGGCAATGCATCTCATTCAGGTTATACAGTTTAATTTGAATAATTTAGTAGCTTTTAAGCAAGAAATTCTTGTGAGTTTTCTGACACATTTGTTTCTACCGGGTTTGTTTTAGTTGCAGTGCAATTTTGAAAAATAAAAAAAAAACAAAATCGTCCTACAGCCCTAAAACCGTGGTCTCTGGTTGGTCATTTTGCATGTTGGTTAAATGGCCTTTTCTGTCAAAGTAGGTGGTTCTTGCCCACACTGAGTGACAGAAAACATCAGACCAAAGTACATCTTTAACCAGACTCGCTTGCAAAACTAAATGGACCCTGACCTGGACCTTCAAGTGGAATTTCACCAATTTTTCAAAATTGTACAAATCAATTGTTAAGATGTAATCCAAGTCTTTCAGAGTGGTCTAATGTGCATTATAAAGAAAGTCACTCTGATTTTTTTACAGCAGTGGTGACTGGAACCAGGGATCACAAAGTCGCATCACAAACATTTTATTTGCAGCCTCAAACAATCAGGGAACCTACGTGTGTCTTTTGAGTTTCATATATGTATATAATATTGATAATGGTAAAATAGTGGTAAATGCAAAACAAAATTACTTTAAGTGCTATTTTGTCTTACATTGTTCTGTGTATCTATCCATCATGAATAGAATAAAAATAGGCAAAATGTTCTCAAAACTATTGTAAAATTATGCTTCCAGTATCAGATCACACACACACACACACACACACACACACACATCAAATTACTCTGAATGGCTGTTTTACATCTAAGTGATTTAATTATGCTAATTTATTTTAATTATGGGAATTCTTTAACATCTATAATCATACCTCGCTTGGCAAGTTCCTGAGCCGTCTCCTTCCCAATTCCTGTGTTGGCCCCAGTTATGACCACCGTCTTCCCAGGGATCTTTGCTTTACTTGGGCATGGGCCTCCAGTGACGTAGTCCCTTGAGAGGAGCACAAAAAAGATATGGAAAAACAAAATGACATTAGTGCAGGGCAGGTTGGCTTTTTTCAGAGAATCAGATCAATTGGCTCAGCTCACAAATAAGAGCCAACTCTTTTGGCTCCTGTATGGCTCCTCAATTAGTAGCAAGGACAGTTTTTGTTCCCATAATGAATCAGTTTAGAGGTATTATCTAATACCTCTAAACCTAAATGTAAGATGTTGGTAAGTAGATATGCAGACAGGCAAAATGCAGGCAAATCAGTCAACCAGTCATGAATAAGCAAAGGCAGTTTAAAAAGTAAAAAACAAGAGGAACTAATGATGCACAATTAAAAACAGAAAACAGAAACATAATATTTGCTTGCAGGATAAATCAATCATATTGATCTTAGATTAATGAGAGGAACTATCGAACTGCTGCATTACAAATCTGTGCAGTATTGTTTAATGGGTGAGGTACATTATAATGTATTTATACTAAAATATGGTAATATCATATTGATGTGACACGTATTACATTAATATTATTTATTAATAATAATATTTATTCCTCTCTGATACAGAAAATGACAAATCTGACATGTTTGAATCAGCCGATGTCAGATGAGCGCCTAGTTTACTTCACGTCATATGGGACCAAAGCAACCACAGTGGGCAGATTTCAGTTAGTTTACAGCCGTGTCAGTGATACATAGGAAACACGTAGGCGTGAAATACTTTTACAAATGCCTTAAAGGAGTAAAATCTATATCTGTGCCTTGTAGCGACCAAATCTCTCAGAAAGCAAAGTTAACAGGAGCCGTTATGCTAAGCTAACTTAGCAGGGCAACCGTAACTTACTTCAGCAACACGGCGCCGCCAATAACCGTCCCGAATACAGACACGGGCAGAATAAACTTACTCATGGTGGGAATGTTAGGAGAACATCAGCTGAACGACCTAATAAAAAACACCAGTAAAGACCAGAATCATGTTAAGCTCCACTTTACACGTTGGCTACAACCACAAGGTGAACGTGACGTCTTCATTTCGGGAGCGCTCCAATCCGTGTACTTGTGTACTAAGCAGGACGTTTAGAAAGTGCGCACAATTCAAATCCAAAACGTTGGTAGTCCAACATCGAGTGCGCAAAAATTACAGAGTCAACGACGCACACTTGGCTGAGCAACACGTTCTGCAGAGATTTGAACTGTACAGGCACAAAGGTAGGTCTGGAGCACTAGTGCACTAGCTAGTGTACCAGTTTACAAAACGCCACTGCTCTATTTGGAGCACACCCAAGACACACACACCCCCAAGATCAGTAATCAAGGCTGCTTTCAGAATCACACAGAGGAGACGGGGAAAATTGACCGCAAAGCTAAACCATATTTGTGTATGAGTTCAGCGCGTGTAGGATGATGATGCGTAAACCTGCACACAGTCTGAGGAAAGAAACTAGAACAGCAGACAGTTTTTGTTGTTTAAAAAAGAAAAGTTAAAGAGCGCCTTCTAGTGAATCTTGCATCAATTTGGCATCTCAGTTTTACAGAACGTACAATTTGTCTGATAATTTCTAGTCTTTGCCTTTTCTCATAAATTGTGTTATTAATCAAAATACAGCACAAAAATCTATTTTAAAACAAAATTGAGACCTCTGTCTTCATGATTTCCCTTCATTTTAATAAACTATGTCAATGGACAAATGACAGTAAAATAGAAACACTTGAAATGCCAATATTGTTTAATGTGATTATATTAATTACATACTGATATTATGTAAACATATTTATTATTATTGTTGTAGTTTTAACAATAATAACTATAACAATTTAAATAAAGCATATCATTCAACATTTAATAGATAAGTGTAAATGATTACTGTACATGACACAATGCATCAGGTGTGGATGTAATTCTACTTCAGTGAAAAATGTCACCTAATTCTAGTTAACCATTGCTACAGCATGCATATAGTGTTATAACCCCACATTTTGTCTAGGGCACTGTGGGATCAGTAACATGACATTAGAACAGTGAACTGGTGATGAAGGTATGAAAGAATGAGGAACTGACAAATAGGGCTTTTGAAGCCATTTTCATTCAAATTGAACCATGTTGTGTTCTAGTGCAGTGGCTCTCAGCACAGGTGCTGACCAGCACTGCCATGCACATTATAGTCCTTGACCCAAATGGGGCACTTGTGGTTCTGCTGTCATTCCCAAAACGCCTTACGATGTATCATTTCTCATTCTGCTACTCAAAAGGGCACTAGATGCAGACTCTGCAGCGGCCTCTTACTCAGAATTCTTTAAGATTCAGCCAACTTCTAACCGGAGGGAACAGTTTTGTTTATCGCTGTCTGACCAACACATCAGAAAAAAAGAGAATATGAGAAATAAAATGCACTTCATATTATTTAACTTACCAGTGAGCTGCATTATGCTTGCAAGCTGAATTGAAGTACAACCAATTCCGCCATCAACAAATATGGCACATGCAGATTTGCGATGTCAAGCTTGTAACGATAGCAGGACCCTTTATAGAATGCTATAGAGAAACAAGGTTCTATATAATACCATATACATTCTCCATCAATCTGAAGAACCACTTCACCATGCAAAGAACTCTTTAGACATACAAGCAATTCTTTGAGTGTTCATGGTTCTCTATAGAACCATTTTCTTCAGTAAAGGACCATCTTTAAGAATGTGCATTAAGTACTGATTTAGTGTGATGAAAATATAAAGTAATTGTACTCCAGTACGTGGACTGAGAATGTTTGCTCTAAAACAGTATTTCCCCACTCTGGTCTTGGAGGTCCACTGTCCTGTTGTGCTTTCTTTGTATCTCCATTGATAAGAATTAATGTGGAAGCAGCGCCAGTCTGATAACGTGGTAGCCTACTCAGCTGTAGCCACGACTATCACAGGCCTGTCTAATTAAAAGGGGACAGAATATGTATTAGGCCGCATTTTTTAAGATAATGAAATTTGCTTTGTCTTCTGTAAACGCTTAAAATCATTCCAAAGAACAGTAACAGGAATCTGACACTGAGCAACAAGAACATAAAATCACATATCTTTATTATAAAAACATTTTAATGTCATACATATTTACAGGTTCAGACATATTACTTGTCTATGATTCTCATCCACATCACTGGGGACCCTGAACACTGATCATGTGTTTCCTGCTCTATCGCACTCGCCTCATCTCTTGAAATTATTCTGAACAGTGTGAGACGTTTCGAGCGTGAAGCGTACACAGCACTGTGTGTGATGGCATAGACGGACACAAAGAGGCCAGTCCGAGAGACGAGTTTGATCTGGTGATCATGAGAGAATCTGAATGACCTCTTTGGCTCTGTGTGCTCTCCTCTCTGCCTCTGCAGCTCCGCCCTCTGTATCCTCCTGCCCACCCCAACGGACCAGAGCCTCTGCTTTCTGCACAGTGGTCTCTCGAGCTACTCCCTGCAGACCCTCCAGATATGATAACAACACTGCAAAATGAGCATCAGACACCTTAAAGGAGAGAGAGAGAGAGAGAGAGAGAGAGAGAGAGAGAGAGAGACAGACAAAATTTTCATTTTGAAATTGGAAACGCATCTTAAAAACCTGTAAACAAAAAGCAAAAATTAAACATTATATATATAATTATTATATATAATAATTATATACATACATACACACATACATATAGTCAAGCTAATGGCACCTATCAAAGTTTCCACTGCCTAAGGAGTTCATTCATCTGGGTTTAACAGATAGCACTTCCATACCTTCTCACTGTCAAACATATGCTGCAGTAACCACACCTGCCTCGTCTTCTGAAATTTCCATTCATCCCGCTTCTCTGACCAGCTGTGGACAGACACACACACACAATTACTTCAAATCAGAAAAGTAAAAAAAAACAACACATACAGCTGTAAAAGCAATCAGTCTTAAAGCTGTGTAAGATTTAGTGATTTGGAGACCTCTCTGGTGGAAATGTGTAATTGCACATAATGTGCAGAAAAACGTTTTGTAATGTGGGCTGCACTTCAGACCCCCTCCCCGATGAATCTTATGTGTACAAGCATGATGAAAGAGCATTCAAAGAGACCTCAGTCAAAACTGGGTGAAGAACATCTCTAACTCAGACTGTGATTAATCCATGTACAGATACTCAGGGTGTGATTAATCCAGGTTTAGATACTCAAACTGTGATACATCCAGGTTCAGATACTCAGGGCATGATTAATCCAGGTTCAGATAATCAGACTGTGATACATCCAGGTTTAGTTACTCAAACCGTGATACATCCAGGTTTACATACTCAGACCGTGATTAATCCAGGTTTAGATACTCAGGGCATGATTAATCCAGGTTCAGATAATCAGACTGTGATACATCCAGGTTTAGTTACTCAGACTGTGATACATCCAGGTTTAGTTACTCAGACTGTGATACATCCAGGTTTAGTTACTCAGACTGTGATACATCCAGGTTTACATACTCAGACTGTGATTAATCCAGGTTTAGATACTCAGACCGTGATTAATCCAGGTTTAGATACTCAGGGCATGATTAATCCAGGTTCAGATAATCAGACTGTGATACATCCAGGTTTAGTTACTCAGACTGTGATACATCCAGGTTCAGTTACTCAGACCGTGATACATCCAGGTTTACATACTCAGACCGTGATTAATCCAGGTTTAGATACTCAGACCATGATTAATCCAGGTTTAGATACTCAGGGCATGATTAATCCAGGTTCAGATAATCAGACTGTGATACATCCAGGTTTAGTTACTCAGACTGTGATACATCCAGGTTTAGTTACTCAGACCGTGATACATCCAGGTTTACATACTCAGACCGTGATTAATCCAGGTTTAGATACTCAGATCGTGATTAATCCAGGTTTAGATACTCAGGGCATGATTAATCCAGGTTCAGATAATCAGACTGTGATACATCCAGGTTTAGTTACTCAGACTGTGATACATCCAGGTTTACATACTCAGACTGTGATTAATCCAGGTTTAATTACTCTTAATTAGTTTAATTAGACTGTGATTGGCTAGTGGTTGAATGTATATGAGTGTATGCGTGCTGTTATGACTAACCATGTGAGGTACTCCAGAGCCTGTTTCTGGGCCACGCTGGTCTTGCTCCCCTCTTTTTCACTCATCTCTTTCTCTTTCTGTTTCTTCTTCTCCTCCTTTCGCCGAATCTTCTTCAACTTCCTCTCCAGCACTCGTCTCTCCTCGGGGGTCAGGTCATCCCCTCCCTCCATCCCTTCCTCCTCCATCCCTTCCTCCTCCACTTCATTCATCTGTGCTTCTGCAGGCTGATCAGCTTCTGCAGGAGAGATGAACTCATCTGAACTCTGCAAGAAACAGAGAAATAAAAAGAGCCCTGATTAATATCCATATACAAAGCACACACACATAAACATACATATATATATAGAAATAAATAATACTTTCTTTAACTTTTAGAATTAGTAACAGGTTATTCTGGTCACCTAAAACAGGTATATAACTGACATTAGGCTGCCCTGTATTGTACTTCTTTAAAAAAGCAGTCCAGGCTGAAACACTCCTTATAACTATGAATGGGTGGAGCTAAACTCTTGAATATATATAAATATTTTGGTTTCTGTGAAATCATAAAAACAATCAATTCAAAACGAACTGCTTTTTACTGCTTAGTCTCCATATATCGGCTGGCGAGTCAATGGTACAATTGTATGCAAAAGTTTGGGCGCCCTCCTGGACAACGCCGGAGTGGCTAATTGGGAGAGTCAAGAGAATTCCTGGCAGGCTGGTAGCGTTTTGGGCCAGTTACAGTGAGCTAATGTATAAACTCATGCACACAAGCACAAGAACACTCAGACAAACCATACATATTAAACCAACTGTAAATTAGTAGTAATTTAGGGGTTAAACCAGCTGCTCCCACCTCAAGTGAAACAAGCCCCAGTTTGCTGATTGTAACTAAGTAATATAACTGACATGTTCTGTCAGTGGAAAAAAGTTAACACATCCTCTACAATGAACACTCATCTGCACATTTTTATGCAAAATTATTGTTTATTTGCTGAATTTATCATATCGGGTAATAAACAAAAACATAAAATGTGGCCTGGGCAAAAGTTATGGCACATTTTTTTCCAATACTCTAAACTCGGAAATAAATAGAAAGTGTGCTCTAAAATTTGCAGAAAAATGCCACATTTAGGTGTTTTCTCTGTAGAGGAGGAATTAACTTATTTTCCAATAGAAAATCAATAAAACATGTAATTTGACCGGCGGTGTTCAAGATTTTGCACATGACCGTGCATTTTGACACTTTAAAAGGAACATAAATGGGAGACTTCCTTCCTCCTTCCATAACGTGACATATTTACCAGGGAGGGTCTCTGAGCTAAGCATTTAAGCTCAATGATAAGTGAGAGTGATGGGAGGAGGATGAAACATGTTAATTTTGATTAATACTATTTTGCCCCATCCACTAGTGATGTAATTAAACATCAAAAGACCTCAAATTTACTACACTCTGATCAAAGATCGCAGGAAAATAGGAATTTAAATGAGATGATATGATGAAGCAGGTTTGAACTAAGTAAAAAAAGGGTTGATGCTCAGGTTGATGTTTATCATGTCTACATACCACATCATATAACTCTTTCAATACAAAAGTGTGGAAAATTTGTTTTTCCACTGTATATGACCTTCATAATATTTATGCATAAAAGTCAACAGTAGAAATGTCAATCAGAAGATTGAGCATTGTGTTTCTATGAGAGACAGAGAGAGAGAGAGAGAGAGAGAGAGAGAGAGAGAGAGAGAGAGAGAGAGAGAGAGAGAAAGAGAGAGAGAGAGTGTGTTTATCGTGTATCAATGCAAAACAATTCCAGGCACTGTGGAGATGGAATGGTCGCTGATGTAAAAATAGAGCCGTATCTCTGCTTGATGTTTTTAAACCCCGCTGCCCCGCTCACAGAACATACGGCCATGAACCCTGTATCCCCATTTTTGTTGTGTTTTTTGAAAGTGTCAGCTGCTCTTCATATTATAAAAGAGATTATAAAAGAATCCAATATTGCTTGGAATTAAATCTCATTACACTAAGTAAGTTAGTTAGTAAGGTTTTGTTCTGACAGCTTTTTGTTCTGTTTGTGCTACACTGGATGGGCAAAACTGTTTAAAACAAACTAAGACTGATTCAAACTAAAACGAACACAAATTTTAGTTAAAGTGACACTAATGGTGGACAATGTGGCAATATTTATTGTTTTTATTATATATAAAAATAAATATTGACATATCACATATCATGAAAACGTCTTGAAGTATTGTGATATTTTTGCCATATCAGACAACTCTCAGTGACAGCTTTACCTTTAGGACCTTCAAACCATGCACTTGCAAACGGATCAGTGGGCATGTATAAAGGGAACATGCTGGAATACTGTAAACTGTAGCAGAGAAAAAGTAGATTAGTGGAAGGAAATGTGGGAGGAAAAAAGCCTTAGCATGAGAAATGTGAGAGTAACAGAGCTCCTGAAGGTGAGAGTAGAGTCTTAAGAAGAAAGTTAAGAGTAACTATGTTTCTGGAACAAAAGCTTCCAGGAACCTGTTCATCCGACCGTCTGTTAACTCAGTTATCTTAAATGCATGTGTGCACACACACACATGCTGTTCTTGAGCTCAGTGTATTGGTCAGCCTGTTTGTCTGTCTGAAAAGGTAATGGACCTCTCGAAGTCGTCCAACATTTTGTTTGGTGTAAACAGAGCGAGCGATTGTGTGTGTTTGACCGGTCCTCCAGTATTTACATATTTACAAAAGACACTCAGCATCCATTAATCTGATAGATAAAAGAGATACAGAGAGAGTGTGTGTGAGTGAGTGTGAGAGAGAGAGAGAGAGAGAGAGAGAGAGAGAGAGAGAGAGAACGCAGGTGTGGGTATAAGATCAGATGAAAGAAATGCGATGCCGGTCAGGAACTGCTCATGGAAAGGTAAGAGTATGAAAAAGTTTCTTTCATTATGTTTCAGACAGAAATTATTTCTTACAATTGAAGCTGTTTTGCTCTGGTATGTATCCATTAGAGGTGGGCGATATGGCAAAATGTAATATCATGATACTTCAGGAAGGTTTTTACAATGCACAGTGTGTCACAATGTTTATTTTTTCTGACATCTGATAAGTTAGAGCAGAAAACATAGTGCCACATTTTAAAAATACTATCAAAAACTTACTTTTAAAAACTAGGAATCCAATCACTTGCATTCAACATTTTACACACAAATCCAATTAAACAGTACTTATTATGCTTTGTAATCAAACATGCAGTTAAAAGTGTTTTTTGTGTACTGACGATATCCACAATATGCACAGAAAAGCATATTATGACATACTCTAATGTAGTTTATTGCACTAACAATAAATGTTGCCATATCGCCCAGCTCTAAAATCTATGCTGACGTTAAACTGGTTGTATAAAAAAAGTATTAGTCCAAAGTACAAATCCAACCCCCAAAAAGTAGGTAAAATGCAAATAAAAACAGAAAGTAATTTATAAACTGTTCTTTAAAAGAAATTTATTTGAAAGCAGCACAAAGAAGAGATATTTAATATATTTTACCTGATCAGCTTTACTAATTTTTTTAAAAAATATACACTAATTCCACATTTGATGCCTGCAACACATTCCAAAAACGCTGAGACAATTTAAGTGCCAATGTAAGACTGAGATGTTTGTAGAATGATCAAAAACACCTGTGTTTAAAATTTCCTATAAGCAGCTGGTATACTGTGGAGACATTTGATAAATCAAATTTGATAAATCATCTCAAATATGTAAATATAGAAATGTTTATGTGAGTACCAATGAATAGCCTAAATGTAGTAGGCTAAATTAAAGATGCAGCACTTCTGCTAGAAATGTTTATGAGACCACAATTATTTCAGGCAGAAATACCACCTCCTTAACTCCCTCTTTCTTTTGTAATTAAACAGTTTACAGCAGGTTTAAAACTTGACATACACTTGATATTTGTTAAAATGGATATGTACAGTCGTATGTGAAAGTTTGAATACCTCTGGTTAAATTAAATGTTTTGTTGATTAGAATTTGAATAGGTCAACACATCCTTTACAAGAGGCAAATTCAAATATGAAATTTTCTGCAATTGTAGTGCTTGAGTTAAACATATAGGAGGAAAAATCACTAACTTTTGCACAGGCCACATTTAATTTTTCTTCCAGTATGTTATTCACCAAATAAACAGTAATTATTTATTTATATGTGTGTTTTCTTGTATTTATACGTGTGTTAATACATTGACGTATAAAATCAATAAAACATGTAATTTGACCAGGGACGTGCAAACTTTTGCATGAATAAGAGGTCAAATATAATTGCTGTTGGGACAAAACATCTCAATTTTTGTCATTTTTCATTTTTTGACATAATTTGAAATTACCAGCTGCCGTTTACTTTGTGTCAAAATCTCAGGATAAACGGTCCAACAGAAATGCTCCAAAAGGAATGAATCATTTTTCCATGAATTTACATTAGAAGAAAAAAAAAGTAAAGTTAAATTATTTGGAGATATGAAGTGATGACATATCCCTTTGTATGTACATTTGCATTTCAGCACCGAAGGAGAAACAGTGTCTTTTTCTTCACTATATTTCTCTCGAACTGAAAGACTAAAAGAGGAATAAGATGGACGAACTCTTGAACTTCACTCGTGCAACTTTCACCCACAACACCTCCAACCACTCCTGGTCTGTGGTCAGCGATAACCAAACGGACACTGACTTCTACACTGTCAACATCCTCCTCTCCTGCTTTTACACCGCCTTCCTCTTCCCTCTTGGCCTTGTGGGTAATATCCTGATCCTGCTTGTGAACCTGGACCCCTGCCAGAAGAGGAGCAGACCAGACCCTTACTTCACCAACCTGGCGCTGGCCGACCTGGTGCTGGTGCTGGACTCGCTGATTGAGGTGTTCAACCTGAGCGCACATTACTACGACGACGCAGTGCTGTGCACTTGCATGGCGCTCTTCCTGCAGGTCAACATGTACAGCAGCGTCTTCTTCCTCACCTGGATGAGCCTGGACCGCTGTTTGGCTCTAACAGGCCTAACATCTCACGCGCTGACTGCCGCCCATGGCTTGGTGAGCCGCCGTTCAGGCCTCACGTGCGCTGCCATCTGGGTGGCTGCTATCGCCAGCACCCTGCTGCCGTTCACCACAGCTCATGCCCGTCACGGCTGGGGGCGGGGCTTCTGCTTTGCAAGTGCACCCGAGGTCCAGTGGCTAGAGGTGACGCTGGGCTTCGCTGTACCGTTCTGTGTTATTGGTGTGTGCTATGCCTTGATCGGTCGTGCACTGTTGCGGTCCGGACAGACACGTCGTGCCAAGGCACTTCGGATGATTGCGACTGCTGTCAGTGTCTTCTTCGTGTGCTGGCTGCCTGAAAATGTCTTCATCGGTGTTCACCTGCTGCGTGGGGCCACCGAACCATCACGCCGTCGTGGCAACAGCACACTGTGGCAACAGTACCCGCTGACGGGTCACGTAGTCACATTGGCCGCGTGTGCCAACAGCTGTCTGAACCCGCTAGTCTATGGCCTGCTGGGGAAAACCTTTAGACGCAAACTGCACCTCTTTCTCAAGAATCACCTGCACTGTCATGATGCACCCCAACGGACCGCAAACGTGACCCGCATGCGCCTCCATCATGGCCTGCGAGTAAAGTTCACGCGCACTATATGCACTAGCCACAGTCAGGAGGAGGAGGAGCGTGAGCTCAGGAATGAAGTAAATACAATGTGTGCGTGAGCGGCAGAGTACAAATAATTAGCGTGAACGTTGGACTGTCTTTTTGAAACACAAACACCTCTCAGATCTAGTTATCAGTGATAATCCAGTGAAACACATTTAGGGTGATATTTCTGTACATTCCACTGGATGATAATCCAGTCGAACACATGCTGCGCTTCCATGGTGTTGTGCTGACTGTATTATAGCACACCTACTAAATATTACTGGGTATGAAAACAGAAACGTTCTTCACCTCTAAGAGTTTTTTTAAACGAGAGAAATGTGTCTTTCTAAAGGAAGTACATTCTCTTAGTAGACAACAAAGCACTTTTGTAAGTCCCTCTGGATAAAAGTGTCTGCTAAATGCTGTAAATGTACAAAAAGTACCTCCCATAGGCTTCCACATGGCATAGAACTGCACCAGGTTCAAGGTTAAAAATGATACTGTAATAACAGTAATAATAAAGTATGTTCTGTTTATAAGCCGCCTTTAACAAACCCAAGGACGCTTTACATCGGAGAGGGAAAACAACAAAACTGATGGGCTCAGGCTTCTGAGTTTCAGTACACAAACACAATATTTTATGTTTTATCTAATGAACCTCATAGTTTTTTTGTGAATATATGCTCACTACAATTTAATGCCTGCAACTGGTTCCAAAACAGTTGGGACAGGAGTATGTTTACCACTGTCTTACATCACCTTTTCTTTTAACAACACTTAATAAATGTTGCCAGTCTTAAGTTATAAAGCCTTCAGCTGTGCGACTTTACAGGGCCTTCATTGCTGTGTTTTGCACTTCATAATGCATCACACATTTTCAATAGGAGACAAGTCTGGACTCAAGGCAGGCCAGTCTAGCATCTGCGCTCTCTGATTAAGCAGCCATGTTGTTGTAACGTGCAAAATGTTTCTTGCTGTTATGTTGAAATAAGCACAGATGTCCCTGACTTTTACACATTTTAAAATGATGTCATTGCATACACGCCCATGGAAGATGTTCAAATACTGAACAAATCAACTATATTTTAAATTCTGCGTTTTGTTTGTTTTTATATATTCTCTGTATTGTATATTTTGTACTTGGTTTAAAAAAAATAAAAAATACACAAATGTGAATCGACTGGCTCTGCGTAACAGCTGTGACTGGATACAGGAGTATTACGAGCTGTGATACGCTCTGTTCATCAACAGTCAACAACAGATTTAATGACACTGAAAGAAATCAGAGGTCCAATTTCCCTAATTTCTGCCAGTTCTCCTCATTCCTCCTGCTCGATTCCTCCATGTTCTTCCAGGGTAGGAGAGGGGCAGTAGGAGGGGAGGTGGAGGACAGGAGCAGTAGCAACATTTCTGGATGCAGCCCTTCCCATACACTGATCTTTCTTTTGGGCTACAATAACTGAAAGCATAAGCTAAAGACACGGCTTCTTTACGGTACTATTGACTATTGACTATTAACTGAGCGTTCATTACACAGCAAATGAATTATACTGTATCTAATCACAGGACTGTACTGCTAACTGAAGCTTTGTTTGTATCTCTGCTGTTCTGCAAATAAACCAGCAGCACCACCATGTGGTTAAAATTTGCAGAATCATTCAAACTGATTTAAACTGATGGAAAGGCATCATTAGAGGACAATTATCTGTAGAAATGTCTGATCTGATACCACATACTGGTATGCTTGGATTGGATAGCAGAAGGGGAGAAAAAGAATGAATGTGATCTATCCTGAAACAGCACTTACTCACACTGTGTGATTTGATGTTGATAGCTGGGCTTTTCTTCTTGTGGGTTAGTAGAGTGTATGAGTAGTTTGAACTTACTTTTAGATGCTCATCTGTGCTAAGAATGTCTCACAACCTGACAACACTTGTTTTGATTAGACTATTTTGTTATTTTCTTCTTTTAAAATGACACCAAAGGAAACCTTACATAGTGTATTGTAAATGTTAGTCATACAGAACAAACATTTCCAGACAGGAAGCATGTTATTTATTACAATTCATTTTTTTGGATTTTAAGCAGATGACTTACGTTACAGTTAAGAGTCAGGGCTTGGATACAATGAGAAAAGTGCAAAATAAAATTAAAAAATAAATAAACCACTTGGCAGTGTTGACTTCTGTCATGTATTTAATGCTAATTATCTATTAAATACATTAATACATTTAAATATTAGTAAAACTGGAAGGAAATATCAAATAGCATGTCAATATCATGGTATACTCATATTGACAATATTTTCTCCAGCTCTATGTTAAATTTTTGGCATGGAAATTTCGTTTTAAGTAATGGAAAAGTAATTACTTTGTTTAGAAAGTGCATAAACCCTGAAATACTGACAGATAATTGAGCTCCCTCACCTGTGTTAATATGAACAACGTTACAAGGGTTAATGAACTAATTTAACTGATCAGTGAGTGTGTTTACATGCACTTAATAACCTGATAACTGCAGAAAATCAGATTTTGTCAGTAATCCGATCAACGCGTTCATATGCAACTGAGTAATCAGATGATGGGAAAGTCCAGGTCTACATGAGTCAGGCAGTAATCGGATTTCTGCTTTGCAACCAGCCAATAAATTCGCAGAAGAGGATGTGACATAAATGTAATGTAAAACTCACTCAAACTTCATTCTGCAGCTTTTTTTTTTTTTAAACATCACTTTACCTGAAAATATATAAATACTTCATCTAAAAGATGAAGAATATTTAAATCCTTCATTTCGTGAAGCATGTAGCTCCAAAAGTGTTTTACTGCCATCTCACGGCAACACTGCTTGCTTATTTCTGGTACCGCGGTCCATTTTTGCACAAGCACAGACTGAGAAATCTCAAAGAAATCCTGTGTTTTCAGGGTGCTCTAACCCACGGCCATCTGCTTCCAGAAGAATCTAATGTGCTCTCTCTAAAAGGTCTCGGTAAGAAAAATAAATCTATCTGCATTGTGGAGAAAGCAGAAGGCTGTTCAGTGGGGCAAAGTAGGACGTTAGGCTACGATAAGAGGCGAAACTTTGCACAAACCTTGCTCTTGGTCTCCCTCTGCTTCTTTTTCTTCTTGCCTTCGAGTGTTGTGACGTCGTTTATGTTGGCTTTCTTTTTCTTCACCTCTGTGACATCATCAGCAGGGACACACGTCTCAGAGTCCTGTAAATAAAACACATACAAACATCTTAAGACCACCTGTGCATCGCAGCAGCAGAAACACTGCAGTGTTTCTCCTCTGCTTTCTGAGAGGGAGAAAAATGAAAGACATTTAAGTAAATATGAATCAGAAATGAAACAGTACTGTGAAAAAATTACAGACCACACTTCCACTTATATTTCCACTCAAAACAGCCATTAAAAGTACAAGATCTTGATTTTTCATCAGCATGAAAAAAACAGAAAACATATTTAACAGAAAATTACACAAGAGCCTCAAGAACTAAATTTAATATGATTTTTTGTTTTCAACAATTACTGTGTCCGTTCTTTGCTTTTATTACAGCTTCCATTCTTTTCGGGAGATTTGCTTTCAGTTATTCAAAGAAATCTGCAGGGATATTTTCCCACTTCCAGTTCAGTCATAGAAGTTGGTTGCATTTTCTGCACCTCACGATCCAATTAATTACAAATATAAACACAAATTAAGGACCAATCTCAGATGTCCAGTTTTGGTGACCTAATACAAATGTTCTTCTTTTTCTTAGTAAGGGCATCTTGGCAGCTACACATCCTTTCAGACCCAGCCCATTGAGATAGAAGGATGGACAGAAACACCTGGGGATTTTTTTCAGATCTGAAGCAGGAGTGGAGCTTGATTTACTCCTCTCTCTCAAAGATGAAATCTTTAAGTGCTGATTATCTGATGGGGACAGTTTTGGTGGTCTACCAGGTCTTGCACAGTGAGTCCCACTTTCTCTGTATGTTTTAATCATTTTTTTAACTCCAGCTTTGAAAACTCTTGTTTTGTTCACTTACTTTCCTTTGATTTTTTCACCTTCCTTATGCAAGTGTATTATCTAATATCTAATCTTTTCAGAAATATCTCCTGAGAAATCAATAACTTTTACCTAATGGCCATGAACATTAAATTTTAATGACTCTCTGATCTAGCTGAGCAGTTTCTCTAAATGAAAGGAGGAGGAAGGGGAAGGTTAAACAAATTATTATTGGTTATTATTTTGTACAGTAATGTACCATGATGTAAAGATTATGGGAAAACAAGAATTGAAATAAGAGAAATGAAATAAGGTCATAATAATTGTCAATTGTGAATTTCGGATTGTCTTTAATTGTCACCCCTAATGTAAAATGAAGTTTGATAGCTGTGGAAAAGCACAGCCAGTGCATTTGTGTGTGCGTCAATGCATCTCCTTTTTCCTGGACATACCAAGATATATAATTACAATTTTTAACACATCAACTCATAAATCTGTTGACCAATGGCCTTAATATAGAGATTTTTTTCTGGCTTGAGAAAATAGCAGCGCAGAGGCTCACACAGTAGTTTGGCCCAGTGATTAACAAATTTACATAGAGCTTTAACATAAATCTTTTCAACAAAGTAGCACAAAATTTGTTTTGTCAAAAATAAAGAACTCAAACATTTTAAGGCTAGACAGAGCGAAGAATCTGGAGGGGAAAAACTACATAGAGGGCCATAAATACATACTTAAAGATGATGGTTATTCAAGTTCTTTAGTAAATAAAATGGTTCTATATAGAACCATGAACACTCAAAGAACCCTTTGCATGATTAAATGGGGTTCTATATAGCGCCAAAAAGGGTTCTTCTATCGTTAAAAGCTTGACATCTTGACATCGTAATAATAGAAGAACGCTTTTTGGTGCTACAGAGAACCATTTTAAAGGGGTTCTATATAAAACAATCTACAGCACATTCGCCATCTATCTGAAGAATACTTTTATGATGCAAAGAACCATTAAACCATGCAAAGGGTTCTATCAGTTCATGGTTCTATATAAAACAATTTTCAAGAACAACAAAACAAAGAAGAACCCTTGAAGAACCATCTTTAAGAGCGATATTAGCTGTTAGGAATAACAGCTGATAACAATATTGAGTAAAATACACTGTGTGAAATTACTTTCTATAATAAAGGTGCTATTAATCGTAATACAGGACTGATGAACAAGTGTCATCTAAGGTGTTGCACTCACCTCATATTCTGCCTTCTTCCTCTTCATTTTCTTCTTGTCTTTCACGGCTTGTTTTGACTTCTTTTTCTCTGAAGAAGTCTCGGGCTGAAGAAGCTGACTCTTTGCCATCGTAACAGTGATGCAGCTTCTACATGGACAACACACAACATATCAGGTCAGACAATGTAATTATAAATATGATCAATACCAACATTACCTTTGTGTCGTTAGGTGGTTAGCAGCTGTATAAAACACCATTTCTGATCTGATGTGTTTTTATGTAAAATGTACATCAAATATACATTACATATTCTGAAACATCTGCTTTAAGGGCACCTTGCAAAAAACAAAACTTGCATCAGGCCACTGATAGTATGTGCCATGCCTATATTTGGCTATTAACATGCTGATTCAACTTTTTATACATCTTTTAGGCATTACTACTACTACTACTACTACTACTACTACTACCACCACTACTACCACCACTACTACTACTACTAAGTAACATGCTTAACATTTGTTGCAACAAGCTGCAAAAGTACTTTAAAAATCAGCCTGATTTGGTAGAGTTTATTGCTAACTCAAACATATATACAAAATTTGCTTGGGGTATCGATCTTACATTGCTGATAGGAATGATAAGTTACTGCTGTATCGCGGTAACATTCCAAAGCACCGCCTTACAGCTCACAGCAGCATCGTAGTGTTCACTTCGCCTTATGAGCAGGTTCAAGTGGCATTTTTGTCCAGTAACTTTATAACCTTTCAAGTCCTGATGAAGCTGAACCAGCTTCTTATTCGAATTTTCCCGTTCCACCTTAAAAGGTGCAGCAATTAATGGAGGCGCCAGAATGTAAATGCTGCATCCTTTAAGGTGGAACGGGAAAATTCAAATAAAATCGTGTCGAATAGGAAGCCAACTTCAGCTTCTTAAAGTCCTGCTCCTTACCAACACTTCAAACACTAAAATTTCAGTCAACAGCTGAGGAAATGTACATTATAGGATACACTTAGTGGCTAAATTTAATTTTAAAGAGAATTTGAAAAACCTCTGAATCACCTATAAGGTTTAGATGTTGGCCAAGTAAGTTATTAACGTATTAAATTTACGTTTACTTACCAACTGTTTTAAAACAGCCTCTCTACTTCCATACGGCATGTAATCCACATGTCAGGACGCTTTCCGTAGTTACACCTCAAACTCGAACTCTGATTGGTTTAAACGCTCAGCCGCCGGGATATCTGGGATTTGTAGTTTTTTGTTTTTATTTTTTTCCCTTTCACATTCCCATTGTCAGACAAAAAGTCAGAACACCGATTAACTATTTTTTCTTATTTCCTATTTTTCCTATTTCAGATTTCCAAAAATAAAGGTGAACAAATAAACAGATACCCCTAAATAAAAAACTAAAACACTTCAACACCGCTTTCCGACATTATTGCCGACATTCGTAAGTAAGCAGAGAGTTCAAATAAAAACTAACCAAACAAAAATATATTTCAGTCTGTTCAAATTCACATTAAAATGAGCAAACTTTGACATTTAAAGAATATTTCCAGTGTATTTCATCATGTGGAACCAAAGTCCAGTTAGCCGGGCGTTTTTGAGAGTCGGACACGCAGCGTGTTACATGACCTGAGATGTTCAATGTGAAGAGACGTAAATATGGCATGTTCAGCGGTGCGAAGGATTTTAACTGATATTACGCGGTTTTCTGGAAGTCCTGGAACATCTGGGCTGTGGAGTTTGAGGTGAGGACCATGACAGTTATAAATCCCAGAGTTTTGTTTTATTAGCCAGACCGATTCTTTAAGATTTTGCCCTTTTCACTCAGTAAAATCACTCTGGTCTTACATTGCTGAAGGACTGGTAGCTGATTTTATGTTCAGTTTCTTGGACTTCATTTAATCTAAGGTTAATCTATGCTAGAGAGTGTGCTCAATGAAAAAGATATGTCTTTAAAACTGCAGACTTGCAGTTCTTATTCAAGAGTGACAGATCTAGAAAAGTTAATGATCACGTCCCTGAATCAGATGTCAGAGCAGGACAACAAAAGACTGGAGGTGGAGGTGGACCAGAGACGGGAAACACTGTAACACCTCCCTGAATGGTCAAGTCTTAAAGGGGAATTCCACCCATTTTTCAAATTGTCAGAATAATTTAGTCCTTAAGGTGTAAACAGAGTATTTCAGAGTGGTTTGATGTGAAATGTAGATAGTAGTAGTTAGTTGTAGAGAAACTTACTGACGTTAATTTTTTTTTACAGTGGTGGTGATAGGAACCAAGGGTCCTGGGGTCTACAACATGAAAATTGCCATTTTATTAACTGTCTGAAACCACCAGTGAACCGACACGCGTGTTCTTAGATTTTAATAGAAAATCTGAAAAAAGTAGGTTCTCATGGGAACTATTTTGCCTAAGAACACTCTGCATGAATGGATTATAATAAATGGAATAAGATACATTGTAAAACAAAACTTTAGCATAAAACAATGTGTCAGACATCAGGCTGCGTATATATAACCATTTCATGTAAGAACTTTCTGAGAAGGAGCTTTCATAGGCGTTGAACTCTTCAGATGTCTGGTTCCTATTATCACCACTGTGACCAATACTGAGTCTGTACGTTTCTGTAGAACGGAGCATTTCATACCAAACCACTCTGAATGACTTTGTTTACATCTCAACTATTTAATTATGTGAAATTTTTGAAAAATCGGTGGAGTTCCCCTTTAAATCACACATTTTTTTTTCATGTTTTTTTATGACCCCACGTTTCTTTCTCCTTCTCTTTCAGACCACACACAGTTCGAGCACTGTCTGTCACTTCACATTGCTGTGCAAAGTCCCTAAAATCTCCAGGTGGCAATGACGAGGACGAACTGCCCAAGCCCATCAAGTTCTCCACAAGTAAAGGCAGCCATCGGACTTGGAAGGTGGAACGCTCAATGGGCAGTACACACCAGCGGCCTTGGTGGCAGGTTTTGCCATTCAGCATATTGGGAGTCTCCTTCCTTCTCTGGTGCTTTTTCCGTAAGGAGTCAGAGATTGACCAAGCTCTTGAGAAGCAGCTGTTCGAACATTTACCTGGGTTACTGACAGTCATGGAGGAAGAGGAGGAGGAGAAAGAGGAGGAGCAAACAGAGGCACTCAAAAAAGAACCCTGACAAAGGACTAAAATGAACAATCTATAGCTTCAATATTTAAATGTCATTACTGCACTGTTTGGATCATGGGGTTGCAGAGATGAATACAGCATCGACCCTGAAGGCTGAGGACATTTTTTCCTAATTTGTCATTTGTCTTCAGCTTAGAATGTTGTGATACTGATTTCATCTTTACTTAATCAGGGAGGAGGAAAAAAAAAAGACTAGTTTAAAGTGATGTAAATGATGGTTGTGCAGTCTGTATTAAAGACAGTCTTGATAATCCTTTATGTATTTGAATAGATTACTGAAAATTCAGTAATATGTTATTTGGTTGATGTGTTAGGAATATGATGTGCTGATGGCTAATTAATTAGCTTTCAGTGACATTGCAAGATACCAGGCTTGCACAATTGAATGAATTGTGTATGAACAGTCATGTTGATAGTTTGAAAAAATGCTCATAAAGAATTGTTTACACATGGAGAGCTCAGTGCTTTTACTGTGTGATAATACTTTACAGTACTTTAAAAGCAAAAGTGAATAAAATGGTTTGGACAAAGATACGTTAGATGTTCAGATGTTTTTTGCAAAACACACAGATTTACCCCTACCTACATTTGGGGGAGAAAAAAAAAAAAGTCAACCAAGACATGAGGTTTTATTGCATTGGAGCTACAAGGCTATTTATCAGCACTGTTAAAACTAACAATAACCCTTCACTACATGAAAGTACATTAAACAGCTTAAATACATACACCATACAATTGTCTGACTTCAGATAAGCATCTTTTAACATTAAGTCAACAAGTCTACATGAGGCCATAGTTATTTAGCATGCAGAACAAGTTTGTATATCTTGGTAGCTACATTTGCCCTTTAGCTCTGGTGCAAAACAGTATATTTCCTGAGCCGTGGCTTTGCAATCAGCATTTGGCATACAGAATTTTTTTTGCATGGTCACTTTAAATACTCAGTGCTAGGCATATGAAAGAAGGACGATATATATATCCTAGAACAGGGGTCACCAACCCTGGTTCTGGAGATCTGTCTTCCTACAGAATCTGCCACACCTGCTCTCCCTAATTAACTTAAGAAGTCCTTGGTTAGGGCATGTTACACACAGGCTGGAACTAAAGTTTGCAAGAAAGATGTCCAGGAGGGTTAGTAAACACTGTTCTAGAAACTTGTGTTGGTCATGGTGTTCCTATAATCTTAGTATTTTTGCATACTTGGCCATTGTTGAAAGATACTGGTGTAGTGACAAAAATGTGCTTTTAATCTATAAAACTAGCTCAACCTTAAATGTGTATGATTTATCTATGCCATCATTGACTTAATTCTACATTTTATGCACACTTCCTTTTGTAGCAATTCTTGAAACTTTCCACATAACTTTGCTCTAAAACACAAATATATTAGCCATTCAGAGCAGCCAACACACAATGAGGTAGTGGAAAGTTTATTTACAACCAAATGGCCACAATGGAGGAGAAAAATAGAATCATGATAGAAATAAAATGGACACGTTCTAATATCACCATGTAGCATGCAGACTAGAGCGCACAGGCAGAGGTATACCAAAGTCTAAAATACAAACTTTAAAACCCTGAGAGGAGCTCCCGGAATGTTCAGACACCGCCCCCTACTGTCACGCTGAAGAACCACAAGATTCCCCTCCCCTACCACAACTACCAAAAAAAATTACAAAAAAATATGTAAGCTTAAAACTACAACAAGCATTTGTAGTTGAGTGTAAGAACCCACCCCAAGACCTCCTCCCCCCAACCCCCTCCAAAAAAGGTGGATTAATAGAGTGAGCTATCTAAGCACGCTCGCCACGGATTCGCCGGGCCAGCTGGATGTCCTTGGGCATGATGGTGACACGCTTTGCGTGGATGGCGCACAGGTTAGTGTCCTCAAACAGACCCACCAGGTATGCTTCACTAGCCTCCTGCAGAAACATGTAAACAAAACAGTGTGAGAGCCACTCATGCACACAACTAGCATCTTGTATAGCAGAGGTCAGCTCATAACCTTGAACTGTTCCAAGTCAATGACATGTCACTAAGTGACACTAGGTGGCTACAAAGGGCTAGAAACGGAATGGACATATGCCGTTTAGGGCTATAGGGCTATATACAGTCTGGGCATCAAGCAGTAACATTAAGACATTTGAATTTAAAAAACATTGGTTAATACAGAAGGCAATAGCCAACTCAAGTTACATCATTCAAACTTGAACATTTGGTTCAATAATATTCATTTCACACCTGGCCCATGACTAAAGCACCGACAGTTGAACACCTAGTGTAGTTACAGACTTCAGAGTTCCTTAAAGAAGAGGGGCTGCTTGGAACTTACTGGGACAATGCACTACCGTCTTGTGCAGTAAGAAAGTAGCAGCATAAAGCCATTTCACAAACATATGTAGCCTGAACAAACCAAACTGGCAGTCTGTCAATCCAGTGATAACTTATGAAGCTGCATCATACACAAAAAAAAATTAACTACTGATCTGTAGTACAAACTGCTGCAACTCCAATTTCAAAAGCTACAAGAAAAGGCTGTTAAATTCTAATATCTTTTTTGCAACCATTTCTATTCCATGACTTCTGCTATACTGGTAACAGTTCTTGCCAGAAGAAAATCTAGAAGCACTTCCACAGGGGTAGGGACAGTCCATCACACATGTACATAAACCAGAATTGAAAGTGTGCTGTTCAAAAACATACTGATGTATATAGATGGCTGTTAGAGTCTGTGCCTTAAAAACAGTCTAAAAACAGTGAACTTCACCATTTATTCTCTGCCTAAAGGAGTCAAACCAGTGAAGTAACAATCCAAATTCCCAAAATTACTCCTGGTGCCTGCATCCATGACCTCTGCCCATCTACTGACCTGCAGAGCTCCAATAGCAGCGCTCTGGAAGCGAAGGTCTGTTTTGAAGTCCTGGGCAATCTCCCTCACCAGGCGCTGGAAGGGCAACTTCCGGATCAGAAGCTCAGTGGACTTCTGGTACCGACGGATCTCACGAAGAGCCACAGTACCAGGACTTGACACAGAAAACAAAAGTTAAGTGCCAATTGTGTATGCAGAGTTTGGCAAAAGGCATTTAAAAAAAAAATTCTGCAAGAAACTTTATGCGAAGATAATCCAGTCAGTGATTTATTGTTTTTACCGGTATCTGTGGGGCTTCTTCACTCCACCAGTGGAGGGCGCACTCTTCCGGGCAGCTTTAGTGGCCAGCTGCTTCCTCGGGGCTTTGCCTCCAGTGGACTTACGCGCTGTCTGCTTGGTACGTGCCATTGCACTTTAGTAGTCCTCTCAGCTACACACAAAGGAATGATTAGTGTTAAGTCAGATAACTGATTCAGTGTGTTACATAATTAGACAAGAGACCAAATCATCCTTAGGACTGAACAACTGACCACGAAAGGATACAACTCAAATCGCAAGAGCTCCCAATTATATCCTAAATTATTCAACACAAGTCTTAAGTGGGGAAATTTAACCCAACACAAAGCTCATCAACTGGCAGTCTGGCACACAGTTCGTGCAAGACGAACAAATGGATAAGCTTGAAAAAAAAACCTGGAACCTCATTTACAGGAAATAATTCTATTCAAGTTGCAAACAGTACTGGCCAACTGGAAAACTTGGATATTCTCCCCTAAACGGTTCAGCCCTACTCCTCCTGTAGCTCCTGAACTGACGAACAGTAACCAACTTTGGAAGTCGCTCATTTCGACGGCAGCTCCCTAACGTTACCTCATGAAGTAATATCTACACTCGAGCAGCTCACCGCATGTCCACTAGGGCGCCATTTGGGACCCAGCCATTCACAGCCAATATTAAGCCATGACTGAAATGGCCACAGAAAAGCGCCAAGCCCGCATTCAAACGCCTACATTAGGAGCCTTCACATCGTACCACTTTCATAGACCTGTAAAGTAACGTTCTCTCTCATAACAGTGCTTTGGGGACAAAAGACAGACGTAGGTATCGTTAGTTAACTGGCACAAACGCAGGGATCCGAGGCGGCTCGACGGTTTTTTTAAGCGCGGTCAAAAACGTAACCGGCGCAAAAACAGCAACACTGCTGAGGTAAAAGTTACTTGTACACACATAATTAAAGCAACCGTATCCTTATTTGTTCGATAAATAAATCATTTTGAGATCAAAAACACTACGCTCGGCCACCATTACGCGACGTTCAGCTCACACGTTTCTCCTTCATTTGTAGCCAACATGGCGTCCTCTCACAACAATTACAGCCTCTTCTTTGTTTAGGTCGAAAATGGAGAAAAAACCTCTTTAAGGACTTTCGCTTCCGAGGAGCATGGCTTGTAAAACAGGTACCAAACTGAGACTGTAAAAACGGACAAGCATACCCACAACACAGGTCGAAGCCCGATATATAAAACACTCGTCAATGATAAAATAATTTCGGCTTGTTGCTGCGAGGTTAACACCGCGCCAGAGCGGAGCGGAGATCAGCCCGCCGCGGCTTGTCCGCGACGATAACACGCTGCAAGTTCCTATTTAAGTATGAAATACAACCTAAACTACCCAAAGAACACCCAAAAGAGACCCACACAGTGCGTGTTTCTCTTCTTGGTAAAAACACCAAAGCATGACTTACATGTCTCGTTCGGATTACTCCTATACCCAAAACAAGGAACGTCGATCGTGGAGATTTCCCTTCCCTCCCCCACTATTTATACGATCGATGACGATATCTGCCGAATGCCCCTCCCACAATGTGTCTGATTGGTCAGAGCGAGCTTTGATCTGCAGAATGGCGCATTTTACAATAACGGTTACGGTGCGTCTTTGTGTCGTACAGCACTTAAAAATGTAGCGGTGTTTCTTTTTACAGTTTGTTGTAGACCGCATAATGTGTCATTCATGGTTTTAGTTCACTAACGCGGACCTCCGAGGTGGTATTCATTTCTGTTAATGAGTCCTAATCTGGGGGTATTGTGTCAATGGGTCACAGAGTTAAACTACTATTACTTTACGCTGCAATGAGAGTAAAATGCGATTACTCGACCAAAAAGGCGGCTAGATTAAGCCTGTGTTCAGGACAAAATATGGATAGTATTTCATTTTCTACATCGACAATTTTAAGTGTTCCATACATCCGCTCTCAAACATCTGACATTATTTAAACATAATGAAAAGTTTAGTCGAAAGTATGTGAGTTATCTGTGGTTCATGTGTTCTTTTTTTGTTTTCTGTGAGTTTCACTGGCTGTATTATTTGCGACTGTAAATACGATAAAAGTGGGAACCATTGGGAGTGAACGGTTTGTCTTAGACGGAGCCTAATCGCAGCGCACCATCTCAAGCGTGAGGATACTTGTTTAGACTTTTTTATTTTTCTTCGTTCAGATTGGTTAGAAAATATATTTGTAATTACTTCCATTGCATTCAAAATAACCGCGCATCACTTGCTATCTACACTTTTCCCCCAGACAGTGACTTACAGTTTAGCAGTAAAGGATTTATGCGTTCGTGAACCTAAATGTGAGGTATGTGTTGTTAACTAACTACTGCTGAATAACTGTCTTAACATCTTAAAATTCAAAGTTCTGTGACTGCATGTAATGACTCGCAGCAGTTTACACACCTAGGACCGAATCCTCACCCTAATTTCAAAAGGCTCAAAGGGTTTTACTAGACAGTAGCTTAAACCCGAGCCTGAACCTAAACTCAGGGCTTATAGTTATTAAATCTATCAGAAAAGAACAAGAAGAAAGTTGGTGAAGGCAATGGGGTATTCCGATGTTTTATCAAATTTTCTGCCTATTTAAATGGTTAAGACAAGCAGTGGTTTACGGTTAAAGGGAAATTCCACCAATTTTTCAAAATGTCTTAATAATTCAGTTCTTGATGTGTAAACAGAATCATTCAGAGTGGTTTTATGTGAAATGATTCATTGTAGAGAAATTTATAGACTTTATAGTGGTGGTGATGGGAACCAAGGGTCCTGATGTTTGCAATACAAAAACAGCCATTTTATTTATCACAAAAGTATCATAAAACAATGTGTAAGGTAGTATGTATCTAACCATTTCATGTAGTAACTTTCTCTGAGGGAGGTTTTAGAGGTGGACATCTAGTTCCTATTATTACCACACTGAACAATTCTGACTCGGTAAGTTTCTCTAGAACAGAGCATTTCACACCAAACCAGTCTGAATGACTTTGTTGTCATCTCAACCATTTAATTATATTTAAAAAAAAAGTGTTCCCCTTTAATGGTTAAATGGTTACCAAACTTGGAGTGGTTTGATATGAAATGCTCCAGTCAAGAGAGACTTACAGTGTCAGAACTGTTCACAGCCATGTTGAAAGCAACCAGATGTCTGACGTGTTATAGTTTTAAAATCTACTTCACTAGAAGTTAGTACACTAAATGGTTATGAGTAATTACACTTTTTTTTTTTTACCATAGTTGAAATGTTTCTGGTCTAAAATACATTAATGATGGAGACGTACATGCAAGGCATTGTTAGACAAAATAGAACTCAAACAGAACTCAGAACAGAAGGGAATTTCACATCAAAACACTCAATGACTTTGTTTACATCTCAGCTGTTTAGTTCTCCTTTAGTAATATGAGCTGTTGGGCTGAACACATTTTGCTTAAACAGGACATAGAAAATACCCAACCAGAACAAGAAGCTCATCAAACAGGGTTTACAACATGGGTAGCTGTATAAAACTGAATTTCAATTGACTCCTTAAAATGATGGCTCCTGCATCCAAACCATGTGTAAAATGTCCATGAAAGAGCCATTTGGGATTCAGCCAAGTCTACACAGTGGACATACAGTACACTGTTTGGGTGTAGAAGACAACATTGCATAACTCACATAGTGCACTATATAGGGAGTAGGGCCCCATTTTAGATTCAACCTGAATTTGAGTGTTTTGTACGTTTAGGCTCCTCTCATCTCCCAGACACAGACCGTGATTGTAGTCAGACAATAAATACTTTGAGGTAGTTACTATGAGGCGTGAAGTCTGACTATGGAAAACAGTTTAACCGGAAGAGGTAATGTAAAGGGTCCTTTTGCAACTGAAAATATTCTTATTCTCATTCTTAGCCTTTATTTTATTGCTTGTCTGCGGTGATCCCGCCTTTATGTTACCTTCTATGTGTGTTTATAATAGAGCCTCAGGGGGACAGCAGCTCAACCCAGGCTGACTTTCACTGGAAGCGCAGCGATAACTCCTTTGCCTTCAACTTCCTTCCACCAGCCTCGTCCTACCTGACCCACACCATGGCAGCTGCTGCGGAAGCCCAGACTCAACCCAGGCAGGGTGAGGGGTCAGACACGGGCTCCAGTTTCGCTTTCAACTTCCAGATTCCGACAGGAACGGTACCAAGTTCTGGGTTGGAAAACGGGGCCACGCAGGCAGGAAAAACAGAGATGGAAGTAACAACCATTGAGCCAAGTGCAGACTCTTCAAAAAGTAAAGCCAAGAAGAAGAAGAAAAAGAAAGGAGGAGGAGGAGGAGGAGGAGGGGAAGAGGAGGATGGGCTGCAGAAAAAAGTGAATAAAATGATTGAAGAGGCTCCCAAACAGGAGAACACAGAACTGGTTAGTGTACAAACATATGCATTGAGCTTACTGTCACAGACAGCATGCAGATATTGTGTGGACACATCTGCCTTGTATCTTTACACATTGTCCATTTTATCAGCTCCGTTTTCCATATAGGTGCACTTTGTAGTTCTACAATTACAGACTGTAGTCCATCTGTTTCACTGCATAATTGTAGTTTAACATTTTGGGGGAAAAAACATAAAAAAATAAAATAAAGTGCAGCCTGTTTTAAATTATACCATGCTAAATACTTCTTTCTAATATGTTTTTTTTTTCCCATGTTTTATTTTTTTCCTAATACGTTAAACTCAGCAAATAGAAATTGTGCGCTAAAACATTGAGTAAACACTTAAAACTGCTGTGTCTGATCCACTTGTACCAGCGCAACACACACTAACACGCCACCACCATGTCAGTGTCTTTCTCTATATCTCTCTATTTCTGTGTGTAAATATATAGATAGCTAGATAGATAGATAATATACATGTACATATGTATATAGTGTGTATGTGTATAATGTGTGTGTTAGTCTCCAGAGCAGCAGCTGAACAGAGAACTGGACTGGTGTATTGAGCAGCTGGAGTTGGGTTTGAGAACTCAAAAATCATCCACCAAACAAAGTGAGTAATGTGCAAACTCACAATCAGGCATCTATTATTCACTTGCATTGCATCACATAGGCATGCAAACAAATCACAGACCATTCACTAAGCAATCTGTGGAATTGAATGTGTTTGTTATAAGGAGAGGAAGCCAGTCGAGCTCTGAAGACCCTGCAAAGCTCCAAAGCTCAAATGGTGAAAAAGAGGCAGCTGATGAGAGCTATGTGCGGAGATTACAGGAGAAAGATGGAAGAGGAGAAGAACAGACAGTTCAAGCTCATACAGTCAGGTGACATACAGTTTTACCATTAACATGATAAAATGGATTTACCTTGTTCAAAGGGCCAATATCATAGAAAACCAATATTTTCATTGATTTTTTTTTTTTTAAATCAAGAGTGTGATGGAGTATGTAAACATCATTAAAGTTTCAAAATGTACGCTCACTCCCCTCCATGCAGCCCATACGTGGGAAATAATTCACTATGTTGAAATGTAATAAAAAAACCAAAACAGTTCAATAAAATATATCCATCTATTCAGTTTACAGCAGTTTAGCTTAGAGTTTTAAATGAGGAACAATACAGAGCAGCCAATCAGAGCAATGATCATTTTCATAAATCAGTCTTAAAGTATATTTTACAATACAAATAAATACAATTAAATAAAAAATGTACAATATAGGCCCTTTAAGGCTTCACTGTGATTTTTGAAACAGTGTTAAATATTTGCTAATAAGCAAATAATTATTATTAGCTAATAATTTATTTTAACAACATGGCATGCCTCATTGTTCCGTAAGGCAATACGTGTCAAATAGATACATTTTATTTATGTGCTAGTAAGTAAACAGAAATTCCCCTCAACTCCAGCTTTATGCATAAGGAAACGTATTTATGATGTAATTATGTAATGAATGTATTTGTTCCTGTTAACTCCAGACCGTTGTGACTTGAGCTTGTGAACTCATTCATTCTACTTATATTCTACATCCTCTTTTGATCTTTTTTTTTTTTGTGAAATATAAAAGCGAATGACTGGTTGTCCGTGTTTCAATAGCAATGACCTCTGCAAAGGTCACCGTTGTGTCAGAACCTTCCCGCAAACCAGTGTTTCACCGCCGTGCTGAGACAAAGACACACGCAACATCCAGTACGGACAAACCCCAGGACACACATGGACTTTCACATGCTGCTGAGCAGACTGATGCAGACATGGGCCAGTTTGTTTTCAGGCCATCCCATGAGGAGTTCCACTTCAACTTTGACCTGTGATTGGTTGCAAGTGGGCAAAGAGTCTTTACCCAGAACCGCTGCACCTTAGTTTTTCTCATGAGGCAAAACTGTACACCGCAGTGCTGGAGTAAATCACTTTATACCTGACTGTTTTTATAAACTGACCCAAATGCAGTCAATCACGGATAAGACTTTGACTTTGGTGAATAAAGATTTAAAAAAGCTTTATGTTGTGTTATGACTTGAATTATTAAGTATTATGAATTTCAGCTTTACAACATCTGGACGCATTGTTTTTGTCAATATTAGTCACTGATCATTATTTTTACAGGTACCATAATTAGTTCATACTGTCGTGCTGTATAATTAGATTTGAAATCTGCAGAATTAGATTAAGTTACTAATTAAAACTATGGGACGGGCCTTTCGGCGTTGCCATGGAAACACGGTGTGACGGAACCGTAAACAGTGCGTTTTCTTTCTAACACTGCATGGTCTTTTTGTATAATTAAACGAAGTAGAAAACTATGAACCATTTTTTGTCTTACGCATACATTATAAATTTGCACGTTTTATTTAAAAAAACAGTGAAATCTTTTTTTTAATAACGAATGACATACGCAACAACCGCTGCTACAGTAGTGGTTCATGGGATATAGAGTTCCGTGATTCACAGCAAGTACCTCCCCTTCACAAGAAGGCAGTTAGAAAAAGACTACAAATCCCGAGCATCCAGAAAGGCTAGTACGAACCTGTGTGCGAAAAGAATCTTTCTCCGTGCCGTTACTCTAAAGATTCGGGGGAGTTTGTCTACAAATTCAAACAAACAGACAATAGCTTCACACTTTCGTTTCTGTAAGTACGACATGTTATGTTTTTGTGACCTTCACTCGGCCTCGACACGTTCATGTAAATGTTTTATGTTTTTGTCCACTGTTTGTTGAGATTCCCTCATTCCTGAATTCGCCTCTGACTTTTAGCAGCTGGAGCTGATTAATAAGCCAGCTTAAGTGAACAGACATTCTGAGCTGATAAATGAGGTTTAATGTGGTCTCACGCTTTTAAGTGGTTTAAGTCGAAGCTAGTCGTGTTTACCAAAATGTCCGTTTTAAATGTCCTCAAAACTGTTACTGCACATCAGCGAGACTCCTACACACAACCGACAACGCAGCAGCTTTTCTACAACACTTTTTGCTAAAGCTCTTGTGTTTTCAGCCTTGTTCATTGGAAGATGTCGGAACTAAGCGATGAAGCCAGCGAGTCGGAGCAGCTTGGGGCGAGCCTGTCCGTTTGGTTAGCCCACAGCGGGAGCGCCCTGATCCGACCGGAGGAGCTGGACGTGCCGCTGGACCTCTACACCGCCTGCTCCATCGGACAGTACGACGTGGTGGTGGAGTGTATTCGGAGGTACGCTGGTGTCAAGAACACGTGTTTTGGTCTTACTTTGCCTGAAGCCGATCAAGTTAGTACTGAGTTTGGTGAGTATAGTTTGTGCTGAGATGGTCGCAGAGCTGGTCATTTTTCAGCACTGAGTGCTGAGTCGGTCTGTACTGAGTTGCTCCCCACTGCTAGCATTAGGTATGCATGATGATATCGGTATCATATCGGTATCGTCAAATATTTGACCAATGTTTTAGATATTTAGATACAAACTCATAATTTATGATGTATTATGGATTTAGTGCACTGGAAAAATTGAATGTTTGGGTGACGTTGGCTTATTGTGCCTTATTTATCTCACTGTATTTGTAACCCTCTACAAAGAAGCATTACATTTCTCTATCATGGTGATTTCTTTGAGCTCTAGACCCCATTTCAGCATTTTATAAATGTTTATTTATTAGCATCAGCAGATGTGTACATGAAAAATATCGGGCATCAGCCCACAGTTCCCATGTCTGTGCATCCCTAGTAAGAATGCAAATTATCAGTCATTCTTGAGATGGTACTTGGTAACTCAGGGCATAGTTAAGAGATGTAAGAGATCCCATCAAAATCTGTCCACGGAGTTTTGCTCCCCACAGTAAGAGCGCTATAGGGAGCAATACTCAGTACTCAGTACAGCAAGAGATGATTCTGGAATCAGATAGGATCATATTATTGCGATTTCACTGGAGTGTAAAAGGGCCAAAACTGTCTTTTATGCCTTAATGAAGACACATATGAATCAAATGGACCTGGATCAGCACTTTTACAGTGTCAAAAATAATTGGAGCTTAAGGCATTTCGGACACTACCCATTGATATATTGTAAGGGGAGGTTGTATGTGTATTTTTGTATATGAGACAGAGAGAGAAGAGTTCAGAGAGAGAAATAGACACAAAAGAGGAGGAATGAGGACAGTAAAGTACTTGTAGATTTGATTCCCCTTGAGTCACCTGCTCCTGAGTCAGCTAGTGAAACACAAGATCAAATGATTGACATATGGATTTACTGAAACTGACTTATGTTTTCTCTTAAACTTACTAGTGAGTGCAAATACCTCATTTCAGTAGTAAGGGTCTTGTGTGTGTATCAGATGCTGCATGCTGCTCACTGAGAATGTGCAAGGATGACCTGGATTATAATGTGTATTTTATGTATTTCCCTGCAGAGGGGATGTGGATATGGATGGGAAGAACCTTGGTGGATGGACTCCACTGATGTATGCAGCGTATATCGGTCATGACAACATTGTTAATCTGCTTCTGGAGTCTGGCGTTAGTGTCAATGCTAGCACTGCTAAAGGGCTAACACCGCTAATGCTAGCTGCCAGCTGTGGCAACGAGAGCATCGCTTACTTCCTCCTACAGGTACAAAGAAGTTTAATTAGTTGATTAATTGATAAAAATTTATAGGGCTGAAACTGTCTTTTATTTTTGAATATTCTGTTGAATATTATCTCATTTTTAAACAGTCTGTGACAATAGCAAAAGACATTTAACTTCACATCTGAGCACCCACAGTCAGCCATGTCGGCTTTAACAGGCTTTGCAGTCTGAATCATTTTTGTACGGCTCTGGACAGCTAGCCGGCACGCTCTCATTTATTCACACTAAAAAACACAACTGAGAACTTGCTAGCTACCTAGCAATCCAGAGAAGTAGGAAACTACTGGACTGCAAGTGGAGTTAAATTGACATGGTCGTCTGGGATTGCCTGGGATAAACATTTGTTTCCCCACAGAAGTGCATCGGTTCATAAAAGTGGTAAATGTGTCTGTTGGAATGGCTTTACTGCTTTTGAACATTTTCATTATGTAATGTATTGAATATTATCAAATATTTTTGCAGCCCTACAAAATAAGTTAATTAATTGACTTTACAGCTTTATACCTGATAATTCACAAGTTGTGCTAATGCTGTAATGCTGTAACGTGAAAGTCAGAGTTCGCCATTTTTGACCTCCGCACGATTGAGCTGCAATAGTTAGCAACAATTTAGCCAACTAACATTAGTTATGAGTTATGATGATGTACCTTCTCAAAACAGCAAACTTTATGGTAAGTGTTACTGAGTTAACCAGATACTTTGTCTATGACTACGACTGGTCTAAAGCAAACACTACTGTCTTAAATATCATTTAAAAGTAGATGAGTACTACTTTCAAAGTAGGAATTACCAGTTGGGGTTGGCTGTTATTTTTATTTTTTTGGTTTTTCAAGGTCAGAGGTCAGATATTCTGAGTTTTGCGCTGTAGAGGAATGGAGCACAAGTACTGTGTTGTAAATCTTGGCGTCTGATTGTCTGTACAAAGCAAGGGGCAGAACTTGAGCGTAAGGATGGGCGGGGCTGGACAGCTCTTCTGCACAGCACGAGCACTGGACATCAACAGATGGTCAAATTTCTCCTGGACAACAATGCAAATGCTAATGTCAAGTGAGACATGCACACTTCCACATGTACAGCTGCCCACAACAAACTGTTTTCTTCAGTCAAAAGCTCACACACAAAGATGAACATACGTAAACCCGTGCACCTAATGCTGAGCTTGAACTTTTGACCTTTGCTTTGTCAGGGAGCCGGTGTTAGGATTCACACCACTGATGGAGGCTGCAGCATCAGGCCACGAGATCATTGTCCAGTATCTCCTTGACCATGTGAGTGTGTGTATCTGTGTCTCATTGCGTGTCAGCAACAATGCTCAGGTGGTTACATCCCTGAATAAAAATAATGCATGGCCACAGCTTACTATGGTGTGGAAACAGGATCTTAAGGTGTGGCCACAACTTAATTATTGATTAAGGTATAGCCGCAACTTAGTACGACATACAAACCAGATAACTAAGTCATAGTCACAACTTAGTAAGGTGTACAGACAAGATAATTAAGTTATAGCCACGGCTTAATAAGACGTATGAACAAGATAACTAAGTCATAGCTACGATTTAGTAAGGTGCACAAACAAGATAACTAAGTCATAGTCACGACTTAGTAAGGCATATGAACAAGCTTAAGTCATAACAATGACTTAGTAATATGTACAAAAGACAAAATTTACAGCCATGCCTAAGGTGTACCAAACAACATAATTAGGTCATAGCCATGACTTAGTAAGGTGTACGAAGCAGATAATTAAAGGGACCATAACCTACTTTAAGTATATAATTTTTTTTTTTTTTTGTGAGATCAATTTATAATATAAATGATATAAGCCATTTAAACCCTAGCCATGACTTAGTAAGGCATATGAACAAGAGAATTCATAGTCATGACTCAGTACAGCGTGGGAACGAGATGATTAATGAGTTCATTTTCATGTGTTGTGTCATGGCGTGTGTGTTGCAGGGTGCACGAGTTGAGGAGAGGAATTTTAAGGGTGAGACGGCGAGAGTGTTAGCCATGATGTACAGCCACACCAAGATTGCAAGTCTCATAGACATGCATTCTATGAGAGTGAAGCAAGGTCAGATATATACAGCACCTACAATTACACACACCTTCATTCAGGCATATGTAAATGGAACACTAACTGGTAGAAAGGCCCTAGAATGACAGTACAGACCACTTAAGTGATGTCTTAGGATGTAACCAGACATGAAAACTCATGTGCAGTAAAAAGGTAACAAGTTCAGGAACCAGTCCTCTGTAGTGGGGTCCAGCAGTGTTGTTCTTATAAAAAATTTTAGTGATTTTAACATGAAAATTCTTGTGCACTCTGAGTCTAAAATACAGGGGAAGTGACTGTGGAATGATTTTATTTCATCGAATTTAACATCTATGCAAATACAGGTCACGTGCAAAAATTGTACTGTTTTCCAGACATTTTGACTTGTTGTCAATGTGCATGAAACCTGGTAGACACCCTCTTTTGAGGCCCCACATCTTGTAGAAATAGAGGACACTTTGCTTATCATTTGTGTTCTACTGGCTCCACTGGTCTATATAGTGGATATAACATCCCGTCAACAAAATCAATGTCAGACGAAGAGGACGAAGCTGATATTTTGGTTGCAAAAAATGATTATTTTCTCATAACAGCCTTTTGAAAGCTGTGATTGAAAAAAAATGTGAATATGTGAAAATGAAACCAACTTCTCTGCTCACAAAACTTGGCTCTCTTTTCACTTTGTCGGTAATGATATCTCAGTTTTGATTGGCCAGTAAAAATGAAATGCTAAATATGTGGGTTGGCTGAATAATGGCCATGAGCTGCTGTGCTGTGTTTGGAGGAGGGATTCTCTTTCAGAGTTTTATTGGAGCTCTAATCAGCTCCACCTGATTCTCACATTAAGAAGCTCCTTAAGGCCTGCTGAACTTGCAATAGATGTTTTAAATAAGAAGTTTATGTATAATTAAAAACAACCTATGCCAATGAAAATGTTGTGTTATGTTGGTTATTGTGATGCCAAAATTTTTATGAGGGGTGCTACATGTTTAAACAAATAGCAGGCTGTAAATACTTAGGTGAGAAAAAAAATGTATTCAAAAAGCATACAACCATTCTGTGGGACTTTTTATTCTGTGCTGGTATTCACGAGCCAGCCTTTAGTTAGAGGACTGATCTCAGCGCTGATTCCTGTATTTATTCCTGAGAAGCTTTGTGAATAAAGCCCCTGGACAGCATTTCAGCGACACGGTCACATGCTCATCAAATCTACACAATTCATGTAAATGACACATCCATCACTCAAAAATGTGAATTTCGCTGAAAGACAACAAGTTTCCATTTATGTGCAACACTATTTCTCACTTTGTCTCTGTCTGTAGGTGTGTACGAGGAATTGAGCTCATCAGAAGAGGACAGCTCAGCTCCCAGACCCAGATCAACCCGCAGCAGAACCAGAGGCCCCAGCATACACGACGGCCCGCAGGCCATAGCCCGCTTTAGAGTGGGTACCAAACATGGTACGTACATACAACGCTGCTGGACAGTATAGCTTTGTATGCCCACCAGTCCAGATAATAAAGCTGATCATCCACTGCAGGGGTGAGGCCAGGGAACTATACCATGTAGTGTTTGAGGCTGAGTATCTGTACTGACCACACCCTGACTGGACAGGAATGATGTTCAATTTCTCTCTTTCCCACTCATGTGTTATTGCTTTGTATCATTTAGCATTGGGACATTTACACTTCATTTACTTCAACATTGACACAGTATGGTTCTTCTCTTCTCTTTGAGTTGATTTTATTTTTTGCAGTGTTAGATTCTTGCTGATAGTTATTTTTTTTCTCACGAATATTGCCACTCTGAACGTCATCATTTTATCGGTAAGCCTGCTAGTGAAGTCCGTGTCCGAATTAATCTTAATCACTCTTATCTGAACCATGTGTGACAAAGCTGAATTAAAACAATTAAAAAAGGTATATAGCTATTCTATAATCACTTCACAACAGTTAGGAAAGAGGAAAGTGTCTCAAACTTTGATTTGCTAAAGCGTTAGCAACCAGAAACTTGTTTCCATGTTTGATTTCGGATATTGTGGCATACTGTTTTGATCTGTTTTGTTGTGGTTTCATAGACTTTGCATTGGCTCCGCCTGGCTACATGACGTTCCGCGATGTTGGTGACCAGAATGAGGGCATCTGCAACCGTGATGTCACTTCCCCCATCAATGAACTGGACGGCCAAAGCAACAGCAGTCGAGGTTTATCTCTCTCATTGATGATTATTTACTCTCTCCCAAGCACACACAAGTGTATTTTGAAAAGCATGTATCAGCCTTGTATCACACAGCTTAGTAGGTCAGTGTGGTTAGTTCATAAGAGTTGATGAGCTAATCCACTCCTACTATGAGCACACATTTTTTTATATGTGTTTTTTATCTATATATGTGTAGTTATATTTTTACTACAGGCAAAAGTTTGGAAGCAACACTAAATTTGTAAAAAAAAAAAAAAACATTTTATGAATTCAAGAGAGAGTTGACAGCAATATGTTTGTGATTTAAATAGAACTAAATGTCAGTCATAATGGTGTACAACTAACTGATTCTGAATGTTTGAGTTTTGTTGCAAATTTAATCAGATCCACCTGATTCTCACATTCAGTTGCTCTTCAATTGAAGTCTGACAAACTAAATAGGCATGTTAGATGAGTTTATGAATAATTGAAAACTGCTCAGTGTAAGAGACTGTTGCTGACTGCTGCCCTCTAAACGTGTTATAGCATGTTTCTTTTTGTTTTTTTACATGTATTTGCCTCAAACTAACTGATGAAAATGCACCCAGTTCACATTCTATTCGTTGTGATATACGATTGTGAAAGATATAGAAAATAACTGAAATCAGTTTGAGATCAGGCAGTTATGTAATAATTATGACAACCCTAAGGACTTCATAATACTAGATTTGTAAACGTGTTATGTTTTATGAGTTGTTGGTAATTTGACCTTAAAATAGTGTAAAATGTTGTTCATTATTGTTTAGTATTTTTGGAAAAAACAAAACACTGCTTGGGTCACTGCTTGGTTCCATATATCTTGGGCTGTAATATGACTTTCCTAAGCATAAAGTGTGTGTGTGTGTGTGTGTGTGTGTGTGTGTGTGTGTGTGTGTGTGTGCAGACGAGCTGTTCTTTGATAATGACATGCCCACCATAAGGAGCAGCAGCAGCAGTAGCGAGGGTTTGCCGCGCCTCCTTGGCCTCAGCAGGGAGGGGTCGCTGGAGAGTAACGAGGTAACCATGGCAACAGCCCATCAAATCTTACCCACGTAAACATAACATAAACAAAAACATAAACAAGACAAGCCAACTAGGCCTACTGCTTTGATTCAGCTGTGTTAGAAATAAACTCCATCTTTTCTGCTGTCTCAGGACTCAGATCAGGCCAAGAGGAGTTGCCCCCGACGAGCCAACAGACTCCATCACTCTAAGAGCAAAAGTCGACATAGCAACAGCGACTCTACTCCACCCAGCAGCACAGGGAATTGTGGGATGCCCCCACCCTACACAGGCCCCAAGGTAGACACACTACAAACACCATGCACAAATAATGTTTTGAGAATAGAACAGAATCTGGCTGGTGGTCACCACAGGGAAATGTCCTTCAGCAGATGTGTCAAATGTGTTTGTACCAACTCTGCTGAACGGTCTGCGTTGTGTGTGTGTGTTTGCTGGTGGCAGGACCTGGCAGAGTTCCTGGAGCAGATCGGCTTTAGTAAGTACCTCCCTCTGCTGGAGGAGCAGGACATCGACCTGCGGATCTTCCTGACGCTGACCGAGAACGACCTCAAAGAAGTGGGCATCACGTGAGTTTCATACTGTCTCTCACTACATCTCAGATCTCTCTGTACACACATACGTGCTTCTACATCAAAATCTGTGTTCTCCCAAGTCTGTTTGGTCCCAAGAGGAAGATGACATCAGCAATAGCACGTTGGCATAGTAACGCCCGACCGCCCAGCGATGCATTAGAGCAGGCATACGCTGACAAACTGGAGGCCGAGATGCAGGAGATGGCCATTCAGCTCCATAAGGTACCACTTTAACATTCAACTCATAATGCTGTGTTTACATGTCGTTGGAAAAAAAAAAAACATCGTTCTGACCTCATCAAAGAATTTATGTAATTAGCGGTGGTATGTGACCGACGCCATCCATGAAAACGTTGACATGGTAACAGCGTTACTAGAACAACATTGGCATTCCTGCCCGTGCGGCGCAGTTGTGTTAGTCGATAATTTATCCAAATGTGTTTGTTTTAAACACACACTAACATTTCTAACAGTGTTTTCTTGAATGTGTACGTCTGGACTTTTCAAAGGAATTACAATGGAAACACGTTTTCTGAATATGTAACGTAAACAGGAATAAAGTCATTTAAGCGATCAGGTGATCCTGTTATGCCTGGCCGTTGCTAGGAAACATGGCACAAGACGGTAGCAGTGAACTAATGAATAACCTAAAATGTTCCTCATCAAAGACCAACATATAATAGTCTATATTTTAGACAGTAAACAGATAAAAGGCGCCTGCAGCTGATCCTGAGCCATTTTATTATGTCAGTGCGTTTTGTCTTTACAATGTGAAATATAGCCATAAAATTGAACAAAACAGCAAGGAGAAGTTGCACAACATTAAAGGTTTCTCTTTAACTTTACTGGATATTTCTCGAGTGTTTACAAAAGTGTGCTAGAGAATTTTATTCTCTTGTACAGAGCAGTGTACTTTGCAAACTTTGTTGCGACATTTCAGTTATTTGCTTGAATTTAAGCAACAGCTGGATGGAAACCTTAATTTTTGGTTAGCGCTCCATGAAAAACATGGAATATCTGCTCTGCCCTCGCCTGTCTACCGCCATAATGTAAACGCAGCATAACCGTTCTATTTGAATGGGTAGTTCATTATGGGGATGTATAGTGTGTTGTGTTTTGCTGTGAATGCGCAGCGCTGTGTGGAGGTGGAGTCTCTGCAGGGCCAGGTCTCTCAGGAGAAGGAACTGCGCACTGTGATGGAGGGATGTCTGATGGAGGAGAAGATGGCATGGAGGAGTGTGCAAGCAGAACTGCGGGAGAGCGTTAAGCAAATCCAGGCCCTGAATGCCATGCTGCACACACTCCGAAACACACACTCACAGTTGGCACAGCATATCCACAGTGACGGTCAGGCTACAGGTATGCATGCTGGATAATTGTGTAATATATAGAAACTACTACTATCCACCTTGAGCTCCACTTACCTTAAGTCCACTACACAGTGTACAGTTACAGACTGTGTCCTGTCTGTTGATGAACAATCCTTCAATCATCCTCTGTTCAATTCATCATTGGTCAGCTTCTGACCGCAGGACCTCTGTTGATATAATAGATATTACTTGGGTGGTGGATCATTCTCAGCACAGCAGTGACACTGACATGGTGGTCGTTTTGGAGTTTATTAGGCAGTCAGTGTAACTGCTATGTTGAGAGTGGACAACCACCCAAAAATATTCAGCCAAGAGCAGAGCTCTGTGGTCAGAAACCGACCACTGATGAAGGGCTAGAGGATGGCTAAGACAAACAGTACATCAACAGATGGAGTACAGTCTCTAACACCAGCAAGATGGAGCTACAAGGTTTCTGAGAAAGTGGCTTGTGTGCATAAAATGTGGGTGTACCATTAACTTATCTGACTAAGGGATAAAATAGTATTTACAGAAATATACTTAAAATGTTATATTCTACAGCACATGAGCTTTTAAGGTTTAACTTCAGAAGTCTGGCTCATTGAGTTTTCACACATTATCTGCAGAGATTACAATCCAGACATCTGCTGCCTGAAAAACTTCAGCTGTCAATTGTTTGTTCTGTATTATTTATATTGCAACACAAACACATTTGTCCTCTATTTTTGCAAGCTAGAAAACAAACTAAAAGCGAAATTCAGGTCAGAAACGGACAGATTATAGCAGGGGTACCCAACTGCTTTGGAGTCCAACACAGTTTGGTCATTTTCCTGTACTGACCAGCACTAAACCAGTTGTAATTCAATTCTGAGTTCAGTCAGGTGAATTAAAGTGGGAAAATAGCCAAACTGCAGGACTCTGGTCCTCCAGGAATGGAGCTGGACATGACTGATAAGAGTATTTGTTATATTACACAGTGTGTCATTATCAATATGATTTGTCACATAATTTCTTTGTTAATATTTGCCATCTCAGTATCACTTGTTTTATCTCTATACCTTCTCCACATTATACGTTCTTCATGTCTCTCTCCTCTAGACGACGGCACAGCGTGCTCCGAGATGCTGTCTAACATGGAGTCCTGTGAAGAGAAACTAGGTAAAAAAAAAAAAAAAGGCATGTCTTTATTTAAAGCACGTGTCCGACTTTGGTCTTGGTGGGCCACAGCACTGCACAGTGTAGCATTCTTGTATATTAAGCACACCTGATTAAACTCATCAGCTGACCTGGGTTGAATTTAGAGTGATAGAAAAGAGAAATCCTTCATCTCTGTCAAGCTGTGGCCTTCCATGACCTGAGTTTCTATAACTAAATCTGTAAAGTTAACGTGTGTCTTTATTTAGCTGATGGCCTAAAAGCACTCTGCCAGAGTCTACAGCACCTTGTCGCCCCAGAGAAGAATTCCAGTAGCTGGCAGGAGGAATCCTAGCACCTGCATGTGAGTCACACATACACTGGACCCAACACCCATTTGCTGAATACGCACTCCTTCAGCAAATAATACAGGTGCAAAAAGCCCAAACCCCATAACACAATAACATATGGTACATTTATGGACACACAGTGTAGACTTTACCCAAACGCTGGACAACTTCTGCCCAGAGGATTTTATGATCTAATGCACTTATTCCATTTCATTCTATTTAATCTTCTACAGCAGCTCCTCCAGAGTTTCACTGACGGGGGGTGAAGGCATCACCCTGAACACAAGTATGCAGAGAACTGCCTGAGCTGGCCAGAGGGACAGAGAGAGAGAATGAAAGAAGATATCCAAAAGATGGATAGAGAGATGGTGAGAGGAAAGGGCGGGGTAAACAAAAAATGTCCCTTTAAAGAGAGAAGGCAGCAAATTGACAAACAGGTGGAGGGCTGAAGCCTCTCCCGAACCTGTGCTTCGGTTATATGTTACTGACTGCATTATGAGAATGCAGATCTAACCAACTCAAGACAATCCAGTCTTAAAGGGGAGCCAAAGATTGTGGTAATAATCCAGAAAATTCCTCACACTGGCTTAAGAAGGCATGCAGACTTCATTATCTGCGCACATACATCAACTGATACTATGCAATGCTGCGCCACAAATCAAAGCTCTGAGAATCTGCTTAGTCTGTCTTAAAAACCCAGGGATTATTAATAAATGTCGCATATTTAATAGTAAATTTAAACCCAAACTGGACCAAATATTTTGTCTCCACAGACTCAGAACCAGGCTAGGTAATCAGCTGGTTCCAGTCAGTGTCGCTTATCAATTATCTTTACAACATTATAGTCACTGGTAATTATACAATCAGTGTCAACTCTGTTAGAGACCTTTACCTTGTAGATCCACTTTGTTGCTGTTTCTGTAGTTGACATGCAATTATTGTTTGCTGCCCTCTAGCCCACAGGTTCCCAACTCTGGTCTTGGAGTCACTCTTCTTTGTACATTTTAGAGTTTTTCTGCTCTAACACAGTGTTTCTCAACCCTGGTCCTGGAGACCCACTGCCCTGCACCTTTCAGTGCTTTCCTTGCTTCAGTACACCCACTTCAGGTGAGTAAGGTCTTCTTAGTGGGCTGATTATTTGGATGGATGTGTTGGGAGAAGGAAAAACACTACAAAGTGCAGGGCAGTGAGCCCCCAGGACCAGGGTTGAGAAACACCGCTCTAACACAAACTTATAAAGAACTTGTTAATTAGCTGATTAATCGGACCAGGTGTGTTGGGAGCAGAGGAAACCTTGAAACGGGGTGCCCAATCCTGGAGATCTTGGTCTCCCACCCTGCAGAGGCCTGCAGGGGCATCTGACTGTTAGAATCAGGTGTGTTGGTTGAACTCTCCTGGGTGGTAGAGCCCCAGGACCAGGATTGAACACCCCTGCACTAAAATGTGCAGAGCAGGGGCTACTTCAAGAACATGGCTGGGAGCCACTGCTCTAGTCCTTCATAAATAGTCAGTTTCTGACCACAAATATTTAGTAGATATTTTTGGATGGTGGACCATTCAAGTGAAACTGACGTATGTCAAAATTCCAGCAAAACAACTGTGAATGATACTCATACCAACACACACACAACCATACCACTACCATATCGGTGTCACTACTGTGTTGAGTCTGATCCATCACTCCAAAAAATATTTGATCAACAGAGGTCCTGTGGTCAGAGACTGACCAATGATGAATGATGATGAGTAGAGGATGACTCAAACATTGTGTATGACAATAGATGCACTACAGTCTGTAATTGTACACCTATAAAGTGGACCCAAGTGGTGTTTGTGAGCTGTCGCTGACAGGATTTCAAGGATTCCTTCTCGATACAGAAATTTTTCCCCCAATTTTTACTTCACAGTTGATGTGACAGTTTCAACTGGCAAATGTAGTCCTATAGTGAGCCCACACAGCTGCGCTTTTGGGTCAGGCCAGCGCCAGTTGAAATGGGACCTGCTTTGGCTTTGCTCTCCCCAACTTGACCTGGATTTCAAGCAGTGGAAATGCTCAGAAATAGAGCCTGTGTGAGTCCAGCACATCCCTAGCGCACCACTGGACATAAAAGCGGAATCTAAACCAGCAGATTGGCATGCTGTTATGAATTTTCATAAAGGATATTTTTTTAGTCAGCTGGTGGTGAAAATGTGGGAAATCTCTTTTTAACCAACACCCAGACGACAGATGGTTCAGGGTTTTCAGTTGAACTTTCCCTTGCAGTTCTAGATGTTCTGATTTAGTCTGATAGGGTTGTAGACTTGTTTGCTTTAAGTCAGTTTTGGTCTGAATAAATGTTGGTTAGCTTATTATTCAATCAGGGAAATAAAGTGTACAAACACATGGAAGAGATTTCAGCTTCTTATGACTCACTGGTTCAGCAGTTCAGCAAATGATTTGAATAATAAAGATATATGAGAAGATGCACGTCTGCCTTTTTGTGATACATTTTTCTTTTCCTTTTTTCAGTTCATGGCATTTCTTGGTTCTTGGAACGGATCAAATCCTAAAACCATCATTATTAAGTAAAATTACTTGCCCCAAGTACAAATTCAACAGTACAAATTGAACTGTAGCTTGCAATCCAAATAAAAGAGATCACTGCTTTTTTTAAGCTGCAATTGGTCATGAATATCATTGCAAAATCAAGTGTGGAAAAGAGGGTCACTGAAATTAACAGAATTTCTACGCATATTTTAAATGTAAACCAAGTAATATTTTATGTTTTGTTTCTTGGACCCATTTTGATGGAGAAACTGTTAATTCATGTAAAGCTCTTAATTATGAGCACATTCTTCTCTATAAACTAATTTTTATAATTAATAGCAGCATACATCGCTGGAGACAGATGAAGAAAGAAATACATTTATTGTTAGTAAGCTGCACTTTGTGTATTAGCAACGGCTGAAAGGAACTGCCAGACACGCACTGCAGGGACGCAGATTACTGAACTAAAAATATTTACACTGAAAATAAATACGATTTCCACAGCTGCACATTTCTGGGAACAATGCAGCACATTTAAGCTTTACATAAATAAAGTCCATTCGTAGAAGGCAGCTCTCACAGAAACACTACATGGTTGCCTCTGATGAGCTGGTGTTGTCAGAATGGGTGTGTAGCTGAAGGTGCCTTACTGTTCATCATCACCGTTTGTTTACACTGCCTTAGCGTCATGCAGTACTACTACAGAAGCTACCCTTCATTTATTTAATTTCCACTTAAAATGGCCATTAAGTACAAAGCACTAATGTTTTTCAGGAGATATTTCTAAGGAGATTAGATGTAGGATAATCCACTTGCATATGAAAGGAGAAAGTCTATGAAAAAAATAATTAAAAATAGACCACCTAAATTTTCACCATCAGCTAAACAGCACTTTCATCTTTGAGAGAGAGGAGAAAAATCAAGCTCCATTTTTGCTTCAGATCTGAAAAGTCCACAGGTGTTTCTGTCCATCTGAAAGGATGTGTAGCTGATAAGAAGCTGTTAGTGAGAAAAGGAAATAGTTTTAAAAAAAAAAAGATTTGCAAATCCCACAAAGAAGCTGCTGGTGTTTTCAGAATAATGGACTGACCACATCAGTCCAGCCCTTCACATCATTGAATGTGCTGGGAGAAGCAATTTTCTTTTAATTCAATGTTGTCTGTGGCCAGTCGTTTTTAAATCCATGCTGTCTTCTGTTCAGTGTCATTACTGACACAAAAAAAATCTGTAATTTGGTACATAATGGCCTTTTTGTCTGAAAATTTAAAAAAATGAAAGGTGTTCACTGACTTTTGCATGGAATTGTACATTCCTCATAACGCACGCAGACACACAGCTCTTCACTATTTCATGATGCTGCCAAACCTTTAAGTGTGTGTCTGTGCTTGTGAGACAGAGATGGAGTGTGTATGTGTGTGTCAGGTGTATTCACACAAGTGTCCGCAGCCTGCAGGACAGTGGTTGGAGCTTTTGAGCCACTCCATCACATGTTCCAGATGGCCTCCATGACTGCAGCCCTGACACCACACAAACAAGCCCTTCACCACGTGATGACACACTGCACACACACTCGCACACTGGTGACACCTGTAAGAGAGACACACACACACAGACACCATTATAAGGAATGAAAAGAAGGTGGAGGCTAGTGATGCACAATCCACCAAGAGTTCAATGCCTTTTCATTACCACACGGTAAACAATTCGATACTCAATTCAAACAGACCAACACTACACTGACATTTTATTATACTTGTAAATCAAATCATGCACACTACTTAGACATAATTAGTTTTATTCAGTGACATAGGTGACCTTGTGCTCCTAAAATCAACCAACATAATGCACAATAGTTTTTTTTTCTATTTGTGATAAACACAGTGTGATGAATGTCAGGCTATGTTGTATGTTCTCATGTTCAGTGTTGATCTTCCTTTCATGCTGAATTACCCAGATATTTACTGGATTAAACACTTAACTCTTACATTGATGTAGAGAATGAATTCCAAAATCAGATATATTAAGCTGTAATTTATTTTAGGTTTGTTTATGTACTCAAACCAACAAGTGCTTTTAAAGGGGAATTTCACACACTTTTCTAATGTTTGGTCAGAATATCAGAATTTTAAAGGAGCGTTCTCCTGATTACTCAAAATGTCTGCATAATTAAATTGTTAAGATGTAAACAAAGTCATTCTAAATGGTTTGACATGAAACATGCCATTCTAGAGAAACTCAACAAATCAGAACTGTTCAGAATGGATCTGATAGAAACCAGATGTCTGGAGTGTTTTTCGGTCCTTGATATAAACACTCTGAACGACTGGTTTGATGTAAAGTGGCTCATTGTAAAGAAACCAACACACTCTGATTACTTTACAGTGGTGGTGATAGGAGCCAGGAGTCACAATGTCCACAACACAAATACCACCAGTGAACTTATACATGTCTTCTGAGTTTTTATATGTAATGCTGATGATGGTAAAACAGTCATAAAGCTGAAAAAAATTGTTTTCTTTGGGGACTATTTTGCATTACAACACCCTGTACATGTACCCCTCTGCCATGAATGGATTAAAATGAATGGATTAAAATACATTTTAAGCCAAAACTTTGTCACAAAACTATCATAAAACTATGTGTCAGGCATCAAGCAGCATATGTCTAACCATTTCCAGGTAATAACTTTCTTCTGATGGAGCTTTCAGAGGCATTAAATGCTTCATACAACTGTTTCCTATAACCAACACTGTGAACAATTCCGACAATTCTGAGTTTCACTAGGACAGAGCATTTCACACCGAACCACTCTTAATGACTTTGTTTACATCTCAACCACTTAATTATGTAATATTTTTTAAATATTGGTGGAGTTTCCCACTTTAACCCTCCTGTTATGTTCAACTGTAAGGAACAGCAATAATGTTCTTGGGACAAACTGACCTGATGTATGTTTAACCATCCGACAGTAGTTAAACAATGTTTTTCTCCATAAACGTTACCTCCTTACAGATCATGGTTTACTTATAATAATTCACTTGTTTTTCATTAAAAAAATAAATTCAAACTGTTTTGTGCTGTAAGCTGGTAAAAACTGTCCCTGTATTTTTAAAATCTGAAATGGATCAGTTTGTTTCGGACCATAACAGAAGGAGTGATGCCCCTAAAAGCTCCATCATGGAATTTATTACATTAAATAGTTATGAATACATTGCTTGATGTCTGAGACATTATTTTATGATTTTTTTAATACATTCATACATCGTAGAGAGGTACATGTAGGATGTTGTGAGGCAAAACAGTCCCCAAAGAATTTTTTTTTTTTTTTTCAGATTTTCATCAGCTTTACATATGAAAACTATAAAGATGCATGTAGGTGTTGGTTGCTGGTTGTTTTAGATGGTAAATTAAATGTATAAATTTGTGTTGTCAACATTGCAATCCTGGGTCCCTATCACCACTGCTGTGAAGAAATCAGAGTTGGTAAGTTTCTCTACAAAATGAACCATTTCACATTAAAACACTCTAAATGTCTTTGTTTACATCTATAACACACTTTTTATTCATTTACTACTAGACATTTTTCTGACTCCTTTCACCCAAAGCACCTTCTTTGGTGCAATAACAACCGTCACCTCACTGCTGAGAGATCCTGATACAGGTAGATAAGACTGTATGTGTGGGAGTTGTACCTATCGCAGATCCAGCCCTTGTTGCTCATAGGTCGTTTGCAGTTGCTGCAGTTGATGTGCAGTGTGGTAGAGGCCTGGTTCAGGCAGGTGATGGCGCTACAGGTGCTCAGTTTGATCACTTCGTTACTGACGTTCCACAGTTCAAAACGCTGCAGCAGATCAATGTAGGACATGTACCAGTGTTCCTATAAAACACACAAATACACACACCTGTGTCGCCATGTTTGCATCCTTATCGACATCATCTGTTTATAATGCATGTCACATGTATAGCTGCTACAAGTACTTTAACAAACTTTAGTTGCTTGGGACTTGCATGAAACTAAATTGTCCTGCAACTCATTTGAAATTCAGCTGAAAGCCTATCAACTTTGTGAAACAGCAAATCAAAACACAATAACATCATGTGATCACATCAAATGACATACTTCGAAACTACTGATTTCACTGGAAATTAAATGACAAGAAAATAAAACAGAAGATGGTTTACTTAGCGCTTAAAAAGGAATGAAGCAGAAGAGCGGCTAATCAATTTCTGCGAGTACAATGAGTTTTTTTAGTTACTAACTAATACATTTTTCAAGCAACCAAAATGACATCTGTACACCTGGACATTATCAGATGGAGTTCACCGAAACCAAACAGACTACATTCTTGGCACAAAGAGATGACATGGCCTGGTTCTGATTGTGGAACAGATCACAAACTACTTAATGCAAGCTCCAAGTGCTGTTGAGAAAAAAAACAAACAAATCGTTGACTTCTAAAATAACAGATGAAATAAAAATCAAAAAAGGTGGAAGGAATACATCAAAGACCTCTACAATAAAGATGTCAACTGCCAAGACACTTTTGTTGATGTCGGCTACACAAAAGATCAAGGACACGAGAAAGAGTATGCAAACTATCGCACAATTTCCCGCTTAAGCTTTATTCTTAAGATAATTCAATGCCCACTAGAGCCTTGCATCGAAAGAGAACTGCCAGACGTGTGTATTTTTGCAAATGTATGCTGGATCATTGAAAAAGCCTGAAGTTAACGTGTTTCGCTGACTACAGCAAAGCCTTCGACTGTGTTGACCATGTAAAATTATGGAATGTCCTCAGGAAAACAGGATTTCCAGAGCATCTCACTGTTCTAATGAGGAATCTCTACACTGATCAACAAGCCACAGTCAGGACAGAAAATGGACAAACAGACTGGTTCTACATTGGTAAGTTAGACAAGGCTGCACACTATCACCATACATGGTCAATCTATATGCAGGAAATATATGAAGAGAAAAAAAGGACTGGAAGAGGATGATCAAGGATTCAGGATTGGTGGAAGAAAAATCAATAACCTTTGATATGCAGATGATATAACACTCATAGCGGAGAATCTGGAAGACCTGAAACCTAAGATGGGACTTCAACTAAATATGAAGAAGACTAGGGTTCTGACAACAGGAAGGACTGCTAACTTTTCCATCGATGGAGATGATGTGCAAATGGTGGATCAATCGTCTATAACTGAGGATCCAGCACTCAAGAAATATGACACAGATTGGCACTCGGCAGAACAATGAGCTTGAAAATCTTCAAATATAGCAGTTTGTCTCTACAAACAAAGATGAGAATTGTCCAGGCTATAGTCTTCTCTATGGCTCTTCATGGATGTGAAATCTGGACAATAAACAGGCTAAACAGGAAAACATAGATGCCTTTGAACTTTGGTGTTGGCAAAGACTTTTAAGAGCATCTTGGACAGCAAAAAAAAAACAAACGAATGGATCCTAGACCCAATCAAGCCTCTTCTCACTTGAAGCCCAGATAAGCAAACTGAAGCTTTCATTTTGGACATATTCCAAGAAGAACCAAATCATTGGAAAAGACCATTATGCTTGGAAGAGCTGAAGGTAAAAGAGGAAGAGGACAACTGGCAACAAGATGGATAGATATAATAGAGAGTAAGCATGAACCAGCCATTCAGAAGCCTGAAAACCCAAAAAAGACAGGATATTCTGGAGAAACGCTATCCATACAGTCACCAGGAGTCAGAAACGACAGCAATTGAAAATAAATAAATAAATAAATACATACATACATACATACATACATACATACATACATACATAAATAGTCTGGTCACCTAGAGGAGCAGCTGAATGTGTTGCATGCAACTTAATTTTTGAATTGCTTTGAGTAATTGTCAAGTTGAACAAAAATTACAATCAGAGGTGTTAAATTTGAGTCCAGAAAGCAAAAATCCTCTCCAGGATTTTGTTCCAACTGCCTGGACCAAATTGCTGGGGAGGATTTTTACTTTCTGGACCTGAATTTACCATCTCTGCTTATGACAGAGATGTCCAGTCTTATCCATAAAGGGCCACTGTGGCTGTTATCATTGCAACAAAGCAGGAGCTTTCATGATGAGCTGTTTAAAGACTGAGACTGACTGGTTAACCAAGTGGAATCAGGTGGGCTCTTCTTGGTTGGAATGAAAACCTGCACCCACACCGACCCTTTGCGGATAAGATTGGACATTCCTGGCTTACGACATGCAGTTAGTTTCATGAAAGTTTAACCATGTACAGCCAAAGTTTAACCAAAGCTACATTTGACCATAACTCTACAGTTAAACATGCTTTTTCTGTTTAAGTATGTTTTTGACTGCTGTAAGTAGTTCTTTCGATTGTAACAAAAAATTGTACATACTGCAGCTTTAACACTGAAGTACACACACCAACTGACACACACAAGCACACAGCACAAACTGGTTGTTAGTCTGACCTGTGTGAGCTCGTCGATGTCCTTACGGATGCGATCTCCAAGCACAATAAGGACAGACACGGCCATCTGCACATCTCCCTGCTCAGCGTAGTAGTCCAGCATCTCCCTGACGACGGGGCAGAAGAAGCTGGGAGGCAGCTGCGGCTGGTAGAGCAGCTGGGAGACGGAGATCAGGCTGATGGATTCCATGGGCGTCAGGCAGAAGCTCTCTGCCTCACTGCCGCTCACCTGCGGAGACTCTGGCTTCTCGGCTGGAGGCTCAGGAGCAGACGGGTGGTCCACGATCTCATGCCTCAGTGGGAAAGCCTCCTGAGGGAGAGAAAACTCTGCCTCTTCTGTGGAGTGGGGTGGGATCACAGTGTGTAGGGTGAGGTGAGCATGTCTATATTTGTGTAGTTTTTGGATGTGTTTGTAGATGTTTGTGAAGTGTGACTGTGTGTGTGTGTGTGTGTGTGTGTGTGTGTGTGTGTGTCTGACCTGCTTGGTTTTCATGCTCCACGCTGTAAAGGTCATCATCGTCCAGCTCAGCATCACCAAACAGATACTCAGCCTGACCATCGCTGCCTTCTGTTTCTTCATTCTCTACCGAAAGAATGAAAGAAAGAGAGAAATGAAGAACAAAGAAAGATAAAAGAGAAGGATGAAAATGTTGAAATGATTAAATGCTCAAAGGAAGAAAGAATGAATAGAAGACAAAAAGAAAACAAAGGAAAAAAAGATAAAAGTATAAAAAAAGATAAATGACAAGACAAAAGAAAGAATAAAAAGAAAAGGCAACAGAAAGAAAGAAAGAAAGGAGGCAAGAAAGAAAAAGTGAGAAAAAAGAAAAAGAAAAATAAAAGAAACAAAGAATGAGATGAGTGGTAATTTCTTTCACTTTTCCTACTGCACTACAACAGCTCTAATCTGACTCTGATCTTAAATAATGCTACATATGTTAGCAGTGAAGGAATCCTCACTATGATGTTTTCTTCCTCGTGGGAAAGCATTCAGTGGTGACCAGTAAACCTCTGTTTATGTGTGCTCTCACCATCGTTGTTGAGGTTCGTCTCCAGGTTGTGCAGGTTGTCCTGCCGGTTCTCTTTGCTTCTCTCATTCAGAGCAGAACTCATCTCCTTCAAATTAAAACTACAACACAAAACTCATACTTGTTACTCAAACTGCATTTCTTTATACATGCCTACAGAAGCTGGTGCTGTGGATGGAGGTGCAGATCAGCTGTACCTGTTCATGAGGGGGATGTTGCCCAGTTTACTCATGTTGTGATTGGCTGGTGGGGCTGGGTTTCCTGGATCAGAAAACATGATCCGCAGCATGGTCCATGTGGTTGAGACCTAAGAATGCGCACACGCGTGCACGCACGCGCACACACACACACACACACACACACACACACACAAATCTATAGCAGTAGTCAAATACTCTCCCTTCAACCTTCATATATCCTCTCAGACTATGCTCTAAAGTTAATATATTTGTGTTCTGTTTTTATTGTCTTTACTCCACTGCTACATAAATCCTCTCCCCAGTTTGTATTTTTAAAAATCATCCTGAGGCAGATTTGTTTAGATTAAAACAAACCCTGGTGTGATCGTCTGTTAGTACAGTTTGTTAGAACAAATGTGAAAACTGCCACACAAACCTGGTGCACACCAAATTAGTGGGTTGAGACCTCAGGAGGAGGACCTTCCAAACTTCAAAATTCTGGTGCAGTTAGTTTGAAATATGAACGCAAAACAAACCAAAGACATCTACACAGCCCAAAATAAGAATGAACCATTATCTCATCAGTCTAAGCTGAGGCACACTGTAAGCATAACAAATCACCTGATATACACATATGATTGCACACATCAATTATAAGTTAATACAAGAGTTTTCCGTTATTTTCTAAAATCATGCATTATAGTGATTTCACTTCAGCTTTGTGTTGACTAAAAACTACAGTAATGGTCAGCTTCTTGTGGCTAACTGCTAACCCATAAGCTCAGCTGGGCTAGAGTACACCTTGATTTAGGGAATTGGTTGGATATTATTCCAGTAACTGTCTCAAAATCAGTTATCCGTTGTGATATTATTACCATATGTTTTTGGGTTTGATGTTAAACATTCCGAGCGAACGCTAAGTGAATCACAACTGAATTGCAACAGTGTATTATTTTCTGCTTTAGTCAAAACCAACTAAAAATGTAAATGAACCCTGAATTGTAGCTAAATAGTCAAACTGAATTTCGGTGAAAACCGAGCTTTCACGAGGCACTGAACTGTTCACTGTAGAACTGTACGTGAATCACACTTTGAGGTCAGAGATTTATTCCCCTAGTCGACAAACATGCACACCTGTGGTCTGTTCAGCTCCTTGGCGACTTTAGCGTTGTGGTCACAGAGCTCGGCGAAGGGTTTTCCGCTCAGCAGGTACCTGCAGGCTGTCTTGATGAACCAGTCCATCCTGCTGCTGCCGTCCGCCTCAGACTCAAACACGCTCAGCGCACTGGCAACCTGCGCAAACTGTTCCGTCACATCCGGCTTCTTGAAGAAGAAGATGGGGTAGCGGCGGTCGCCAGCTTGGTACGGCTTACGTCCGGCCTCACCAGTCATCAGGCTCTCCTTGGCAGCGAAGGCCAGGTCTCCAAACAGTCCAAAGCAGAGGCCCTCAGGGTTGGCCCGGTCCACGGGCCGGCTGGCATCCTTGAACATATGCTGGTAGAGCGTACTGTCCTTGGAGCCGGACAGCAGCACGTAGGGGTCATGCTGGTGGCGCCACACGATGCCAGTGGTGACATCCTTGTGCTCCTCGAAGGTGGCAAAGGGGATGAAGGGGCGCCGGACGTCCCAAACGTAGATGTTGTGGTCCACCATCATGGAGCAGGTGGCTAGATGCCAGCGCCGCTCCGGACGCCACTTCACCCTTGCCACCGAGGCGATGGTCTGCACGCAATAGATCTCTTTAGCTCGGTTGGTTGTCATGTCCCACACCTTCACCATCTTGTCACGGCCACCGGTTGCCAGCCATCCCCTAGAAAGACAGATATATAGACTTTAGAGGATGCATTATTGTCAATTAAAAAAACATCATGTTGTATCTTTACATTCTTTATATTACATCTACATTCTTTCACTGCTTTGAAACAAATGTAATGAGTGAAAGTGTAGATTTCAACTGATACCATGTGTTTGTAATTACAAGAGGAGATAATCTATCATGATTTGACCATGACTGTGCATAAGTCTTGTTTTGCAGAAAGAAAAAAAAAACCATTATATTAATTATGTGATAACATGATAATATCTAAATAGTATAACTGCAACAATACTCCAGTAAGGGATATAAAGGTTTTAGTTTAAAATATATTTTTTTATAATGAACAAACGCCAGGGGCCAGTTAAATTTAAGATTATTTATGATCAGTTGTTAAAGATTTTAGCTTTTTTTGTGTGATGAAAGGCTGCCAACAAACAAACATGCATTCACATAAATCCACCCACCTGTCCTCAGGGTGCCAGTCGCAGCAGAACACCGGCCCTGTGTGTGCAGTGAACATCCTCTCGTAGCGGTCGGGTCTGCGAATGTCCCACAGCTGTACATTTCCATTCTCAAATGACGCAGCAAATGTGAAATAATCCTTCATGCTGAACTGCACGTCTCGAACACTCTCCGACTGACCTGGAGAAACATATACACACAAACTGCAAGTTAATCTAAAGGTGCAGCAGTGTACTTGTAGCTGGGCAGCATTTTATGTTCCCACTAAAACATTCCAAAACCTATAAAACAGACAGTTCTTATGTAGATCAGTGGCTGTCAACCTTGGGACTATTAGAGTAGTAGACAGAGTGCTGTGTGCAATGTGACACATCATTAATGTTTATTAAGCTTAAACATAATGCTGCATTTCTGTCGATTATTTTTTTTTTTTTTTAAGAAGACATCCAAAGGAACATAACCCAAAGACATCCACAGTTACTGTGTATAACATTTGCTTACTTAAGTGCATGCTAGCCAGTTTTTACAGTACTCGTAGCCAAGCTTTACTTTCAGCCAAACATGGATCAGTATGAGTTATTTATGTATAACAGAAAAACACTGCAGCATGCAGAAAAATGCAACACATGTAAAGTATGTGGGTTAGGCTTTAAAAAAAATTATAAAATATGTAAAAAAAAGCATGTACAGTAGATATAACAAACAAACATGCATGTTTATTTGTAAGCATGTAAGTAAGTAATACTAATCTACAATGGTAAAAATGGTAGAAGGTGAATGAACTTCCTGAACAATGTCAAAGTGAGATAATGTAGGCATCCTGGGCGTAATCTTAGATCACCCTATCAGACACTGTACATACACATGTGTCAAAAAATTATCCAGACATCCCCTCTAATTAGTGAGTTCAGCTAATTGAAGGTGCACCCATTGGCGATACAGGTATTCAATTTTACACACACACACATACACACCTCTATAGAAAAGCATTGTCAACAGTATGGGATGCTTTGGAGCAGGAGTGGAGTTTGTGACCTAAATTTAATCAACCAACATCAGTACCTGACTTCAACAACGCTCTTGTACTGAATGCAATCAAATCCTCACAGAAATATTACAACATATAGTCTTTCCAGAAGAGAAGAGTCTGTTACTACAACAAAAGTAGGGAAACTCTCTATTAATACCCTTGATTTAACACTGGATGAGCAGGTGTCTACAAACATTTGGACATACAATGTATCAGTTCCACATGGATTTAATGGTCTTGTCAAAAAGGTTTTGTAACAGCCTGACTCTGCCACCTGCACTGAGGCTTCTGCACATGGCAGTTTGTCAGCACTTTATTACTATTAGTTTATTTTTACCCAATTTTCCCAACAGTTTAGTCATGGACATTTTCTACTCTTTGACTAGTTTTTCTTACAGGCACGTAAAGTCAGGAACCACATCTTTTCGAACTGCCACTATGTCACTGGACACCTCAATGCGTTCACAGGAGAACGCTAAGTGCCAATTCTAATACACCAGCTAACAAACCCCCGCACTGGCTAGGAACTGAGGAGTGATGTTGGCAGACAACCCACTCAGACAGATTGAGGCCAATTATGCTCTCTTGGATGCTCTTCCATGGATGGCTGTGACATCGCAAGGGATCAAACTTGATATCTCTAACGTAGTGCTGATACTTAAACAACTGCGTCGAAAGCCCCACATATGAATTTAAAGGTCGTAATCATGTGTATGTATGTGTACCAGAGAAGGTGCTGACGCTCTCTTTCTTGCGCAGGTCGAAGCATTTCATGAAGCCATCCTGTGATCCAGACAGGAGCATGTGCACCTCAGTGGGGTGGAAGCACACCTTGTTGACTGTGCGTTTGTGCTCTGTGAACAGGTGCTCCTGCTTGTTGCGGCACGGCCGAGCCAGGTTCCACGTCACCACCGCGCCGTTGGTGGCTGCTGTGGCCAGCAGGTTCTCCTCCATTTGGTGCCACATCACGTCGGCACAGCTGAAGTTCAGCGAGGGCTTGCGGCCCACACGCAGGTTCAGACGCTCCACAAAACCATCTTCCTCCATCGCATAGATCTTGAAGATGTTCCGCCCGGCCACCACCACCTGGAAGGAGAGAAAGAAAAGGGACGACAGAGAAACTGGTGAGAAAGCTTTCTCTGCGTCTACTCTGCAAGGTACATTCTGTTGACATTCTCAGACCTGAAATGAACACCAAATTAAGGTCAGAATGTGTGGCCAAGACATACGTTAAAGGGGAATTACAATGATTTTTCAAAATTTCTGCATAATTCAACCAAAGTCATTCAGAGTGGCCTGATGTGAAATGGCACACTTTAGGGAAACATGCAGTCTTGGATTTCTTCACAATGGTGATGATAAGAATCAGGGTTTGCGATGACCAAAGCGACATTTTATTTACTCTGTTATTTACTGTTGATAATTGTTAAATAGAGGGAAGCGATAAGGTAATAGTGAGGGCTATTCTGCCTTACAACACCTTGCATGTACCTCTCTGCCGTGAATGGACTTTAAAAAATACATTTTAGGTCAAAGTCTTCTCTCAAAACTATCGCAAAACAATGCCTCAACCATGTAATAGCTTCCTGTGAGGTAGCTTTTAGGGACGTTACACATCTGCTTCTTGTGAGGTAGTTTTTAGAGGCATCAGACATCTGGTTTCTGTGAGGTAGTTTATAGAGGCGTCGGGTGTCTGCTTCCTATGAGGTAGTTTTTAGAGGCCTCAGACGTCTACCTTCTGAGGTAGTTTTGAGAGGCATTAGATGTCTGGTCCCTATCACCACCACTGTGATCAATTTTGACTCTTTAGAATGGTACATTTCACATCAAACCACTCTGAATGACTTTGTTTACATGTTAAATAGTTAATTATCCAGACATTTTTTAAATTCGTGAAATTCCTCTTTAATCTCTTTAGGTTAGAAGAAACAACTGTGGAGAGGGGAAAAAAGGGATGGGGCAGTTGCACCTGCGTAGCATCCCGGCACACACTGATGGCATTGGCCGGAGCATCCAGGTGGCAGAACATGGTTCGGCCGCTGACAGTGCTAACACAGGCCATCTTCTCCATCTCAGCCTGACAAAGAGAGAGAAGAAGGGAGAATAAGAAAAGCAATAGAATAGGTAGGACAACCTTACAATTCATCTCCTGACTGAAAGGAGGAAATACAGGACATTATTTATAGCTCACTGTCAACATCAAGTTCTTTTCTGATCCTCTTTATACCCCCTCAGTAGGCCATGTTTTGAACACAGGGAGCAAACCACAGGTCAGTAAACTTGGAATAACTCCATATAAGAAATAACTCTACCTATAGAACTATATAACTCTAACTATACATATTATTGCAATGTCACTGAGAGTAATCCCACTGTTGGGCATGAGGAGATATAGCACAGAGGATGCAGTAATTAAGCTGTAATTAACTGAAAAATATCAGAACGGGCTGATAAATGTATCTACTTGTACTCTTGCAGGGCATCAACTGCATAATATCTGGATGGCAATCTTACACAATGCAGCAAGCCAAGGTGGACATCATTCCTAATGAATTAAAGATTGTAGATGTTCAAAGCTCTGAATACCCTGAAACTGTGTATGGAGATCAGGGGCTGCAATTGGGTCAGTTACTCACATGTCAGATCAAAACCCACTTTGCTGAGAAACCTTGCACGGCAGCCCAATTTCTAGTCCAAGCTTCTTCATTTGCCCCACACGCAGGCCTTCTGGGAAAACAAGTCCATAGATACTGTCCAACAGAGGCAGCTCTCTAAATATATGAGAAAGGTGATCAGTACAGTGTCTCTGGTCTTGTAATCCACCTAGGTTGCAGTTTCATGATTTCCTGTTTTTCATGTTTTCCAGGTTGATGTTTTTACACCTGATTCAACTCAAGAAGGACTTTATAAGCTAATACTGTCACTCTTCACAATCAGTTATGAGTTCATATGTACAATTTTGATGACTTGTACTTTTCTGTTTTGAAATGATGTGTTTACTTCTACTCAAGTACTCTGTATTTGTGAGAAAAGTAATCTACTCTTTTCTCAGTTCACAATTGCATGGTTATAAATTTGATTGGATGTTTTAATTAAAATAATAATTCAAATGAATGGGAACTCAACTGACTGGCAAGAGAAAAAGAGGAAAATCCCCTGGCCTTTCTGTAACAAGTACTCAGATTAAATCAGAGGTGCCCAATCCTGGAGATCTACCACCCTGCAGAGTTTGGCTCCAGCCCTAATTTAACACATCCGATCCAGGTAATGAAGACCTTCAGGAGAATCTGAATGATACAGGCAGGTGTGTTGCACCTGAACCCTGCAGGAGCAGGAATGGGTACTCCAGGTCTAAAAGAAAATGTAAGAAGTAAAATATGTTTTTTTTTATGTTTATGTTCTCTTTGCAGCATTGGATATTTTATTGTTGCCATTATTCTGGAGGATTTTTAGCGGGGCAGAATGAAATGATTTGTCTGTACCAATACGTAAAGTGCTTTATCTGTATGTACAGCTTCTCTTTCTCTAAATGAACAGAGGAACCAAACATAAACACGTCAGCCAGTAAAGGCTCTAACATTAAAAGGAACCCAATCAGACCAGGACAGGAGCTTCACTATATGGGCAGCAGTTAGAGAAAAAATGGAATTATTACATAGAACTATAAAAAAGTTTTAAATTTAAGACTTAAGCAGTTACTTCATTTATGCAGACCTTAGAGGGGAATTCCACTGATTTTTCAAAATCTCTACATAAATCAGTGGTTGGGATGTAAACAAAGTAATTGAGAGTGATTTGGTGTGAAATGGTTCACTGCAGAGAAACTTGCCGACTCAGATATATTTACAGTGGTGGTTATACGATGATGGTTACATAGTGGAAAATCTGGAAAACTGTTTTCTTTGGTGACTATTGTGCCTTACAACACCCTGCATGTATCCCCACACTGGGAATCAATTAAAAATAAACTGTTCAAAATATGTTTTAGGCCAAAACTTTCATCACAAAACTACCATAAAACAATGACCCAGACAACACGCTGAGTATTCATAGCCATTTCATGCAATAACCTTTTGTGAGAGAGCTTTTAGAACAGTGGTCTCAAACCGTGGTCCTGTAGAGCCTAGTTCCAAACACAATCTGCCACACCTGCAATCGGCTGGATCAGGTGTATCAGTTAAGTAAGGGTGGGGCAGCTTATTGTATACAGACCTAAACCCTACAGGACGGCAACTCTCCAGGACCAGAATTGGAGACCACTGTTTTAGAGGCTTTAAACTCTTCAGACGTCTGGTTCCCATCACCACCACTGTGAATAATTCTAACTCGGCAAGTTATTTCTAGAACGGAGTATTTCAAACCAAACCACTCCAAATGCCTATGTTTACATCTTACACTTAATTATTCAGAAATCTAGGAAAGTTAGTTGAGTTCCCCTTTAAGTAAAAGTATTGTATCAACACATACCTTACATACAGGTCCACGGGCCGCTAAATCTCTTCTTGGTCAGCATTTAAAAGAAATATTTGTGTATAAAGTGTCTGCAGTCGGCGCAGTTTGCTGTCCAGAGGATAAAGCGCTGTACTCAGCGCGTTAAAGAGTAACGTTAGAAAAGCTGAGAGGAGAAAACACAGCTGACTCGGAGACCCTGCACGCGCGCTCCCTCTCTCTGCTCTCTGAAACGCGGTCCAGTTCAGCGGGAGCTGTGCCTAACTGTGGTCGCTAATTTGGTTTTGTTCATGTCTGTAACAGTAATATTAATAATGATAATAGCAATACTTCTTATAACTAACCCTTTCAAAACAAACATGCCGAAAGGGGGAACCGGATGTTGGGTTCTCACTTCCGCCTTGCTAAAAGTCCGCTTTTTTTGAGCATCAACCAAAACATTCTTTCAGAACGTAAAACATAACCATTAATTGAATAACTTATACAAGCTAATAATACTGAACGGTTAATAATTACTTTTATTTCAGTAAATATAAGCCGGTTCAGGTATGTAGTACCGACTAAAAGTCAATTCTGGTTAACGTGAATGTACGTTAAGTTACCGTTTGTAGCTTATTTTTGCTGCACAGTTTGCGACGTAAACGATGGGTTAAGTAGGTTCGCTCTTTTTCACTATAGGTCTTTGGAGATGCAGTTTCTATAATATTTTTAGTTTCAGCCAGTTCTTCACAATCCCTTTTGGGATTAAACCTAAATTTGTTGTACTGAACTAATCACCTGAAGACGACCTGATAATCTTCAAAACAGAGCAGAACTGCGCGTCTCGTCAGGACTGCACAGGTTTTGCGTAAAGTATTTCTTATATCCTAACAGTGTCTAGTTAACACTAGTTAGTCTCAAACTACCGTTTTTCTAAACTCGAAATGAACAGAGGCATTTTTATCGCTGCCAGTACACATGTACCCTAATATTAGTTAAACAGGGCAGGGTGTAGGTTCATTCCAGTTTTTGACGCGCCCTCGTCCGCTCAGTTTGACTAGTGTGAAGTGAAGTATGTGAGAGTCTGTAAAGGCCTGTTGAGGGCTCGAGTCAATAAGTCAAGTTATCACCTCTGCGGACTTAAGCGGCCACACAGACTAGAAGGCTTTTCGAGGTGATGCAATTTTCAAAACATGGACAAAGCTGTTAAATGTATGCAGGTGCAATAAAATATTTAATATTTAAAGAAAGAAAAAAAGTCAAACCAGCTGACATACCACTGCTAGCTAGTTAACAACTTATTGTAAGATAATTTTGCTGATGTTGTTTTGTAGTTTTTTCGTAAGTGATCTGTTGAAGAGTCCACACCCCGACATGCCCTTTCCCCTGTCCTACAAGTGACCACTCGTGACGTGAGCGATACTCTCCTCTGAGATGTGAGGGAAAGTGGATGAAGGCAGGATAAACAGGAATGAAATGGAACTCACTCCTTTTTTTGGATTCAAACAGCATTTGTAACAAAGGGGTGGAGCAAGACCATCTGTGCATGTACTCAAATATCTCCCAGCCTATTTTTACTTTCTCTACACCCCGGGTTGTGATTATTCATCACTAGGGGCAGAGAACAACGTGTATTCAGTAACAGTTCAGACACAGTTAAGTCCAGTACATTTGATATAGACTTGGCTAGGCCTTAACAAAATAATCAGCAGGTAGAGGCAGTAACTAATCACATTTATGTTTATGCTCTGATGGATTTGTCATTTTCTGTGTATTTTCAACCTTTAGTACTCAAACATTAAAGTTAGTTGGGAAATAGTCCTTCACATTTATCCCCTGATAGATGCTGGATGCAAGTTTCACTGCTGTTCTGCAGGGAGTTTCTGGACTTGATGCATTTATGCTACCTACTTTACTTCTGCCTGAGTCATTATTTTACTAAAGTAACAAGACTTTTACTTGAGCATGGTGTTGTGCTCCTCTACCCACCCCAGGAACTAGTTGGATACTCTCTAATTCCCTGGATATTGCCTAATTCCAAGTGAATGCAATGAGAGTCAGTCCCTGGAAGGCATAACGATTCTTGAAATAATCAGATTAAGCCGTTTAAGTAAAACGCACTATCCACCACTGAAGTCACTTTACAGTTACCCACATTCATACTTTCACTCGTATTTTCTTTCTCTCTGTGACTGTCTGTCTGTCAGCATGTCTGGGGCTGAGCGTCTGTACAGCTGTGAAGACCCAGCTGTGTGGAGATGGATTTATGGGAAGTACTGGGCTGTGGTGGAAGTGAAGTCTGCTGGGAAAAGGAAGACTTCAGGGAAGCTGTTGGCACTAGAGAAATGGTATAACAGACAGCTGCATCAATCACATGTACAGCTCTGTACAGTCTCTCAGACTCTGCTCAACAGTGTGCTTAGTACAGCCAGTTATAATGCCCAAATTGCCACTAAACACATTGTAGACAAGGCACAGCACATCTAACAAAAACCTATTTGACTGTCCAGGTATCAAGAGGAGCTGCCAGTGGTCATTTCAGCTCGGACAGAGCCTTCTCTAACACACCCAGAACTGGTCAAACTCATGGAGTGGAAACTGACTGTGAGTATGTTTATAGTATTAGACACACATACGGCTTGATATCAAAGTTCAGTACTTTTATGGTACTGACCGAATTAGTTCAACTACTGCCAAGTACTGAAAAACTCCATGTCCATGTCCCTAAGTAATCTATCTTATCATCCATCTGTCAGCCAATAAGAATGCTCGTTCCAGAAGCTAGACTGGCTCTCTAAATTACACGAACATGCTTGTTATTAACATCCCCACTTACACCCACTTCCAGCAACTTGAACTCATTTCTGGTTTAAGCCACACACACTTTTGTTTTGTAAGCGAAACAAAGCACTGCAATAAATGATAAATGACTGAAATATATTTAAGTGATATCTAATATTTCTTATTTTGAAAATGTAAAAATATTACATTATTTAACTTATTTGTAGATATTCTTTTACTTGTTTTATCTAGTGAAGGTGTCGTAATCTATTGACAAAAAACTGTTAAGAAATACTGCAGGTAATTCATCTGCTAATAAAATAAGACAAATTACTTAAAGTAAAGAATGTCTAGAAATGACCTCATTAATCTTAAAATATTGTTACAGAAATCTCAAAATAAGAAAGATTAGATATTTGAACGAGATTTAAGATGATTTTACTTGGCAAGATATAACTGTATGCAGTGAAGTATCAAAAAGATACTCCAGCCCCAGATAACACACACACACAATGAAGATCCTGTATCCCTCTGATGCTGTAACTCCAAAGTGTGTGATTGTGTCATGATGGTGACAGAAGTACCTCTGATATGGTAATCTGATATGGAATGATCTTGAAGTGACTTATGTTTGAATCCACCACCCAGAGGGGGAGGTTCCGGCCCCGGTTGCAGCAGCTGGTTGGCTCTAACAGTGAGGAGGCGGTGCTTAGTTGCACCAAGAAGGCTTTCAGTCTCCTTCCCAATGTCCAATCAGCAATCGCAGAATTAAGCACCCTCAAAGGACTCGGACCTGCTACAGCATCAGGTAACTTTAAATGCACTTGTACACATATAAAGCAATAGTTAAATGAAAATTCAAATTTACACAATTTTCCTCTTATCCCAAAAGTAGTTGAGAAGGAAATGAAGTGTTCGGTATCTGAAGTTTGCTTCCTTAGGTTTGCACCGGGTCTACAAAGCTAATATCGCTAACAATGGCTAATAGACGCTTACACCTCACCAGTCACTGTTGTGCAATCTATATGCCTACAACTGCTTAAAACTACATACAGTTGTTAAGTAATCTCAAAGAGACTTGCTTATGTGGTTTCTGACACTGGTTTTGTACATCGTACAATGTTAACTCCCACCTTTGCAGCGGTATTAGCAGCAGGAGCCCCTGGTGAAGCTGCCTTCATGGCTGATGAGGCAGTGGAAAGCATAGCCGAGCTGAGACCAGTTCAGTACACAGCCAAGCACTACTCCCTCTTCTTACAGAAAATACTGCACAAAACACAACAACTCAACAAAGGTAACCATCTACCCTATACCAGTTCATCTTTTCAGACATTGTTTAGGTGCAAATTAGACCCACTCATTGTGTGCAAGTTATAACAACCTTAAGGTTAAATTTATTATTGTTTTAGGAAAACAGACAGTTTTTAAAGTATGTTTTTCTTATGCTTCTTTTGCCACCGTATCCACCACAGAATGGGCTTTCAAGCTGGAGTTCAAGCTGCATTAATGCGGCCATGCCGAGATAAGGGTCCAAGCCCTGATAGTTGGTAAACTGAAGATATGTCCCAAGGGTAGAAAAACCAATGGAGATAAATTAGGAGGCTTGCTTTCTCATTCGATGAGAAAGCCAGGTGGCAAATCAGATCAAATATAACTTCAGATTTCAATGGGAATTCCTGATTTTTCAGTGTTTTGGCATAAAAAGTCATTCAAAGTGATTTGGTATGAAATGGTGCATTATAGAGACAATTAACAACTAGGATTTCTTTACAGTGGTGGTGATATTAACTGTTCAAAACGACTAGTGAACCTACACATCTTCTGAATTTTTCTATGTAATGTATGTAAATTTTTGGGGGGTATTATTTTCCTTTACCACACCCTGAATGGATTTAAAACAATATGTTTTAGGCCAAAACCTTATCTCAAAGCTACTGTAAAACATTGAGTGCATTTTCATGCACATCAATAATATAACCGATTTTGGCAGTTATCTGTTTATTTAAGTGGTCATGTAAACAGCAACCTAAGATTTCTTAGACGGGATTAAGAGCGCTGAATTTTAGCTCAGTAATTGAGTTTTTCAATGCATGTATACCCTGACTCTGATTTCTTTCATTTTTCTCAGTCTGCGCATGTGCGAAAACAGAGCGCTGTCCTGGAAACAGGAAAGTGTTTAACACAGCTACAAAACACTTGGACCAACCAATTCCAGTTGATGTATATTCATATTTTCTGGTAAAGTGACTCGATGTTAAAAGCTGCAGCATGATGACAGTTTTATGTCGCATTTACGTCACCTCTTATTCTGTATTTTAGTGGCGGGTTGCAAAGCAGAAATCCGATTATTGGCATTATCTGATTACCAAAGTACCTGTAAATGCGCTGAATGAGTTACTGACAAAATCTGATTTTCTGCAGTTATCAGATTATAAAGTGCATGTAAACGTCTCCGACATAAAGCAGCGTATTCAAAATGATTCATGTAATAACTTTGTGATGTAGTTTTTAGAAGTTTAGTCTCTTCAGATGTCTGGTTCCTGTCACCACCACTGTGAACAATTTTGTTCACACTGAAACAAATTGCTTACATCTTAACCATTTAATTATTCTGAAATTTTGAATACTCTGTGGAGTTTCCTAGTAATTATTACTCAGAGTGTTGATTTTTTTTTCCCATTTTCCCAACTGGAAGGTTCAGGTTTCTGGTAGTTCCTAGACTGTATGAATTTGGTACCTATTTCTGTTATTGACTGGCTTGTCTTTCAGTGGACAGTGAAGAGGACTGGACACCTCATAAGGTGGAGCTGTGCTTATGGGCATGGGCTGTGGCCAGTCAGATTCAGCCCTCGCTGCTGAAGGAGTTTTCTCTGAATGATGCCACACATGAGACCAAAGAAAAGCCAGGGAAGAGAAAGGAAACGAATGAGCAGCCATCGAAAAGACAGAAGACACACTAGCCCAAGAAGACGTGACTTTACCTTTGTTTTGATGTTGGATTCTTTGTGAAAGAGTTTCTCAGTTAGCCAGATAACATCAACCAAAGGGTTCATGGGTTTCAGTTTGTTTTGTATGCCTAATAAGTTTTACTTTGTAAAATAAAACCCCTGTTTTTGAGGGACAGAGATGTTTATTTCTCGGTTTGAGAACTTGAGCGCGTCTTGAGGATCCACTGAAACGACTTGTTCTGCACCACCAATAGATGCCCCCTGTCCATGAGAGAGTGGGCAGCACGTACTGTCTGATTTATACCCAAGTGAAAACAGAGTTCTTTGCGGACTACGAGTTAGTACAGATTTGCATGTTCATGCTTTCATGTTAAAAGCTTTCAAGCTATTTTCTTGTTCAAGAGTTGAAAAAGTTAAATAAAGGAAGAAAGTTTTTACAGAACCCAGAAGTGTGAAATGTCACTCTGCTCCTGTGAAGCTTCATGGAAGAACACAGTGTTTGTGTATGTGTGATTTACCATGAGTTTTTGGCCAACAGACATTCTGAGCTGAGCATAGAGGACTGTTCACAGCTTGGTTTATTCCTTACAGCTGGGAAATGAAAGCAGATACAATGAAAAACGGTACAAAAAAAAAAAGAACAATAGAAAATGCCTCAGCTTCGGACATTTAAAAAGTACATCATGAAATTGATAATGAAGAATTCGATATAAACTACCGATATTTACATCTTTTTTTTTCTGAAGCAGAGAAAAATAATAACCTAGCGATACATTTTTTGTTCCAAAGCTCTAGGTTGTAAACAGCATTTTGTTGTTTTTTTTTTTTCTTTACCAAAACGAGTCATCAGGTCCCGTTTTTTGGCACCATTTCAAAGTCTTTAAGTGGACTACAAACTCGTGAGGACTATGATTATGGCCGCAGAACATAGACGACCCCAGCGGAGCACAGTGATGACCTCATAGCAACATGCGTGTCGGAACTGACGACTGCAGCACTGTTGGAGTTGGATTCCGCTGTGAGGCGGGAGGTCCAGTCACAGCTGAGGAGGACGGGCAGTTATTGGCCGTGATTTGATTCTTCTGAGCTTCTGAGTGCAGTTCCAGATAAAATAATGTGGTTCCAGATAAAATTAAATCAAGGCCCAACAATTCAGTCTCAGGAGTAGAAGGTGATAATAGACACGTTCTACTGCTGCAGGAGACTGATGCTACTTCCATGAGCCACGCACACACATTCATTCAGTCATTCATTCATAACTGCTATTTGTGCACACACACACACCATTCCTCAAAGCATAGTTTGGCAAAAATCAATGGCACTTAATGTTTACCTAAGTCAGGGCCATTTCCTGCTATAAGCAATATAAGCATTCACTTGGGGACCCCAAGCCAACAGGGGGCCCTGAGTATGTACATTTAAAAACTGATTCAATATTATGTGTGAAAAAAGTCTAGTTTATTCAGAGGCCCCTGGTCTCATGGGACCAACTTGGGCCAACTTCTTGTGCTGGATTGCAGCAAACAAGGGTGCACCCCTCTAAAATCCATCCACAATATTCTTCAAGTCCACGGTCCCTTCATGACACGTTGCACTGGTTTAGAAATGTCACACTTGTTCTGTAAGTCTACATTCCCGCACATATTTAACCCACAATTTCTCATTTCTCACTTCCTTGTTATGAGATCATGTTTGGCCAAATGTAGCTGATCAGCCAAGATTTGCTCTCCATTTCTTTGTCTAAAGTTTTGCACTGGACCTATAAGACTAACATAGCCAATTAGCATTGTGCAAACAGCAAGGCTAAATCATCACACTCTCACGTCAAACCATGTCAAGCTGTTAAAGTCCCAGGCAATACAGAGTAAAATATTAAAAGAAGCTTGAATTAATACTTAGTAGCTACATGTTTAGTGTTTGCCTGCAAGAACAAGATTAACCTAGATTTAGGTTCCCTGGGTCTTTAAGTAATTACAAATAGACTCACGTATGTGGTCTCTGACGCTCTATGAATCTATATATATAGGTAGAATACGCTTGTTAGCTACATTAGCCTTGCAGCTCCAGTGCAAAACTAAAGAAGCAAACTTCAGACACCAAACATGTCTTGGCTGATTGACATTTGGGGTTAGGGGAAAACTGTGTACTTATTTTTTGCCAAACTACTCTTTCAAGACTGTGATTCTCAAAACTGGTCCTCAGGGGCCCCCAGATGGTCCACATTTTTACTCGATCCCAACTGGCAATACACAGGGACAGAGCAACAATTTGGGCTGTCTGGGGGTCCTTAGGACCAGTGTGAGAATCACTGCTTTAAGAAACAGTCACATACACATTACACATTCACACATTGCATGTAACAGTCTAACAAGCTACACTAGTTTCTCTTATGTATGATTAAAGCATGTTTAAAAATCCTGTTTCCTTTTCCCTCTCTGCTCAATTTCAGATGCCCTCATCTCTACCTTCTTCTACATATTTCAGTTTTATTTTCTGTCTTCCTCTTTGATGAAGATTGATCTTTTTTCCTCTAGCTGTCCTCAGAGAGCCCACACTGGCACACATGTGCTCCAACACAATGCATTTGAGCTAATCACATGAGCATCCAGAAACCTTAAAATCATTCAGTTCCTCTAATCCAGTGATCAATTGCAACGAACACTGAGCAAATCCAACTGTAACATTTAAAACATGATTTAACATACAAGTGATGTAAACCTGTAGAAATTGCCTTTTTCCAGTTCATGAACATTTCTGATTCCAGTGTTTATGAACAAGAAAGTACCAACTACAATAGCAATTTTTTTTGCTGCCATTTTTTTTACTGTATTTTTACAGGATATTTATTCATACTGTAACCCTAGCAGTTCAACTAGTCTAATTACACTGTTGAAAACCAGACTAGCAACTAAATTGCTTAATTTATACATTTTAGTTTGCTTATCAACCTGAAATCAAAATACCTTTTTGAATACCTTTTGAATTCATCTCCCAGGTCATTTTAAGCATGGTTTATCATATATAATTTTTTAAAGAAAAAAATTTTATCCAGTAATCTTTGATTAAAGTGTAGGGACTTTTCCTCGCCTCTAAAAACATTTTTTAAAGCCTCACCATTCACCAGAGAGTGGGGAAAATAACATTAGCCAATACTATCATTTTTTACCTCCCCTCCCATTACCAGCACAAATTAGCTCAGAGACCCTCCCTGATACCATGCTTCACTCCGAAACACATCACAGTACAGAAGAGAAATTTCTGATCAAAAGACTGAAATGAGAAACAATAAAAAAACATTGGCCTCAACTATTCACTGCCAATCGTATATTAGTGCACTACGAGTACATTGCAGGTTTGTGCTTACTGAGGTACTGTTTATCTTTCTGCACCTCTCCTTGTTCAGCGAATATAACTTAAAATGGGAATCATGCATTAAGTATGCACAGAATTTTTGCCCACCAAAAATTTCTGAACAAAAATGGGACTTTTGGTTTTTGAGCCAAAAAAGAAAAATTAGTGAAAATTTTAGACTGAAAAACAGAATAAATAGACCTACAAGGCAGTGTGAAAATAGAACAAATAATTTGAAAATAATAGCTGAAATAGTGATTAAAACAATATTCAAACAGTTTGAGCAGCAGCAGATCAACAGTGAAAATGCCAGCCATGTGGGACCATTTCACGATTTCAAGGTAGGACATTAAACAAGCAATCTATAATTTCTGCTCATGGCGAGTATCAAGAGGGGATAGAACACCCAAGAACTTCACCACTACAGGTTTGATTCTCGATATCTTCTCTGATACACAGAATACAGCAAAACAAAAAAGCAAAAAGCAAAGTCCCTGCTAGCACGGACACCATCGGTAAAAATAATGTAAAAAAACTAAAAAATAATGTAATTCATTGCTTTGCAGCAGCTGATTTAATCAACCTTCTCTGATTCTCTGTTGTTGAGGACGTTGGATTTCATGGAACTCACTGTATCCTACATACTATAATAAGTATATTACAGTTATTATTTAAACTGTTATTTGTCAACTTTTTTCAGTTTTCAATTCATTTTTTTAATTATTTTGATCCTGAATTTTGGGTTTTGGACAAGAATTTTCAAGTATTCTATATGTGTGTGAATAGGAAAGAGGGTTTAAGGCAGTTTCTTTCAATTGGAACATAGCCGGATGGATCAGATATGCACCAACGTTCATTGCAATTGATTCACCCATAGTAGAGAGTATGTGTGTTTTTTAGGCATTGGCATTGTTTCAAAGCAAGTTTCGCATCATCACCACTCAGTTTGATGGGATCAGCTTCCAGAAGCCGCAAGCACAGAACAATGATCTGAATAAATAGAAGTACAAATATAAATATATGGCACGAAAATTCACAACAATACATATATCAGTCAGAAACACCGTCGTGCTTTTCAGGAAAGATTCCAAGTTTCCGAGTCAGCCCCACCCCACCCCACCCCCCCAGTCCATATTGACACAGTCTCATACAACACTCCTCCCACAGCAAAGCTTTAGGAACATAAATAAAAATAAAGATATTCAATATTAAATGTACAATTTGACATAGCAGCTTGGCGAATGGTAACTTGGCACTGCAGAATTTTCAACCAACTTACTCCGACTGGCAGTGAGTCACGAGGACACTACCATCAGAAATCTTCACACAGGGGAGGTATTTTCACATATCTGGTAACCTTAGAGAGAAAAATGCCCATTTTAGAGTCTTTTGAAGGTAGATGCTTCTTCTTTGAGAGAAACTGAAAACTGGAAACGTCAGCACTGAAACTTCTCAACTCCGACGCCACAGTAAAATCTGATATCGGTTCCTTTGACCACTGTTTCTATTGGGCGGGGTGGGCAGTGGGAGATGGGGGTGTAAATCTCACACCTTGACAACAGTTACCATAGCAACTAGACAGAGGTAGCCAAGGCAACAGTCACCATGGGACAAGTGTGGTCCGGTTTCAGTGGCCTCTGTCCATGCTAATGGCGCCGCAGACTTGACCTTCTGACCCTTCCATGCACACGCAGTGAAAAGGGTCACGAAAGGACAAGATCCACCCTCTTAGCTGTAGTGGTGTTCAGAAGAGGGCCGATGGGCACGTCAGACTATGCTTCCATTCAGCTTTCCAAAGTCACAGAACAGAGGAGGACCCAACAGAGATAATTATAATAATGCACCATTTGAAATCATTGTTTTTCTTTTTTGGAAATGTGAAATAGAAACTAAAATAAAAGTAGAGAAAAACAGAGTGAATAGGACTCTATTAGAGATCCAGCAACAAACAGGAAAAAAATAAAATTGTTCTGTACTGTATTGAGTTATATTGAACGTTCAGTCTTGTCTTCCTCTTTCGGCTTAGATGTGGTCAGTCGAGAACGCATTAATAAAGTAAGGTGTGTGAGTTAGTAATATCACCTCAGAATTTCTGAGAATTTCTGTATTTGCTGTCACTATAATCAACCTCCTCTGGTCCGCAGGTCGAGTAGAGGAGAACTGGGCAGAGCTGTAACTAAAGGGGGGTGTGGCAGGCAAAATAATCTGGCCATCCACAGCCAGAGGGAGAATGAAGCTGTGTATTCAGAGCTGGAGAGGGGTACTATGGTTGGATGGGGGCGTGTCATCAGGGTGGTGGTGGGATCTGGACACCCAGCAGCTCATACGCAAAGATGTTCCAAAAGATGGCAAAGAGGAGGAAGGTGATGAAGGAAAAGACAAGGACCCACCAGGAGCACTGCTTGTGGAGGGATTCCTCATAGCTGCGCAGGATCAGCAGGCCCATGCTGATGCCCACCACTGCCCCTGATAGGTGGGCCATGAAGCTTGGCTGAGGTCCGGATGATGGCAGCGGGGGTGAAAACCGAAGCCACACTGCCCGGCCTACCTCTGAACTCACTACAGAAGAAAGAGAGGGAGAGAGAAGAGGTAATGTCCAGGATGAAAGATGATTACACATAGAGAGATTTCTACAGTTTACAAACACTACTCAGTAGAGAACGTTTTAGACATACACTGTGAAAGGTAACAGCGTAGCTTAATATGGAACCTTTGACCCACACTGACCAGGACTCTAAAAGTGCTATTACCTTCTACACTCACTGTTCAATGTACAACAGATGGGCTATGTTATGAAATTGTACACCTACACACCAGAGGTATATAAATATAAACATAAGCATTCTTTCCTTGCCAATTAATCATAATACAGCACTGATATTTTTAGATGTGTGAAGCCCACTCCCAAAAATGCGTATCACTAAAAAAAAGAAAACTCCTGAAAGTGGACTATGATGCCTTTGGAAATAAACCCTTCAATTACAGACTGTAGCCCATCTGTTGATGTACAAATTACCAGCTATTTTCTACCTCTTTGATCAGGACTGCTGTTGATCAGATATTATTTGGGTAGTGGATCACTGTCAACACAGCAGTGATTCTGACATGTTGTTGGCATGGTAGTGTGTGTGGCACAGCATTGTTGTGTGTGTTTTTACAATGGTCCACCACCCAAAAATATCCAACCAAGAGCAAATGACTTCTAACTGCAATCTGCTAAATATTTAATGACACAGAAGCGTAATTTCAATCTTCACTGATCCAGGCTTGACCACTGCTTCTTCCTTGGGGTAAGAGAAACAGGGGAGTGGACCGTGCTGCAGCTCCCTTGGAGCAACTAGGGGGTTAAATGCCTCATTCAAGGGCACACGGTGTGACAGAGGAAGGGGACTTGCTGTGGCTATAAATGGCTGCAGTTACACTCACTACAAAATTACACAGTAAAAAAAAGCCCTTTGTGCACCCAAAATGACTGACTGGTGGAATGAGCAACAGGTGTGTGATTCTGTAAGCAGAAGACCTGCTCAATAATGACTTTAGTATACGAGAAATAACTTCAAAATATACTTCAAATTGTACTTGCTATCTACAGCTCTCCTATCAAGTTGCTGCTCACACACAATGTGAATGCAACCTAATGTAGCATGTACTACACATTGCTCTAAATTAACAGAGACTCAGAACAAAAGCCATCCAATGGCCTATGAAATTAAAATACATTATTATATGTTATCAATACATTCCAAAATATAAACAGAATACTTTTCTAAGTCATTTTTATGTGGGTGGCTACTGGACTATGTAGCAATATTTATCATTTTTGTGTCATTTATTTGCATCTCGTTCTGTGTTTAACAGCCTTTAGTTTGGCCACTTCAATGTCACTGCATGGCTGAGAACGATTTACCACCAAAATGGACAATGAAACAAGGAGGTGGTTTTAGTGAAGCAGCTGGTCAGTGTACATACTTACACTAAAATACAAGCAAAACATAAAACTGACTGTGGCAGTCATTGGACCCACAGGCACCGACAACGGCTGCGAGAGAGGGCGGTAGAATGATGACAGCCACTAGAGCCCATGTGTCAAATACAAGGCCGTGGGCCAGATCAGGCCAACTATGTGATTCTATCTGGCCCACAAAAGTAATTTAATTTTCTATTATTATTAGCCCGTTTCACAATGCACTGCACTACAGTTCCCAGCATGCACTGCAACACAATGTGCACTCTGAGTCTCCTCACCCAACAACAATCTCTCTTCTCTCAACAACGCTCACTTCTATACAATTCCACACTAGTCATATCACCAAACACACTAGCTACATTTCAACCAATATAAACACCTAATGTTAGCTAATTAGAAATTGAGCCCAAATATTAATGAACTTGCAGCAAAGAAAGGATGCCAGGTGTCTAGTTCAAGCAAACAGGTTGGTTTAAAAGACCAAACACCTGGGGATATTTAAATTTTGAATATTTCAAGTATTCATGTAATAATTCAAGGTCCACTACTAGTGCCTTTATTTTAATGCCGACGTTTTTGTGGATTTTAAAATTGCATATAAACAACGTCCAGTTCGGGTTATAGCACAACATTAATTAAAAATGAAATAAAACATTTTCTTGTCTGGCCCACGGATATGGCACCTTTAGTGATTGAGTCTTACACCCCTGCACTAGAGGCATGAAGGCAGCGCATGAGTCCCGAACTCTGCCTCCCGGGCCCCACCTCCTGTTCCTCAGTGTGGCCACTAGATTGCGATCCTGGCGGCCAAGCTGGGGAGCAGGGGTGGTGACAGGGAGGTGGAGCAATGAGCTATCATTCCCTTTCGGCTCAGAAGTGCCTTTAAAAAGAGCAGAGAGGGAACACAGAGAGAGAGGAGAGGGACAAGCAGCAGAAAAGACTGAGGAGCTGAAAAGCTTGGTTTTGAGAAAAGGACTGAAAAGTCTAGCTTTGAAGCCACTGAAAAGTGACCAGCTTTGGTTTCATTGTTTGTGCTTGGAGTGAAAATAAAGTTGAAATGGCTGCTGCAGACGTTTCTCCTGCCTTCAGCATCCTTCCTGAGCCCGAGGTAGCACAGGCCGTGCTACACTGAAATTTCACCAAATGTTTCAGAATGGAACACAATGAGTACCTGAATCGTGATTTTAGTCTGTGAGTACTCAAGTGCCCATCTATATTACAGACTGTTCTGGATTTGACACTTACTGCAGACCAGCGCGAGGATCATCCGCAGCAGTTTGTACGGACACTTCATCCCGGCCCAGTTCTGAAACACATGTGAACACACACACACAAAGGTTAGAGAAGACGGTGCATGTGAGTGTGTGTGCGAGAGTACGGGCCATTCATGATTAATGATGGTATAAAGCAAACATACTCACTGCATGTGGAGTAAAATAGAAAGCCCCCCACTAAACTCACCACACACACACAAACACACTCTTATGCACTGTATGGGTCTTAAGTGAAGTGGTCCACTCTACTGGGTCAAAACCGACCACAGTCTTTGCACGCAAACCACAATAACTACTGCATTTTTCATTTCTCTCAACACTGAGCACATGTTCACACACAAATATGCGCTAGAGCTTTAATCAGGCCAGAAATTGTGTTCCAAATACATCCCGGGAATTTTCTGTCTGAGCCTGACCTAACCAGACACACAGCATCGTGTTTTTAGTCCTGAAAACTGAACTTGACAAAGTTCTATCCAGACCTGACTCTATCTGACTCTCCTTCGCATCTATTTTTTCACGAGCGTGGGCTTTGTGGATGCTGGGGTGGGTTGTGAGAACCTGAACGTAAAATTTGAACCAGACCTGAGTCTGACACATAAGCAGTCAGGTCCCATCGGGTTCGGCCGAATGTTGCAAACAGCTTGATGCATTTCCCCTTCACGATTTTCTTGTTTTGGTACAATGTGTTTTGTCTGCTGAACTGGAGTCCTAAGCAGGTGGAGTCTGCTAATGCAAAAGCTTTAAAATCCCATAAAGTAACAAAAAAAACAAAAACAAAAAAAAAAACACTTTGTCTGAGGTCAGAGGTCAGGATTCCACCAAAGCGCCTTAAACCAATGTCGATTAAGAACACAAACAGTTCCATTTCTCTGAAAACCTGCCTGGCCAAAACCAAGTGCTGCGTTTGGCTGCGTATGTTGGACCTGGGGTTAATAAAGAAAAGGAATATTCTGAGGGGCATCCAATAATTTGACAGGAGAAAAGTGGACTATGTATTCAATCTGACCTCAAAACGAGTTACTGTGTAAGATAACGGTCCAAAACACACAAGGAGGGGCCTGCAAATCACCCGCAGTGGCCAGAGAGAGAGACTGACCCATAACTACAAGATGTGTCTAGTTGCAGTCATTGACGTTAAAGGTGAAATGATTGGTTAGCAAACAACCAGGGTTATTTTAAAATGACTTTTTCACCCAAGAGTGACACAACGAGTGACACACTCAATAATCCGAACATAATCGGATTTCTCCAGTTATCCGATTATTCAAATGGTCATGTAAACATCTTCCCCCGATCTAGAAATTCAATTAAGAAATCTGATAAAGAGAGCTGGATTTTAGCTCAGTAATCAGATTTCTCAGGGCATGTATACTCATACTCGGATTTCTTTCAGATTTCTCAGTCTGCACATGTGTGAGAACAGATGGTGGATGTCGCGAGATGGCAGCAAAACACTTCTGGAGAGGCGCTGAAACCAAACACGAAATAAAAGATTAAAATATTCTTCATCTTCTAAATTATGTATGTTCATATTTTCAGGTAAAGTTTGAGATGTTTTAAAAAAGCCACGGCATGAAGTTTGAGTTTTACGTCACCGTTACGTCACGTCTTCTTCTGTAAGTTTATTAGCTTGCTGCAAAGCATAAATCTGATTACTGCCTGACTCATGTTGACTCGGAGTTTCCCCATTTTCTGACTACTCAAGTGCATGTAAACGTGTTGATCGGATTACTGACAAAATCTGATTTTCTGCAGTTATCAAATTATTAAGTGCATGTAAACGCACTCACTGTTGGACTGTGAAAGGAACTGTGTGTTATCATATTCTGCACTCATCTGTTTAACATATCTGATTCAGTTCTGACTTTTCTCAGTTTCAATTAAGAATGTCTGATACATTTAATATACGACATTCACCAATAAAAATGTGACTAACGATGAAAAGCAAGTGGGGAAATACTTTGTCATGGGACTGTGTACATACCAGCAGAGTGTGTGTGCGTGTGTGTGTGGTATTCCTTTGGTCTCCAGGGAAACAGGTTGAAAGCGAACAAAAATACATCCATTATGGTTTCCCCTCTCTCTCTCTCTCTCTCTCTCTCTCTCTCTCTCTCTCTCTCTCTCTCTCATTTCTTCTTCATTCATTCAGAGACGTATGAGCCATGGTGGTGGTTAGTGTTGGTTACCATGACGACATTGGCGAGATGCGCAGAGCAGAGGGCATAGACTCCTCCAGACCCACCAACCACTGGAGCTCGCATATCAGTGATAGAGACCGTCAGAGAACCTGGAGAGAGATAGAATGAGAGAAGAATAAGAGACAGAGAGAGTGAGAGTAAGAAAGATATATAGAGAGAGAATGAGAAAGAGTAAGAGAGAGAGAAAGAAAAATAGAATAAGAAAGAAAGAGAGAGAGTGTGAGAAAGAAAGAGAGACAGAAAGAAGGATAAAGATAAAAAGAAAGAGAGAGGGAGGCAGAGGGAGAGAATGAGAATCAGAAAGCGAGAGAGCAAAACAGAGTGAGATTGTGTGTGTGCGTGTGTGTGTGTGTGTGTGTGTGCATGTGTGCGTGTGTGTGTGTGTGTGTGTGTGTGTGTTTGCTCTGGGTTTTCACTTCATCTGTGTCTCTCTCTCTCACACACACACATACACCAACACAGTTTTGGCAGCTCTTCTGGATGTCAGTAGCTGGAGAGGGCGTCCCTGTGGTTGACCAATTAGACGAACACAATAAAGCCAATTAATGGTTTCTATGGCAACAAAGATCGTGAACATTGTCACGTCAACAACGAGGGTTCAGCTCAGAGTGTGTTTACAGATCAAAACAACAGCTACAGGAAAAACAGCTTCATCATAATTGCTCTGGACAAACAGAATCTCACTCAGAGACCACCTACTGCCCCCACTGCAGTGTACAGCGATTACAGAAAACGTTCTGAAATGCTATGTCCACACACACACACACACACACACACACACACACACACACACACACTCTGCAGTCTTAATCATCTGTGTGTTCAATATGTACTCAGACACAAACACAGTAAATACTTCAACGCTATTCAGCTCTGATAATTACAGTATTGACAGTGTGTGTGTGTGTGTGTGACAGTTTATCTATAACACCCACGTTGTGCTGCGTACGCCTGTTGTGTATGCAGAGATCAGCACTCTTACTCTATTTTTTCATACTGCCAATCTCTCAAGCTTTCTCTCTCTTTTTCTCTCTCTATCTTCTTACCTCTCTCTGACTCTGTCTCCTTCCTTCTCTCCCTCATGGTCTGTCTTTCTCTCTTTATCTCTCTCACAACCTCTTTTTTACATTCTTTACCTCTCTCCTTCTTTTATTCAATTTGTCTCTCTCTCTCTTCATCTTTCCTTCTCTCCTTTGCTCTCCCCTCTCTCTCTCCTTCTTGTTCTTTCTTTCTTTCTTTTTCTTACTCTCTTGCTCGCTTTTTCTCTACCTCTGTCTCTGTCTCTCTCTCATACTCATCTCTCTACCACTCTCTTACCGTCTGTCTCTCTCATATCTTTCTCTCTGCCTCTATCTCCCTCTTGATCTCTCTCACCCTCACTCCCTCTCTATCATTCTCTTTATCTCTCTCTCTCCCTCTCTGATACCTTTCTATGTCTCTCTATCAGTCCTCCCCTCATCATTCTCAGCTGAGTTCAGGGTTTAGAGGACAGATGGAGGGTGTAAATATATGTATTGTAAATGTGTGTGTGTGTGTGTGTGTGTATGTGAGCAGAATGAGATGACCTTGTCTGAGGTTTGATTATGGAAATCCACTGTTCTGCTCTCTGCTCACGACACACACACACACACACAGCACTTTCCCCTCTCCACCTCTCTTACACGGACATCAGCTCACAGGGGTCTTTACAAATCTGCATGGGTGGGTAAATGTGCGTGTATGTGTGACTGCAGAGATTATTGATTTCCTGGTGATCTATGGGGCAGAAATATGATGAGATTTCACAGGTTAATTTAGTTGCACGCACGCACGCACGCGCGCACGCGCGGCAGTCGTGGCCTGGAGGTTAGGGAACCAGCCTTGTGACTAGAAGGTTGCCGGTACGATTCCCTCAGCTGACAGTACGTGACTGAAGTGCCCTTGAGCAAGGCACCTAACCCCCAACTGCTCCCCAGGCGCCGTGCATAGGGATGCCCACCGCTCCAGGCAAGTGTGCTTCCTAGTGTGTGTGCGTTCACTAGTGTGTATGTGGTGTTTCACTGCACGGATGGGTTAAATGTGGAGGTCTAATTCCGATGTGTTCAGACACAGTTGGCTAAAAAGGTTCAATTCATTACATACACATACCACACAGTGCACTGGAGATAACAAAACCTCACCTTTGAAATGGTGACTTTACAGGAGAAGAAAAATGTTCTTAATCTGAATGTATGTTAATGTAAAAACAATAACTTTGTTGTGAAATTAAATATATGTTAGTGTAAAGATGTTAACTCTGTTAATGTGAAATAACCTTTAGTGTACATAAATGTACAGACATTAATGTGAAGTAACCTTTAATATATATTAAAGGCATTAACTTTACTGTGGAGTTTCCTTTAATGTTTGTTAATGTAAAGACATAACTTTGGGTGATGTTACCTCTAATGTGCACTAATGTAAAGATGTAAACTTTAAGGTGATGTTACCTCTAATGTACGCTAATGTAAAGATGTAAACTTTCATGTGAAGTTAACTTTAAGGTTTGTTAGAGCTACACTATGATTTACACTACAAAGATTTGGGGATTTGGAGACCTCTCTGGTGGAAATGTGTACTTGTGTATTTGCATGCAACATGCGGAACAACATTTTGTGATATTAGTCGTGCTACAAACCCCTTCCCTGAATGAATTACCAGTTCAACGAATACCCTAAGAATATTTAAAGAGAACTTGTTGAAGGACGTGTCTTGGATGCAAGTGAATGATCTATTATTGATAAAGTTGATTTGAAATTTGAGGTTTACTTTAAAAAATGTATTCCATTACTGATTACTGATTATCTGTTAAAAAATTAAATTGTAACCTAATCCAAAGGATTACTACATTATAGTGACATAAATTGTTCACTTTTCGTTACTTTTGGATTACTTATGTTTAATAAACAACGTATAATTAAATAAAGAAAAGAAAAAAAATATTTTACCAAGACTTTTTAACTAGAATTTAACTTAACACATGACAAACACAAAACTGTACTGTTTTATAAAGCAAAATGATGGAGAATAGGAGACTCAGATATTGATCTCACAGAAACGGTCACTGATCTCACATTTAGCAAAATGTTAAAATCTAAGTGGAGCAATATATGTACATATTTAAAACATAAAGGTGACAATTTTTTGGGCTCTGAATTTTTATGATGTTTTACGATATCACAGTAGGTTACATGAGAGCTATGCAGCACCATGATGGCAGCATGCTGGACACATGTTGCATATTTTTTTCTAACTGAGACAAAACAAAGGCAAGACTACGCACACATTAACAAGAGCACAGGTTAACATAAAACCCAACAACCAGTGCAACATTTCCCTATAAAGCATGCCTCTGCTCTTGACTAGGAAAACATTTACCCCCAAGAAGATGACATAAATTAAAATTAGACATCTTAAATGTACATAATAAAGACAGGAAGAAGCAGCAAGCTTAAAAACTCAAACCGTGAAGCATCATCTTAAGCTAATGTATACTGCCATGGCAGGTGTGGAAAAGTTATTTCTTTTATTTACATCTTACCTCTGATGCCTTTTCACACGGAAATACACAGTTTGCAGATCAGTACCAACAATGATGATGCAACTTTTTCTTTAACATGGGTGGCACATTATATCGGCTTTGGAAATTATATTTGGAAACTGGAACTTACCCGCTACGACTCCTGCCATGTACAGAAGGCTGATTCTCAGGATTCCATGCACCATCTCCAGAGGAACCCCAATCATCAACTGGAGAAGCGCGTTAAAACCCAACTGCTCCAGGCTGCACACACACACACAGGGTTTGGATGTAACAGAATACAGGTATTAGGAATATATATTCAGAATGCAGAAATTACATATCTGTATTCAGTCCAATCCTAAAGAGCAACTCAACAGACTGAAGATACTGCTGAAGCCTGAGTAGACTTATAAATCAATGTGACAAGCTATCCATCTCAGCATTACTGAGCTCTTTTGAATGCTTATTAAACTAACAGCCCCCTCAGTCATGGATATGTTAGCGAGTGATAAGCTTAGTATCGCTGTTGTACTGAACTCCTGTTCGGGGGTTATGAGAGGAGTAGTGGACTGAGACAGAGAAAACGTTGAGAATTTTGAAATTTAATTAAAATAAGTGCATTTTTCATGAAATATTAAAAGAAGAATTACTTGAAGAAAACTGCCAACCAGTAAGGAACAGTATGAATTCAATAAAAATTACTGCAGTTTTTCCCACGGCTTTATCAATATGTCTTCTACAAGTATTCTATCCATGTTGCTTTTTAATGTAATGTAATGCAATACGTTATTGAATGCACTTAGGTTAGTGTATTCAGTATTCAGCCGTCATTACTTTAGAGGTATTGTGCCCAACTCTGCATATACACACACACAACACACATATTCCGGTCAGTAAAAGGCCACTGAGCTCTGTAGGGCATACTAAGATTCAGGCTAAAAATTAGTTCTGTTCTAAAACGGCATACGGTCTCTGTGGACTACGCAGAAAAGGCCAAGAAGTTCGTAAGTTATATGGGCCAGGGCATGGGCATGTGTGTGTGTGTGTGTGCACATGTGTAAGCATGTGCCTTGTGAGTATGTACATCTTTGTCAGCGTAAGAGTGTGCTTGTGAGTGTTAGCTTGTGCATGTGTGTGTGAGGCACACTAGTAGTCAGATTGAGGTCAGCGTATTCCCTCTCGATCTGCCGGAGGATCTCTCTGATGCCATCTCTACAGTTTACACATCAAGCCTCATGCCCAGATAACTCAACTGAAGCCATCTTATTTTGAACATATTATGAGAAGAACCAATTCACTGCAAAGGACAATCATGCTTGGAACACCTCAAGGTAAAAAAGGAAGAAAACAGCCAGCAACAAGACGGATAGATACAATCAGAGAAAGCATGAACCATTAAAAAGTCTAAAGACCCAAATAGAAGACAGGATATTCCGGAGAAACACTGTCCATTTGGGTGCCAGGAGCTGGGACTGACTTGATGGCACTTATTAAGAACCATTTTAATAGAAATAAGAGTTTTCACAATTAAACGACGATTGTTATGTGATTATGTGATTAAAACGTACATTCTCTGAGAATTTGCTTGGTAATTAGTTTGCATTTTGCATGATAAAACAGGGTGCCCACATGTCATAATAAAGCCGCATTAAGCAGTCTGAAGATTCTGCACTTGGGGGCGCTCAAGACACTTTTGTAAAAATCACTGAAAAATGGAAATGTGCAGGACCTCACAAATGCACTCGCATTTGTAGTTCAAACTACATGTCTATGGAGTAAACTGAAATGTTTGATTTTACAAGTTGAGTGTACATGAAGTAAAAGTGTACACAAAGTTAAAGATTTGTTTAAACTAAGTCTAGGATGAACAGCTTGGCAGGCAGCTAACAGACTACTCCAATAATTAGTGCTGAGAAACTTACTTTGAAAGCATAGCTTTGCAAGCTACCAATTACCTCACACTGGAAGAAGTTGAAACTACAGCAAAGCTATCCTAGGGAGAAATCTAGCTTGGTTAACTACAGTTACTCAGAAAAAGTAGTTCAAACTACTTTACTAAAAATAATTAAATTGACAATATCAATTCAAGTAATACGAAATTATAACAACATATTATAACACAAGAAATTACATGCCAGCAAAAAATGCCACTTAAACTGAGTTTATTGCAAAAAGTGCTTATAACAACTTTCACATTGGGCATATCCAAACAATGCGCCCTTGTTTATTTGACAAATGAGCAGTCTCTCCAAAGTTCTTATCCAACCAGCGGTTCCGTCTGCCAACACTGAAAAGCCGCTCACATGCAGCACTGGCACGGAAACTGGTGTTGAATGAAGTTTCTGCAGTCAGGATGAAGGAAAAACAGGACGGGGCTGGTCAAAGGTGGTTCAATTACTGTAGATAAGCTATGGTAAAATGAAAATAAAAAACCTTCCTTTCCTTTTATGACTCAAAATTGTAGTCACAGAGGTTAACTACACAAAAAATGACAAAAACGTAATTTAACTACTTAAATCACTATGCAAATATGAATGTAGCTGAACTACCAGCAAACTACTGCAAAATGTAGTTAAACTACTAGTTTAATTACATCTAGTTCACTACTCCCCAACATCGCCATAATATTCAGAGCTATTTCATAACATTGAAAGTGCTAGCGGAAATGACCATAATCACAGCGAAGGTACTAAAGCTACATATAAAGATTTCTGCATTAAACACTGCCATAATAATAGGCACTGAGATGTTCACAAAATGACTGGTTCAAAGCAGCAACTAATGCACAGAGAGTTGTGGCATAACAGCCTCATCAGTTCATTAACCATGAAGAAGGAAAATGCCACAAATTCACTTCTTATAAACAAGAAATTTAAGTTCCATATTTTTTCCATTTCTTTATCCTAATTAAACTGTCATCACCATCACTTCCTCCTTTACCCAATTTAGTTTTTTCAGCTCTGACAGTAATTTCCTGCCACAAAGTAAAGAACGATTTGTGAATGAAAACACACTGCAACAGCATCATTCCTGACACCTCGCTACGATGAGGAGCCAAGTTCCTTTTCTGTTCAAACACATGCAGCCATCAAAGCTTCCAGTGAACCACAGGAGCTAGTGTAAGAGCAGTGCTGGTTAGAAAGCGGATGCCCAACAAAGCAGCCAGCTCTGTCAGAATGGCATCCCAACGCGCTCGCGGCCTGACAGCGTTGTCAGTGCACGCAGACGTCTTTAACCTCGTGCCGCCTCTGTCTGCTGTTGCTGCTGCCAACAAAATCCTCCACTCTGTCGAGGAGGCTCTGGCCCAGCGGAGCTGACTTATGTGGCTGTGGCATGCTCGCACAGACTAGCGATGATGCCTCATATCAAAAGCACTGGGCTTTATTCCACTGAACCCCCTGCTGTTTTGCAGGAACAGATCTGTGGATGATGCCACCTCTCTCTCTTCTCTATCTCTCTCTCGCATACTTCGCACCACACTTGAACATATGGACAAGCAGAACACTTGCAGTATGTCTGGGTTCTTTTGCTTCAGCACAGTCATTCTCGCTAACATGGCCTTGGCTAGGGCCAGGCGCTAAGCTTGTGCTTCTGCAAATGGATACTAAGTGTTCTAGCTGTTTTAACCCAAAACATTTCATCAATTTGTAAAGCAGTGGTGAGGAACTCTTGTCCTGCTCAAACTCATCTGTTTCAACTCATCACTTAATCATCAGATTTAGTAGGTGTGTTAGAGCAGCCTAACTGTGCTCAGTTCCCTATCCTTGTTGGAGGGGAATCCCCATCAGTAGAACATTTTGTGTAACATTTAATCTCAAACATCTCTTAACCTAATCCAAATGGAGAATCTAAATAAGTTCACAAGTCCTAATTAAACCATCTCTTAATGCAATCTAAACATGCTAAGTAAACCATCTCTTAACTCAGTTCATAAGTCCTAATTAAACTGTCTCTTAACTTAATCTAAACTTGCTAACTAAACTATCTCTTAACCAAATCCCAAAAGAGCTAGGGCTCCCACTCTTTTTAGGAAATATTTCTCAGGACAAAAAAATAAAATATGCTAAAATATATGAAAAAGAATATGTTAAAATATGCAACATTGGCAGCATAAAAGCACCGCTATACTTCACCAATATTTCACCAATATTTCCAGGTGCTTTCCATGACTGGAAAACTAGTCTATAAATTTCCAGGTTTTTAGGATGTGTGGGAACCCTGAGTGCTAACTAAACCATCTCTAAACACAATACAAAAGCTCTAGATAAACCTTCTCCTAACACAGTTCTCAAAAGTGCCACTAAACCTTCTCAGGGCTAACTAACCCATCTCTTATCCCAATCCAAAAAGTGCTATCTAAAGCAGTTCTTAACCCAAACCTAAAGTGCAAACTAAGCCATCTCAGATTCTTTTAACTCAATTCAAAAGTGCTAAACAACCATCTCTTAAACCACACGTCAAGCTCCAGTCCTCACAGGCCAAAACACTGCAGACTTCAGCACACTGCCTTATTAAACACACCTGATTCAGCTTATCAGGTAATTACCAAGGCATTCGTGAACTGAATTCAGAGCGTTAGATGTGAGTAAGTGCTAATATCTGCAGCACTTTGGCCCGGAAAAACTGTCTTAACCCAATACCAAAAGTCCAAATAAACCATCTCTTAACCCAGTTCAAGTGCTAAATAACCATCTCTACATTTAACCAAAACATCCTAGCTAAACTTTTTTTCATAACCCAATCCAGAAGTGCTAGCTAAACCTCATAACCCAATCTAAAAGGTGCTGACTAAGTCATCTCTTAACCCAATCCAAAAATGCAAATGAAATCATCTCTTAACTCAGTCGCAAAAGTGGCAACTAAATCTTCTTTTAAATTCATCTCAGAAGCGCTAACGAACCCATCTGTCCCAAAAGTGATAGCTAAACCATTTCTTACTCAGTTCCACAAGTTGTAACTAAATCATCTTGTAACCTAGCTCACATCATACATCATATCTTCTACAACTGGAGACACTCTTTTTTCAAAGGTGCACTGCCAGAACCCAATTGAAGCACAGGTTAATAGAATCCGCAGGCTTCGTTCCTTCTCATTTAATCTTTTCCTGATTTAATCTCAATACTAATCATAGCCAGTCCACTGTTACAGGTCTCTCCCATTTCAATGGATTACCTGCTTGGGAGGGGAATTGCTAAAACATGCTTTTCTACCGAGCACACAAAGCCAGCCCTGCAAGCTTTTAAAGCACTCGAGACCATGAAGCAGCACCTCTCATTCAGGAAGAAAACCTAACTACATAGCCTAGGAGATGTCCTCAAATGCCCTAACCCTGCTCGATTTCTCCTCTAATCAACGACAGCACAGCCGGCAGCACTCTCATGAACCCCTGGTGAAGGATGGCATCGTCAGTGGTAAAGCAACTTTGCACTTGTAAAAACTGGCAGTTCAATTTTTCTAATATTTTATGTATTTTAAACTTGTGACCTTGTCTAGATGAATATGAGGGAACTCAACAGTGTTCAGCTCGAGCAGCTCATTCCACAGTTTCCACATTCTTTAGGTCATATTTTTATTGCACTCCAGACTTCAGAGAACCCTGGGATGTCATTCTGAATGCAATTTTTTTGCATTTTTCCTTTCAGATGGCTATATGCAGGGCTCCATGACTCCATTATGATCCCTGAAAGATTGCTCTTTTTATAACTGCTAACATCTCACTGCAAAGCAAAGCACCAGCATCAGCAAATCTGACAAACACACTATAGAGATTGGGCTAATGAACATCGACAAAGAAATCACATAAAGAACGGAAGTATCACAACTACTACAGTGAAACCCCAGAATGTTCTGGTCCTAGCTGTTAAACAGAACAGTTCTTTATTGATCTGACTGATCTCATCAGATCAGTAAAGAAGGAGTTAAAGGGGAATTCTGGCTCAAATGAAAAACTTTACCATTGCTTCAACAGATGTAAACATGCCTACATGGCTCCTACAGTGGTGTCACAACAGTCTTCACAGCAAGATTTTCTGATTTAAAGACTAGGAAAACCAACTTCTGATAATGTATCTTGAAGGTGAGAGGAACTACAAGCGCTTTGGGGTGAATACGTGAGGACGGTTTGTGTATTATGCATGCTGGGTATTGTAGTAAAAAAGAACAATGATGGATGAAAACATAAAAAGGATTAAAGACTGTGAATTCTGTCAAGCTGATGTAGTTGAGGGATGCAGTGCTGTGCTGCAGAATAGTACATAGCATGGCAAATAACTTATTACATGCTAGTTTTAGGCAAGAATGCCCCTTTAAACACTACTTAATGTTGGTACAGAAACACCACAAATTTAAATAGCCAGGTCATATGGAGAGGACCTAATCTGATGTCTATCTCAACTGCTGATCTACTATCAGACCCACTTCTAAACTTGACCTACTTGTATCACATCTATTCGCTTGGTCTTTTCACCCTTGGCCTGATCATTAAGGCTTTAGTCCCACAATTTTGAAAAGCTTCTTTTTTTGATAGTCTTTGTTTCACAAGGCGCTACAGCAATATATTGACTTATATTGAGTTGGATCAGAAGGGGGTACTGCAGAATCAACACACTAGGCGCCAGACTCAAAATGTGTCTAATCCCAGCATGCGCAGTTCGATAATACTGACACTGCTCCACACATTTGAATCAAAAGTTCAGTGAAGAAATGAGATAAAGTTGGAGATGTTATTATGAGTACCTCCAAAGTTTAGGCCAAAATCTGTGAGTGCAAATGGAGAGTGATGAGTTGTTGTGCTGCATATTGTGATTAGTTGTATGCAAAATTTGACCACTCCTTTTCGAATTATATGTTTTTTTCATTATTTAAGTAAAAATATGTTAACATATCCTTTACAGGAAACAAAATTAAATATTTCTCTGCAAGTTGTAGTGCACAATTTGTATTTATTTACATAAAATCTATAATGTGTATTTGGACAATGTTTTATGTTTTATTTTTTCCCAATATGTTAAATTCAGCAAATAAACAGTAATTGTGCATTAAAATGTGCAGAAGTGTGTTCTGTGTACACATGTTAACTTCTTCTCACTTAGAAAATCAACAAAACATGAGATTTTACCAAGAGTGCCCAAACTTTTGCATGATTATATATTGCTACACTGTGATTCCAGAACACCTAGCAGTAGCCTACATTAAAACACCATAGTGAACCTTTCCATTTGATGTAATTAGAGACTAGCCTGCAGTACAAATTATTTCACGATTATTATATATTATAATTATTACAACCTGACTAAAATTATTAGTTTGCTGGATTGTGCTGAAGTGAGCTCTCTCATTCGTCAGGCCTTCAGGAGCTGAACTGAAGGCCTTACACATTTAAGTAACTACCAAAATAACCAGGTTTCAGTTAGTTGTTAAAAATTGCTGACAGTGGTGGCAGCTCTATGTCAAAAGACCAAAAGAGTCGTCGTAAAACTGTTACTAGGTAAAATATATTTTAAGATTCGGAAACCAAAGTCTAAAATGTCTGACTGCAGTGTTTAGGCACGGGGTGAGGTTCTGTGTATTTTTATAGATCTCAGTGATTTGCAATGTCCTTTTTAAAGTACTCTGACACGTTAGTGCAATGTTAATGAAGAACTGGATGAGCAGGGTGGGAGAAGTTTTGGGCATGCACTTATGGAAAAGATTTGGGTGACTATTGACTTCTGTTGTTTGTTATCAATGTTAGCTTCACAGATCCAGTGCTGAAATAAAGAAGCAAAATTTAGACATCATACATTTCTTGGCTCATCAACTACATCTGCCACAAGTGAAAATTTAAGTAAAAAAAGTAGATTTTTCTCCAAACCATTACTTTAATTTAGAACGGCAAAAATATTTGTGTGCACCAGCGTTGGCTTAGTGCTAACATACTATGAGAAATCCTATAGGGGCATTAGTAGAAATGAGCATTATTGAGTTTTGACATATTTGGCCAGAACTGAAGGCCAAGCTTGAACAGTCACAGTTTGCCACTGGATTTATTGTGTAACACTTCATTGCTTTTTTAGTTTGTGTGCATGTGTGAGCTCTACTTACCCAACATGCATAAACATGTAGCTGAAGAATCTCCAGACTTGGGCTCGATGACCTGGGTGATACACCAGCGGGCTCTTCATGAAGTCTGGCTGATACGTCTGCAGAACCCACTTATTGAGCCTCACTCCATAACACATAAACACCACGATCTGACACACACACACACACACACACACACACACACACATGAAATTATTCATCAAACACAGACAAACACCAGTACTTTTCAAGATGAGGAGGAAGAAGCCATAAAGTTGGACATGCTGGTGAGTGCATGTGTGTGTGTGCACCTGCACGATGGTGATGATGGCCATGAAGACTGGCGGTGGGCAGAGCCTGTTCTGATGGAAGTACCAGCGTCTGTCTGTCTCACAGGGCAGAATTTCGTACGCCACGTAACGCACAAAGCGTTTGTACACGCCCAGGCCTGTTTCGTCCAATAGGATCTCTCGCTGCAGCGTGCGACGCCCATTGGCAATGGCGCGGCGAAAACTGCTGGAGCGCTTGCTGCTTAGCTGAGAGAGAGAGAGAGACAGAGAGAGAGGGAGAGGGAGAGGGAGAAAGAGAGGGTAAGAAAGAGAAGGAGAAGGGGACCTGTTGACTTCACTGTAATATTGGTGGAGTAATCGATTCTGACTCCTTTTAGATCAAAGGTCCCTGTTTTGTAGGCAAAGAATAGATGTCTGTCTTTCTCACACACACAGAGTTTGTTCTAAATCTGGTGGAGATTATTTTTGCCCAGTTCTCGATGGAACAATGATTCCCCAGTAAAACAGAGCAGTGTATGTTGGGAGTTGAAGTTCATGGGACTCTTTTTGTAGTCTACTTACTGTATTTGCCTAGGTTTCCCCAAGTAACTGCCAGTTCCACGCACTAGTTAGGTCTCCCCCTACGAAGCTGGGAAAGTAAAGGCTACCACCATATAGCTTCAAACTGTCGCTAACATAGTGTCATCTGCAGGGTCAGTGCACTCTAGATAAAACATAATTCCACCTCCAGCAGATCTGCAACACCATGACCAATAGCAACAACACATAAAAGCCAATGTTCCATCCATGCGCACAAATTAAACAGGAAACGACACAATAAATGGGCAATAACCTGGTTCCAAATGAAGTACTTCATAACAGAGCTGTCAGCCAGATAAACCCTCTCACTGTTCACCAGAACTCACCCTTTGCTATGGATATGGAGCAGTGCATGCATTTAACGTGATGTCAAATACTTTCTAAGCGAGCTAGCAAAGCAGGCTATCACAGTCTGCTGTCACCACTGCTGACCGAGATTTAAAGTGCTGAGATTTATTCAGGAGTACACTCTTAAAAAAGGTTCTTTAGTAAAGGAACTGGTTCGATTAAAACCATGCATGATGAAATGGTTCTTCAGATTAACGATGAGTGTGTGGTATATGGTTCTGCACAAAACCTTTTTGAAAATGGTTCTATATAGCACCAAAAAGGGTTCTGCTATTGGTTCAAGCTTGACATCATAACAATAGCAGAACCATTTTCAAAAATGTTCTATATAGACCCAACCATATACAACACATTCTCCATCAATCTGAAGAACCATTTCATTATGCAAAAACATGAAAGTAATCATATATCCACATATAAACATTAGGAAATAGGTAATATTTCAGTTTCTTCTCCAAACTCTTGTAATATCATTTCAGGTGTCCATGTTAATAAATTCCCCACAGGCAAAGCAGTTACCCATGCTTGTGTAGTTACAGGCTGCTAAGCTGTGATTGGTCAATTTGTGTTTAGGGGCAGGTTTTAGTGAAGGGCACAGGCTCTTTGCCGTCCTTGCTCAAGCTCTGCTCTTGGCAATTGCCTAGTTTGCCAGCCCTGGTCACAGACAGCACAATATGCTTGGAGGAGAACGCTAACTTCTGCGGCCCTTCATCACTGCCAGTTCCACCCACTAGTTAGTTCCCCCTCAATCACATGATTCCAATACCTGGAAGGGTGAAGGTTTAGCATGTGCTTCCTTCTAGACACATGAAGAAAACCACCATATCTTTTTTTGAACTGCTTCAACACGCTCAGAGGAGAACGCTACTTGCCAATTCTATTATGTCAGCTAACAGACCCCTGCATGTTGTCTAGCACTGTGCTAGATGATGGGTAGAGGAGACGGAGGACCATTCTACCCACCCAGAGACAGTGAGGCCTATTATAGTCTCTTGGACTCCTAGCTATGGCTGGTATCACCAAGCTTGTGAACTAATGATGCTCAGAAGGTTGTGCCAAATAGTGACTATTCTAAAAGATGCTTAAATACTTGCTCTTACGAACAGATATACACATTCACACTCTGGGTGTGTGTGTGCATGTGTGGGCGTGCGTGTGTGCGTACTGTACTGTACTCCGTGTGTGTGTGTCTGGAAAGCTGTGATAAGCAAGCAGTGTCATACTGCTCTGCATATATTAGCTAAAAAAGAAGAGAAGGAGATGAGCTCTCTTCAAATATCTAAAACGGACACAAGCAGCCCCTGCAAAGACCCTCACCTTCAGATGCACCAAGACCCCCAAATATCAATAGATGATAAAATCCAAGTGAAAGATTGAAAATGTATTCACATTTTCTTTACCTCTCTTTCCCTCACTCTCTCTCTCTCTCTCTCTCTCCACATCCCTCCTCCTCGTCTCCCTCTCTTCACTGACCCAGATTTGCTCAACATTTCATCCAAATCCCTTTAAAATGAAAGTTCACCCCTCCTCTTCTCCCTCTGACTCTCTTTCTTCTCTTCATTCCCCCCAAAATAAATGCACTTCATGTTTAAATCATTACAGTGACTTGAACCCTTCAGTGCAGTGATACGCTGCCAGGAAAGGCAGCAAAGTGTGTGTGTGTGTGTGTGTGTGTGTGTGTGTGTGTGTGTGTGTGCGTGTAATACCAGCCTCAGGCAAAACTGATTGAGTGCTCTGTACCAGAACAAAAACATTTAAACACCCTCAGTTCCAGAGAGGCAGAGAGAGAGAGATAGTATGTATGTGTGCATCTGCATACAGTGTGTGTGACTCACTGTATGACTCAGTGCTCACTGTATGTTTGTATGTGTGTGTAGTGTGTATTTGCACATGTGTCTACATGACTGTGTGCATGTATGTGTGTGTGTGGTAAGACTGTGTATTAGTGCCAAGGGTGCCATCAAGGGAAAAGGAGGGGGTGTAAGCATGATTCCAAGGGCCCCATAAGACTGGGGCCCAGAGAGATTAAACTATTTTTTGTCTTTTCAGGCTTACACAAAGACTCTTCACTGAAACGCTTCATTCATTAAATATTAATTAAAGTGCCCATATTAAGAAAAACTGAACTTTTCTCACTTTTTTGAGTTTGATGTAGTATATTAATACTGTTAACTTTCCGAAATGTTCTTTTCTCTCCCCAGTCCATACAGGTCACATATGGAAACCATGTTGCAAAAAATAGCCCCTTTTGAATTCACTGTTTTTGTGATGTCACAGAAACCAACACATTTACACACAGTTGTATGCAAAAGTTTGGGTCAAATCACATTTTGTTGATTTTCTAAGTGCAAATAAGTGAACAAATCCTCTACAGAGAACACACTTCTGCACATTTTAATACATAGTTACTGAATATTGGCTGGATTTAACATATTGGAAAAAAATACATCATAAAATGTAGCCTGTGAAAAGGTTAGGGCATATGTTTCCAATATGTTAAACTCAGCAAATAAAACAAAACTGCACTAAAATCTGTAGAAAAATGCCATAATTTAGTCTGTTCTCTGCAGAGGATGCGTTTACTTATTTCATGTTTGCATATGACTGTACATCTGCATCCTATACAGGTCACAATTTTGATTGTCCAATTAGAATAGAGCTCATTTACATATATCAGTCCAGGGATGTGGCAAGGTGTTTGAAGTTGGGGGTGCTGAAATTTTAAGCAGCATATATGTGATGTGACCAATGATGTCATCCCAAATGATTTGCCATTTATTTATTTATTTTGCTAATTTGCATCAAACAGAACGTGTCATACTGAACTGTAAAGAGGCGAAAGACGACAATATATAACTATATAATATAACATAATATACATATAACTGACACATCACACCGCTGATGTACATCCTCTCTCTGTTCTCTCATCCTAGATGAACTTTATGCAAATGAGCTGATCCGCGACCAAGTAGATTGTTGATATGTGGCACAGTAATTGTCTGTGTTTTGCCCACAGCCACATTAACACTGAAACGCACACAGAGTGGGAAATACTAACTGATAAAATGTTATTTTTACAATATATGACTACATATAAACATAAACAACAACATCAGGCTGCTTTGGGGCTCAGAACTGGCCTGTAACTTTGCATAGACTTATGCTATAGTCATTGTTGCTGTCAAACTGAAATGATGAAATCGTGCTGTATAAAAAAAAAAAACCCATATCCTACAGCAAATTTATAGTGTTTTCAGATTTTTACCTCATGAATCAACAGTGCAACATCACTGTAAGTTCTCTCGATCACTGCTGTATAAAAGCTGTAAGTGAAGGTGACAAAGTCCAGTGTCCGCTATCTATGCTAAGGACACTCGCTAGGCTGTCCTTCTTTTGGCCTGGTTAAAGTATCTGTCCTATACTAATTAAAAACACATCATTATAGAGATTTGCTTTGACAGCAATATGCAGTCATGCTGCTCATATTCATATTCACAGCTTGCTGCATACTAAGTAATTTTGTGACAGGTTCCGGTAAGAGTTGAGGCAAGGGTCCCACATAAATTTCCACCCGGTACCTTTTGTTAGTGCACATGTACAAATAACTGCTTTGCTTTCTTAGCAGGGACCAAATGTGTATAAGCGTAAGTGTGAACATCACCAGTCAAATTACATGTTCTGTTGGTTTTCTAAGTGAAAATAAGGTACCACATTCTCTACAGGGAACAAACTTAAATGCAACCCTTTTCTGCAAATTTGAGTGAACGATGTATACTTATTGGTTTATTGAGTTTAACATAATGGAAAAAATAAAACATGAAATAAATAATGTGCCATAGCTTTTGCACAAGCCATATTTTATGTTTTTTTTTCCCAAAAGTCAGGAAATAAACAGTAATTATGTATTAAAATCTGAAGTGTGTCTAGAGGCTGTGTTAACTTATTTTCACTTAGAAAACCAACAACAAAAAAATGTTATTTGACTGGGGCGCCCAAACTTTTGCATACGACTTTATGTGTGAGCGCGAAAGCAGCATCTTACACTTGCTTGTGTATGTGTGTGTGATTGTATGTCTCACCAGCTCGATGAGCTCCTGGTAGCAGACTTGGCCGTGCTGGTCATTCTGGACGAGGGCCAGCAGCAAGTCCAGCTTTGAGGGGTCCAGCTGCAGCTCATGCTGCTCGGCCAGACTGGTGAAGTTCTCCACCGCAATGAAACCAGTCTGCTCAGGGTCCAGCTACACACAAAGAGAGAGAGAGAAAGAGAGAGAGAGAGAGAGACAGAGTGAGAGGCCTCCATATTATTCCAGCCATCACAGCAACATCTGGATCCATCGCAATTCCACCCTGTAAACAGACAGACTGGTTTGCAGCAGTTCAGAGAAAGACTGATGATTAACCACATACATAATTGCAATTAACAAGCTGTCTTTTTGTTCATTGTTTTTCAGCTACTAAAGTACAAGCCTAAAGTGGCCAATTTGGCTGATTAGCTATCTGCTTCCTAGCTGTCGATACTTAGAAGCTCCCAACTGACACCAGACACAGCTCAAGCTCCAATAAACAAACATTACTCACTGATGCTCTCTAAAGGTTTTAGAGCACCAGACAGAATTTAGAACTTGTGCTGTGTCTGTAAAAACCATTACGTCACAATAAATGTTTTTTTCTGCTTTCTTTTATTTCGTGCATTCGTAAAAGATAACGAAAACTAATTTTACATAATTGTGTCCAGGCAGTTGTGACAGGCCTCTTTATAGGAAAAAACTGATGAGACTGATACCTGTGCAAATCATCCACCATCCATAAAACACTCTCCAAGCCACTTTATGAGAAACTCCTGCCTTGTAGCTCCACCTTGATGGTGTACAGTTCGACACTGTAGCTCATCTGTTCATGCACAGATTGTGTTAGTCATCCTCTAGTCCTTCATCAATAGTTAGTTTCTGACCACAGAGTGCTCTTGGCTGGATCTTTCTGAGACCACTCATAACCTAGCAGAGACACGGATGTGCAGTGTTGTACTACTCACATCCAGTTTCAGTATCAAGTGCAGTCTTGAGAGTGTATATTAACTGTATTAGTCTCAACATCATTTAGGCTTTTGGCCTTGTTTCAGTCTTGGGGCACAATGGACACAGGAACTGTTCTCTGAGTGATGTGTGATGTCTCCATGTATGGTATTCATTTTCTTCGTTATGGTATTTGTTTTAATAATTTTCTATTATTGCTGAACAAAACCTTCAAAAAGGATAAACAGTCTTTTCCCAACATGTTAAATAAAATCTGTTTGCTGCTGGTTGAGGATCTAACTGATCTTTCCGCGATAACTGAGTATTGTTTGATTGTTGATGTTCATTGGTCCCAAAATTCAAACATCCTCAGAGGGCAGATGGGAATGTTACTGGTTTGTTTTCATTTAATAATAAAAATAGATGTATGCTGTTTGGTTTATATTCAGTTGATTTTAGGTCCAAAGGTTACAAGATATTTATTTAATGTTAAATGTTAACCGCCTGGTATTCACAGGGTCCCATGTTGGCGGGTTACTCCATCATTGGCGGCACTGATATACTGATGAGTTTAGGCTAGCTTAAAGTCAACGTGGACCAGAAATCAGAACGCACTGTTCTTCCTTAACGTGACGTATTTCTGAGTAAAACAGAATATTCTGACGGGAAATAGTTGTGGGTAGGACATGATTTATTCTTCAGGATTTGACTGGAGTGTTAAAAAACTGGCAATCCAAAATGAGCATTTTTGAGCATTTTGACACGCAGAAAAGCTAACGGAAAAAAACTGATTTTGTCAAAAAATAAAGACTACAAAGTTTGTTGCAAGCATGATTTTAATGTTTTTTTTTCACAGTACAAGCAAGAGAAAAAGAAGCCTAACGCCAACTGTCAAATATCTGAACTACCTCACTTGTGTTAACATGAAATCAGGTTTCCAGTGTAAACAAACTGAAATAACTCAAAAGTGATTATTTTACAACCAGTCAAAAAAAAGAGTAAAGTAACAATAAGAAAGGAGTTTGTCTGTCGACATACATGTATGTGCAGCCGAGAGCTTACATGAAGATGGGTGTGCTTACTTGATGTTTGGTCAGGATGGTGGGAGGTAAAGACGGAGCGATCGTTTGGAACAATATATATCGGAATCGTCCGATTTTCAGCCCAAATATGCGATCAGCGATTAGCTGATTTCTTTAATTTAGCTGATCCTGAGAGCTGATCAGTGACATGAAACACATGAGCCATATTTAAGACTGCCACAGCCCTGCGCGAGGCCCCTTGGTCACAGGTCACAGTTTGAATGCTGGATGGAAATACAGACCTTTTTACTCTTGACTAAAGGTCTGAAATTGGTGGACGGCGTTGCTGCATACATGTTTTTAATCAGAGCCTGCTCTATTTTTTGTGCTGTACGGATGTGTTAAAGTCAGAGCTCTTGAAGCAGAAAACAAAAGCTTATACAAGCAAACGCTGACTAAAAAATGTGGAGGTTAAAGACATTATATGGCAGAGGAGAGCTGAAAGACTATAAATGACAGTGTGTATGTTACAGCAAATGTATTTAACTGGAGTTTATTCGGTCCTTTTTAATGAGAGGAGCAATGAGCAATAACAGAATCTCAAATCCCCCCAGTGAAGAAAAACCTGCAGAACTGCTCACTGTGGGATTCAGCTAGCTCCTGTACGAGGTGGTGGGTGTTGTTATCTTTCTTGGGACGTACCCAGTCTATGTACCATCTAGTTGCAATGCTTAAAAGAATAAAAGTTTTCGCAGTGTTTAGAAAAGCACTTTGGACTGTGAAGGACCCACTACGACTACATCATATCTGTTTTCTTCATCCGAAAAAAACATGCTTGGTGTGAATAGGCCTTAACAGTCCAGCCTCGCCCTTGATCGGGATTGGCTTATCATGCTGAGAGACGATCAATATCGGTCTCAAAATCACTGATTGGTCCATCTCTAGTGGGGGGGGCAAAACATGCTACAATATCATTGGTTGGTATCATTTTTTCTGGGCTGCTGGAATACTGTGACGAACCAAGCCTCAGATAGTGTTTAAAGGCAGGAAATTCATATTATGGAGAAACAATAATTCTGGCTTTTGAAAGCACTGACATAATGGATTGTGCTTCAAATGACCAAGCAGATGATCTAACAACAGGTAAAAACAGGCCACCTTGACTTTAAAAATGAACTGCCAACTAAAGACGGTTGGTTATGAGTCAAAACAATTTGTCAAAATTTGCATCCCTTACTTGTATAGATAATAAACTCTGGCTCAGTCTCAAACACACAAACAGAACAACTGGCATGATGCAAGAGTTACTGATGACCTTATGAATTATATGAATTATATTTGGAATTTTTTAAAAAGAAATATGCTACACTCCATGAAATAAGTGGATAAGACTGTGTGGTTTTCTGTGTGTGTGTGTGTGCATGTGAGGGTGTTTGTAATAATTTAAAGCTGTTTAATTGAGCACAAGCAGAGTTTTAATTCCATTAAATCTACTTCACTGCATTCCACATTTACAACTATTTATTCATGAGAAACAGAGAGACAGGGGAAGAGAGAGAGAGGGAGAGAGAGATAGGGAGTGAGAGAACTTCAAAGGCCTTTTAGGATTTTTTTTTCTGCAGACAAAATGATGAAATAATAAGCAGCGAGTGTCTGCAGTGTTAAAAACACATCGAGTGTTTTGAGAGACTGTACTGTCATCTCTGCTGAGCATTTAAAGCATTAAGTTCAGAAATGTAGCAGCACTACGCACACACACACACGTATACACACACACACACGTACGTATATACAATAAATGAAAAGGTCTGCTTTCAAAACTGCTTTCAAAAAGATACAAACAGTTTGTATCTTCAGTCCCCAAACATTTTTTTAATGTTTATTAATACATGTAATTACCTGTATGTAATAACAGTATGCATCACATATAATATATACAGGGTGATTCAAAAAGATTCATCCAATTTCAAAGTGCCATATTTTTACAACCGGAAGATGGCTTCCTTCAGTCAAGAGATGGAGACCCCTGAGCAAAAAGCGCTTTGCGTTCTACACTTCAAGAAGAGTGAATCCGTCATAACTGTGCAACGTGATTTTCGTGGGCAGTGAACCTCCAACAGCTCAGAGTGTTCGTTGTTGGTTCCACAACACTGGATGATCTCCGAAATTGCATTGAAAGAGCCATGAGTACATTCACACCCGACATGCTCAACGAGTATAGGATGAATTTGACTATGGCGTTGATGTTGTCTGTACAGCGGTAGGACGCCATATTGAGCACTTGTAAAATTACATAATAAACTTTATGCTCACTTAAACCATTTACAATTTACTGCATTGTTCTGTATTGATTTACAAGTGAAATAAATCATTTTAAAATCTGATGAATCTTTTTGAATCACCCTGTATATATATGTATATAAACATTTTGTCCTGAAAATTTATGAAAACGCAGACATACACAAATGCGCACACACAAACACGCACACAGTAAACAAGCCCTATTGAAGATTACAGTATGAGAGACATAATCTGGGTGAGTAACTGACTAAATGCCTGAAGCCTTTCTAGAAAAAAGCAAGCAGAGAGAGTGAGCAGTTATTTTTACTTAATCGTCTGTGTGTGTTTGTGTGTGTGTGCATGTGTGCGTGCGTGTCTGTATATGTGTGTAATTTTTGTCACCATGAAGATGAAAAGTGAATAAAAGCTAGAAAAAAGGGGGGAAAAAAGAAAGAGAAATATTCACCATGACGTTCACAGTGAGAATGGATGTGTGGATGAATAAGTGAATATAACACAGAGAAGAAAAAGTAAGGCTGAAGAAGAGCGCAGAAACCACAGCCGCCACAGCCGGTCAGAATGACTAGAGGGGATAGGTGAGGGAGTGAGTGAGTGGGCCAGACGGGTGGAGAGAGGGATAAAGGAGGAAGAGAGGAGCAGTTACTGAAGTGATTCAACACAGACATGCTGCGGTGTCGCCATGGTTACAGGTTACGGACTACCGATGTGTCACTCAGAGAGATGGAGAGGGAAAAAGAGAAAGAGGCAAAAAGGTTAAAAAAAATAAAAGAACAAAAGAGATTTAAAAAGCAATAGACGGGGTGGACAAAAAGGAAAGAATGAGAAAATGATTCAGAGAAAGTAATTAAAGACACTCTAATGAGAGAGAGAGAGAGAGAGAGAGAGATTATAACAGTGAAAGGG